AAAATTCTCACACATTCCTTTGAACAATAGAGATCCTTTCTTGGATCCCTTCAAGTGTACAAATACAAGAAGACAGAACAGAAATGCAGGGGTCCCTATAGCAGAGCTGTTGGTTAGAAGGGAAAATGACTTGAAATTTCCAGTGAGAGCAGATGGGTATGGCGGGCAGGGAGTATGTGTGCCTAAGCAGACTGCTTGCAAGGCTTAAGCAGGCTGACTGTCAAAATTCAAGGCCAGGGCTGGAGAGAGCGCTCAGAGGTTAAAAGCACTGGCTGCTCTTCCAAAGGCCCTGAGTTCAATTCCAAGCAATCACATTCCAGCAATCTATAATGAGATCTGGTGCCCTCTTCTGGCATGCAGGTGTACATGGAGGCAGAATGTTGTAATCATAATAAATAAATAAATTTAAAAAAAAAAAAATCAAGGCCAAACCAGGGTGTGTAATCAATAACAGGCTAGGCTAGCCAGGGATACCCTAGCAAGATATGCTCTTAAAAAAAAAAAAAAAAAAAAAGAAGAAGGAGGAGGAGGAGGAAGGAGGAGGAGGAAAAGAAAAAGAAAAAGAAAAAAGAGTAAAAGAGGAAGGATTTTTTTTTTAAATAATGTGTTATTCCCATAGAGATATATACACACACACTATTTGTAGGCAGTGGAATACCATAACTGCCAAATAAAGCACAGCAGTGTGCACTTGAAAGTAAGTATACTAACACGGTAAACAATTTGTCATGAATTACAAATTATGAAATTACAGAATATTTTTTTACTCAGTAAACAATTAAAGTTTCTTCAGGTACTGTATACATGTTATACAGCATGTATAAGAAAAGTCCAAGGTCATAGAAGATACAGTATAAATACCACAGAGAAAAAAAAAGCCCCCTAGAAGACAAGGTCTTTTCCTCTACTTTGGGAGTTCTTTGTTGTTTGTTTGTTTTTTAATGAAATGTCAAAGCATGGTGGCACACACCTTTAATCCCAGCACTGGGGAGGCAGAGGCAGACCTCTGTGAGTTCAAGGTCAACCTGGTCTACAAGGCAAGTTCTAGGCTAGCTAAGCTATATAGTGAGAACATATCCTGTATAATAAATTGAATCTATCAGTCAGTTATTTAGTAGGAAATTAAAAAGCAACTAAGCTACTCTGCCAGATACTGATACTATTAAATACATGTCCTACTAATGCAATAAGCTTATTAAAGGCTACATATATATATATATATATATATATATATATATATATATAAATCCAAGATACTATATACTATGATGCTAACTACTATCTGCTCATTAGCTATTACAACAAAAACTTGCAATTTAGATTGGTCAGTGGTAGACACTTTTGCATGCAAGCCTGAAATCCTGAGTTCAATCACTAGATCCTAGAAAATGACAGACAAGAATCCATTCCCAAGAACTGTCCTCTGACCTCCACATACACTGTGATAAACATGTGCCGGCTTGTTTGTGCCTGCTCATCCTCCCTCCTTCTCTCTCACACATTATGTATATATAACTATAATTGTATCTCAGAATCAATGAAATTTATTAGAAAAAAAAAGATTCATACTTACTAAACTTCTACAAATATCTGCAATGTCATTCATAAGCTTTGATGTTAACAATCGAAGGAAAAAGCTGGATACCATCTTGTGTGGATTATGCTGTAATATAAACAAAGATCCAAGCAATAAAAAAAAAATAAAACAAATACAGATTTTTGGTGATAATATTTTCTCTATTTTGAATGAAATGTAGATAAAGATTCCAGAACTGAGACCAAATTACAAGTTGAGGTATACTACCATCTTTCTTTTTTTAAGAACAAGGACTTATTGAGTCCATTTCAAGAGGGTAGTTAACTAGAAAGTAACCAGAATAGCAACTACAGCCTAATCTCTTTTCTTAAGGAAATAATAAATGAGGTAAATGTCTGTGTGTTGATGCATCATTAAAATATCAGCTACTGATCCTAAACATAATAAGCAATTGACTGTGAGACTCACTCTTTCATTTCATGCCTTCCACATGTATATAAAAATACAGGAAAGCAATCCTGTCTTGGAAAAAAAAAAAAAAAAAAAAGCCCAAAGGGTAAAAGTAACATTTGTACTAGTATCGTTTATCTTTGTTAGCACTTCTCAGTCTGAGCCATCCTAGGAAAGCATTATTTATATTTGTAGCACTTGTCACCTGTGGTATAAGGCTATGGAAAATCACAGACTTGTTAACAATGAAGCAATAAATTAATGAAAATGTGCTAGCAATAAAAGACTATGTAGACTACATATTTATATATATATATATATATTTCTTCATATATATATGAAGAAAATGAAGTTACAGAATAAGTTTCATGAGAAACCAATATTCTCAGAATATTCATATTTATCATTCAATTTAATTTCAGATCAGCATTTAAACTTAAAAATATATCAAAAACTCAACACCACTAAATAATAAGTCCCATGAATAGACTATACTACCAAGAAGATGATCTTACCTTGGTATGTCTACATAAGCAACTTGTACATAGATGTATCACATTTCTCAATGAACCAATTCTAGATTCCTCATTTGTCTTATTTTTAAATAGAGAGATACTTTCTCCTGCACATTGCATTAGAGACTATTTAGAACAGAAGAAAAAGAAATTCCAGTTAAAAATAACTTAGTATTGCTATTTTGAAGTTTCATTTAAGAACCAAAACTAAATATATTGACAAACTGAATATGAAACTGGGAATGGGGACAGACACTTGTGATCCCAGCACTTGGGAAAGGCTGAGGCCAAAGGATCATGAGGCTAGCCTTGGCTAAAAGCGGAGACCCTGTCTCAAGATAAAGAAAAAAAAATGGAAAAGAAAAAGGAGAAGGAGAAGAAAGAACAGAAGGAAGGAAGGAAGGAAGGAAGGAAGGAAGGAAGGAAGGAAGGAAGGAAGGGAAAGAAGGAAGGAAGGAAGGAAGGAAGGAAGGAAGGGTGCACATGGTCATGCAACAAGGTTACAACACCTAAAAAGAAAATGACAAATCCAATCTATGGGTGGCAATGCACCTATAATCCCAGTGCTCAGAGGGTACTAGATCTTTAGTTCCGGGCACGTTGGACTACACAGTGAGACCCTGTTTCAACAAACAAAATAATAGCAAAAACCAACTTTAATCTATACCCTGTCCCTTTGCAAATCCCACCACAGATAAAACATACTAGTATCAAGAGATTAAGAAAATTTTAACCTTAGAACATACTTGATTAATATATCCAATCAAGAACTCTTCACTACAGATTATCTTGAGGAAAAATTTTAAGAGTGCATAGCCAGTCATGGTGGAGCACACCTTTAGTCCCAGAACTTGGGAGGCCAAGGCAGGCAGATCAGTGAGTTCCAGGACAATTAGGGACTCTATCTCAAAATAATAATAACAATAATAACAATTAAATATCAGTATTGTAATGAGGTTACATTGTGATAGAGATCATTTACCATATTTATTACTTATAATAATTACACATCTTAAGAAGGACATACTATTTCTTTAGACTATATAAAGGAAAGGAAAAAAGTTTATGCATATTGAGCATCTCTTATCTAAAATATACAGGACAAAAAACATTTCAGAATCTGGAATTATTTACATATACATAACAAGATATCTTTGTGAAAGATCCCAAATCTAAAAACAAAACTCATCTCTTTCATCAACTCTGTGTTGATTAGTTTTTTTGTCAATTTGACACCAGCTAGTCACATGAGAAGACGGACCTTAATTGAAAATTTGGTCTATAGGCAAGTCTGTGGGGCATATTCTTGACTGATCATTGCTGTAGAAGGGCACAGTCTACTGTGCACAACGCCATCCCTGGGCAGGTCCTGGGTAAAAACCAAAGTTGGTAACCCAGGAGGAGCAAGCCAATATACAACATTCCTCCATGGCATCTGTTTCAGTACCCATCTTGAGGTTCCTGCGCTGACTGCCCTCAATACTGGACCATGATCCTGATACATAATCCAAATACACCTTTCCTCCCCATGTTGCTTTTAACCAGTCTTTATCACAACAACAGAAAACCAAAGACAACATCTTACACACATCTGATTCTAACCTATGTCTACATCTTGACTATGACCTGTCATATGAGGGCAGATGTGGAAATTTTCATCATAGTGGTTGTGCTGGGACTCAAATTTTCTAGTTCTAAAATGTTTCAGATTGCCTATTTTCAGATTTGGGACATTCAACATATACAAAAATTTATTTTTCCTAATTCTTCCAGGAATTCACTTCATTTAAATCTATCAAACTTTATCAATATAAATATTCCTACCTTGGCTTTCTGGAACAATTCTGATTTATATGCTTCCTCTTCCATTATTATACCCACAAAACAGTAGCAGCCAAGAACGCCCACCAAAAGACTTGAACATCGGACAAGTGTTTCTGGGCTTGTAATCTTAAAATAAATCATAGATTTAAAAATATAGTATTAGGTATAAATAATTCTGTATACTTTGGAATTACCTTTGGAAGAACAAGTTCATGTACATATGAGGAAATAAAAATTCAGCAGAGCTAAAACTGGAATGCTCTAGGGTAACCTTTAAAACCAGCATAAAGATGACTGCAAAGTTAGGATAACCAATATTCCAAAACAAACAGTCTAAGTTATTCCTAAAGAGGGAAGAGTCTATGTTTCAATTTTAAAAAAGCAGCACTAGAGAGAAAGACACCATATGACAGAGCTTGGGTGGAGGGCTTTTTTTTGGGGGGGGAGAAAAATCAATGGGGAAAAGGGGGAGGGGAGAAGGGAGACCGCTCTCTGAGGACAGGAGCAGCAGAAGAAAAGAGACAGGCAGAGAGAGAGAAAGAAAAAGGGGGGAGGGAGAGACAGAGGCAGGAAGAGAAGCAGAGGGAGAGAAAGATGGGAGGTGAGCAGGGCCCTTTTAAAAGGGAATGGGATGAGTGTGCACAGGTGGTGTTCTTAGTGACTACAGCTGAGGGTGTATCTTGTCAGAAAAATCAAGGACAGGTCAGCACAGATGCCTAAAAACTAACAATATGTCCTTTTACTCCTCCCAAGGGAGAAACACACAAGAAGGGAGAAAGAAAAGTCTGGCAAGCAAACAACGGTCTTAGAACACGAGTACAAAACTGGCCATGCCGCTCAGTGGTAGAGTGCTTGCCTAACAAACACAAGGTCGGTCCTAGGTTTGACTACAGTATTGAAGGGGAAAACAACAAGACTTTGAACATGATCGAAAACTAGTTTCATAGAAAAGTTGGCGATGCCGGGCATTGGTGGCACATGCCTTTAATCCCAGCACTCAGGAGGCAGAGGCAGGCAGATCTCTGTGAGTTCGAGGCCAGCCTGGTCTCCAGAGTGAGTTCCAGGATAGGCTCCAAAGCTACACAGAGAAACCCTGTCTGGGGGGGGGGGGGGAGATGATTGGTGAAGACCACATGGTGACTATTGCTGCTTGATAAAGTTTCAACTTTGTGAACCACAATTCTCCAGCACCCCCCCCTTTTTTTTTTTCATTTTTAATGATTCTCACTATTATGCCATTCCCTTTAGGAAATTTTGTGCAGTCTTTGGTGAAGGATGAAAATGGATTAAATGGCAGCCTCTACAAAATTCTATGGAAACCCCCCCTCTGCCCCCACACATCAAGAAACCATATAGAGTACTAACTGCCTGTTCCCACACAAGTTAACACCAAGCTGCTAGAAAATTTAGGTAAGTAACATATGCTTGATGAATAAGGTATACTTATAAATTCCTAAGGTCATTTTCCCTGGCTACTTAATTCACTCCTTTGGGAAGCTTACAAGTGAAAGGGGTAAACTAAACTGAAAGGCTTTACTTTGAGGAATGAAAGAACCAGAACTTCACTCAGCCCCCTGCTTTAGCAGCCATGACAGGCTACAGAAAAGACATGTAGGCCTCTGACACAAGGAAACTCCAGATCCTCTGGTCTTCTGGAGCCTAGGGCCAAAACTGAACACAAAGAAACTCTAGACCCCCCTCTCCCGCCCCAGCCTCCTAGACACTTTGTTCCTGGTCAATGTTTGGCCACAAAAGAAACTCCAGGGGAGACCAAAACCTTCCCTATAGTCTCCAGGATACAGTTCTGAAAACTATTGGTATCTATGAACAACAGGCCACCTTCAAGTAACAAGACAAAGCCATTGAGACCACAGAATATTCCCCTCAGCACTAACCAATGAGAATAATTGGTACACAGGTATTTCATGCCAAAATATGACTTTGAGAAATTTTCCTGATTGTTCCCAAGTGTCAACTAATCAGAAACCAACCCGTACCTACTGATGTAATGCTGTAACTTGTGCCTTTAAAACCCAGCAGTAGACAGGGAACTTCACCCCCTCTGGAGGCTGCTGGGGTTCCTCCCATAGTAGGATGAACAATTTAATAAACCTTGTGCATTTGCATCGGTGGTCTGTCTCCCTGGTCTCTTTGGGGATCCTTGTGACTCAGGCACAAAAACAAGCTATTTAAAATTTTGTCATTTACATAACACAAGACTTTGTGGAAGATATAAGGATTAAACTATTATGCTCTTTAAGCAAATTATAGCCAAGGTTGAGATATATAGACATATAAATACCCATAATACAAAGAAAATACTAATTAAGTGCCCTTAAAATTATAATACTATGGTGGAGAGATGACTCAGTGGTTAGGAGTGCTGACTGCTCTTCCAGAGGACAGAGGTTCAATTCCCAGCACCCACATAGCAGTTCCACTGTCTGTAATTCCAGTTCCAGAGGACCTGATACCCACGGCAAAACACCAATGCACATAAAATAAAAATAAATTTTAAGAAGTAAAGCTAGTTGTTTTTTAAAAAATTATAATACTAAATACAATGACTTTTTTGTTGTTTTTCTTTTTTGCTTCTTCAGGACAGGGTTTCTTTGTGTAGTCCTTGACATCCTGGAGATTGGTCTCAAACGTTGAGATTCACCTGGCTCTGCCTTCCAAGTGCTGGATTAAATGCATGAGCCACCACACCCAGCTGTTATTTGTTTTTTTGTTTTTGATTTTGTTTTTTCCAGCGAAGGTATCTCTGTGTATCCCTGGCTGTCCTGGAACTAGCTTTTAGACCATACTGTCTTTAACTCAGATATTCACCTGCCTCTGCTCTGCCTCCCAAGTATGGGGATCAAAGGTATGCTCCACTATACCCAAATACTGTATTAGCAGTTGAAAAAACTACTATGGCTTCCACAACAAATACAACATGTGGCCATCAGAATACATGGAACAGGCTAGATATACACCATGCACAGAAAGAAATGGTGTTTTACAAGAGAAGAGCATATATGAAATTATGATGTCATGTTACCTCTAAAACCTGGGTATCTACTCGTCAGTCCATCCCACACATTTTAAAATCATTCCCCTTGCTGCAAATATAACAAATCTACTAGGTTTTTCCTTTTTTTGTGACTAAATTTTCTTCTTTTGTTCCAGCATGTTCATTCTGTACTGGAATTCTTAAACTCACATCAGCACTATTTTCCACTAACTACCCAAAGAATTCTTTTGCCTACAGAATTCCTGGGACAAAATATCTAAAAATTATTTTCCTTCACCCATGCTAACTTTCCCTAGTTGTTGGCATGTGCCACCACTTTACTTAAAACCAGGCTTCTCTCATCTTTGAAACCTTTCACTCCCCTATTTCTCCTTCCTAACAATCTAGGAAAGTTCAAAAATAGACCTCAATTCTGTTTTGTTTTTTTTTTTTTTTTTAAGAGAAACCTTGGCCAGGTGGTGGTGGTACATGCCTTTAATCCCAGCACTCTGAGACAGGGGCAGGTTGATCTATGTGAGTTCAAAGCCACCCTGGTCTACAGTATGAGTTCGGGACAGACTCCAAATTTACAGAGAAACTCTGTCTCAGAAAAAAAAAAAAGAAAAGAAAAGAAAAAGAAAAAAGAAATCTCACCTCAGAAGAATAATTATTTAGAAGCTGTTCTGATAATTCCAGAAGATAATGATCCAATGATTCCTTGAGATTTTGGTGGACAGAAAAGCCAACAGAAGAGTGAGATTTTTCTACAGTACATTCTTTCACAGTGGTTAAAAAATCCATCTTGTCAAAAGTTGTCTGAAGAAATAGTTCTTCTACTTCTGAAAATGAAGGCTCTTCTTTATCTTGGCAGTGTTGTTCACTTCAAGAGTAAGATTACTGATTAATAACCACCATCAAAATACTTTCTCAACTTATTTGCAACATATTACATATAAAAACATCAAGGAATCATTTACACCAAAGACTGTTCATATAATTTGAGAATTACTATGTCAAATGCTTCTCTTCTTTGGACTTTTACAGCAAATTGAATTCAGGCTTGAAAATGTCATTATTCCCTAGCAAATTTTACTCACATTAATATAAAAACCACAATTTAAAAGGCAAATTCAGAGAACTATTTAGACATTAACACTAGATAACTGAATATAACTACCAAAAACATTGCCTTCTTTTCACCTTTTATCTCCAAAATGCAGGATTTTTCTTTCATTTAATGCATTTGAGTGAGAGAATGGGATACTTCATGTCAATGAGTTACTTTCAGACACAGAGAAAAACTTTAGTCAACCAACTAAAAACAAGGTTTTAGATATTTTAACTTTAAATGTAATTAGGTTTGACTGATTCTAGTTACACTGCTCAGGATCATCTCAAATTTCTGATTTCAAGATATTCTTGTCTCAGTTTCAGTGTTGGGACCACAGGACATCATTATATCCAACTCTCACTAGGTTTTGTTACCTCCCTGATATCCATTTAGCTAGGTGTGTGTGTGTGTGTGTGTGTGTGTGTGTGTGTGTGAGAGAGAGAGAGAGAGAGAGAGAGAGAGAGAGAGAGAGATTTGTGCCTCAGAGAGAGAGAGATTTGTGCCTCAGACACACATGTGAAGCCATATGATAAATTTGCTGGAGTCAGTTCTTACTTCCAGCATGTTAGACCCAAGGACCTATCAAGTTTGAAAGGTGTCTATACCTCCTGAGCTGTCTCACTGGCCCATTTTTAAACCTAATAAATTTTATTCAACATACAAAAAAAAAAAAAATGGGTCTCTCCTAAAAACTCACTTCATATAAAAATTTTGTTCCCAATTTCCCATCAGCACTGTTCAGTTTTTTGTACTGACATTTGTTGTACATGTTATAAAATACAGTAATGAAATTGGAACCTTCATCCAAAGTTATAGACATAAATTATAATCACTGATAAGAAACTTCTCCCCCTGCTTAACTATAGTGATTTTTTTCTTTAATTATACCAATTAAGATCGTAATTACCAATAAGATAAGCTTCCACCCAGCTAAAATTATCTAATTAGTACTATATCTTAAAATGTCATATATTTTCTTATATAACATACCAATCTGGCACACTTTGAAAAAACTTCATTGCAGCTCTAGAATTTTTCATAGTGAGACTTACAAGAATTTTCTCCAGTACAAGATGAGGAAAATTACTAAAAAAAGAAAAATGAAAAGCTTTACTTAAATGAACACATGCCATTAGGAAAAACAACAAAATAAAACTCTTTAACATTCCTGTATACAGATTATGACCTCTAAAACTGAGATTCCCAAACTAAAAATGCTTTCATCTGTCCTGAATCAACTTAGTCTTTGAAAGAATTTAGTAAAGAGGTTGGAACAATGCTACTATAGTTTCCAACACTACTTAGAATAAGTTATATATAATTTTAAAAGCAGGATTTATTTTTTAAAATTATTTAATATTTTTATATGTGTTGAGTGTTTTCCTTCATCAATGTCTGTGTGTTGTGTGTGTGCCTGATGCCCAGAAAGGCCAGAAGATTCCGAGACTGGAATTACACAGTTGTGAGCTTCCATGTGGGTACTAAAAATCTAACGGAGGTCCTCCAGAAGAATAGCCAAGTGCTTTTAATTGCTTGAGTCATCTTTCTAGCACCCCTCCTCCAACAGTATTTCTGAAATAAAAGATTATAAACTAAAGTAAAAACATTATGTTCTATCCTCTAAGGGAAAGATAAACCTGGTCCATCCTAGGGCTTAAGTCCTACTTTGTTTTTCTTATAATTGATGTAACAAATTTCATTCAGACGATACCCATTATGATTAAGGAATAAGGAGGAGATATGGGGCTTGTTCACGGAAGGTGACAAAGAAACACCCCGACCAGGTGTTTAAAGGCCCTAAGTGCTAGGGTTAAAGGCCCTAGCACTTAGGAGGCAGAGGCAGGAGAGGCAATCCCTCTAAGAGGTCAACTTAGTCCAAGCCAGACCAGCCAGAGTTAGAGCCTGTCTCAAAAACAAAACAAACAAAAAACCCAACCCTCCACAGCAAAGAACAGATGGGAGAAAGACATTTTGATGTCACACAATAAAATGAGTGATCATAATAATTTACTATGTATTTTTAAAATAAGTCATGATTTTCAATGTGTTCTAATAAGTAAATTACAATTATTTGGAAAGCTAATATGCTTACCCTGATTTAAACATTTTACAATGTATGCATGTATCAAAATATTACATGATATACCACAAATATGAATAATCTTTATAAATAAGCTAAATTTTTAAATAAGAATTATGTGTCTATCCTTTGTGAACATCTCCCATATCCGACAATGAGATCTTTTATTTTAGAAATGATCCAGCACAAAGATACAGATAACTTTAATATTTTAGACCTAACTCTAGGAAATTCTGCAGTATGAGCATGAAGTAAAGCTATCTGATACTAAATATATAGAGTGGGTCTTATAAAATTAAACAAGTAAACAAGCACATACAAAACAAAACAGTAAACTACAATTACCTCTGAAGAATTGGAGGTGGTTCTTTGCTGACTTCTAAGTCATCCTCTAACTGGTAGAATAAGAGCCATCTCATTATTGACTCCTTTACAGAGAAACTTCTATTCACCTCACACATATTTTGCTCTGTTCCCATTTTCATTGTATCCGGAACTACACAGATGTTAAGTGCCAAAGTCAAACAGCATACCGAAGGACTATAAAGAAAAAAGGACAACTGTTAGAAGTAAGCTCTCTGAGGGCAGAAGCCTTACCTCTCTATCCTGCTTACCACTGAGCCTGCCATGCTCAAGGCAATACAAGCTACATTTTGTTAACAAAGTAGTAAAAGGAAGGTTACATTTGAGAAAACTCTTGTTCAATAAAAATATATAGATCTACAAAAATGTTTATGAACAGTGAATAATTATAAATTGCAGGTAAAAGAAATTTAAACTTTATAGTCCTTTAAAGAAAACAGGCCTTAAAAAAATAAAAAAGCAGGACATAGTAGCTCACATCTTTAATCCCAACACTTGGGAAGGAGAAGCAGGCAGACCCTGTAAATTCAAAGCCAGCTGATTATAGAGGTGCAGGCCAGCAAGAGCCACAAAGTAAGACCCTATCTCCAAAAAACAAAAGAGAAAACAACACAAATTTAGGTTGCCCTTAACAGAAACTATCTGTATTATTAAGCATTTTGGACCAAACAACAAAAGTAACCAAAACAAAATTTAATGTATCTTTTATTGAAGTCACAAACACAAAAATGATTAGGGACATACACTTGTATGCATATGCAAAATCAAATATATAACGCAACCTACCTTGAAGGTTTACAGGCTGAGCCAGTAAATAACTTCCAGAATTCTCTGTCAAATTCAATTAAACTGCCTTGAATAATGGCCCCAAGTAAACCAAAGTTTTCAGTTTGTGTATGTTCAGAACTAATACCACGAAAGGCAATAGACCAAATTTTAATCCACAGTTTCGCTAAGTCTGACTTTTGAGGGCTTTCTAGGTTTGATTTCTTGCCTTGACATAAGGCAACTTCCATAAGGCATCGTAACACATATGGTGTGCGTTCTCCGCGACGTTGTTGAGGTAGAAGCTGGTACAGTATCAATAGTAATGGAGACAGATCACAGTTAGGTAAACTGGAGGGATACTTTGATATTAATTGGGTTGTAATCTGTAGCCTGAAAGGAAAATAAAAGAATTAATCTGAATTTTGTTCACTCCCATTAATAACTTAAAAGAAAAAAAATATACAAATATACATTTATGTATGTATCCTAACTAAAGCATCACCTTCACTATTTTCCATAGTGTTTTCAACTTCTGGCTAGCTCTTTACATAAAACCTCAAAAAGAAACAAAAAAGAAGAAAGAAAAATACACAACTACATTTCTGATTTTTTTTTTTTTTTTTTTTTTGGTGTTTTAGTTTTTCCAGACAGAGAAACTCTGTATTACTTTGGAGGTTGTCCTGGAACTCGATCTGTAGACTAGGCGGGCCTCAAACTCACAGAGATCCACCTGCCTCTGCCTCCCAAGTGCTGGGATTAAAAGTGTGAGCCACCAACGCCCAGCTCATTTCTGATCTTTTGCTCCAAAATTATTCTATGCTGGGAAAATAAAGCCTAAATATTTCTCCTTTGATAGCAATTTATTATTCAACACATTGTATTGTTAAATTTCTAGAATAGTGGTGCACAACCTGGGAGTTGAACAAGCCTTTCACAGGGATCACATATCAGATATCCTGAATATCAGACATTTATATGATGATTCAGAACGGTAGCACAATTACAGTAACGAAGTAGCAAACAATAATTTTATGGTTGGGGTCACCACAACATGAGGAACTGTACTAAAGGATTACGGCATTAGCAAGGTTGAGAACCACTGATGTAGGAGCGCTACTCAAATACAGGAATCCTGTGTTATTCAATGCTGCATGTCTAAAGTGTGACATAAATGTCATTCAGTAATTCATTCATTCATTCTTTCTTCCTTTCTTTCTTTCTTTCTTTTTTGAGACAGGGTTTCTCGCTGTAGCCCTGGCTGTCCTGGATCTCACTCTGTAGACCAGGCTGGTCTTGAACTCAAGGGATCTGCCTGCCTTTGACAACTGCTGAGATTAAATACGTTTGCCAGCACCGCAAAGCTAGTAATTCTTAACTAAATAGATAAAGAATCTGATGTAGAATTCTCAACTATATAAAATAAATGTAAGCTTAAGCAGTAAGTTACAAAAATCTATATAGCTTTCTTCACAACTCAATTACATCTAAATATTCCAGCAACATGGTGAAACACACACACACACACCTGTAAATTCTCAGTATTTTCAGGCAGTCTGCTTAACATTTCTAAGTTGGTCCCTTTCAGCAAAGTAACAGGCCTGTCTAGATATAGTCTAATAATCCTTATCAGAGCTAATCTGTAATTCTGAAATTGTACATATTTAAATATGCATGAATGAAAATAAAAAAAAAGAAGAAAAAAAGACAAAAATCAAACTCTACTCTCTTCATGAAATTACCCTGTGAGTACCAAATGTCCTTTAATTCACTGCTAATTCAACTCTACATGAAGGTACATTGCACTGAAAAAAAAATCCCTTCTTAATGAAGTTTAGAGCTCAGTGAATCCTAAAGGCAGAAAGTAAGACTGCCTATCACAGCCAGGTCCCTCTTCCCTCCTATGTCTGTATGTCTAAAAAGGTAGTCTAGTACAGCAGATGGGCCTTTAATGGTTATCTCAATATGCTATAGCAATCACGCTTTGCTACTACTAGCTGGTCTGGCAGTAGACAAATGACAGCTCAGGTCAGTGAGGGCTTTCTGGGGAAAAATAAAATTAAACGATATTGAAAGAGAAAAATAAACATTTTAAAGGGGAGCAGAAAGGATATGTGATAGATAGGGTTTTAGTTTTGGGGGGCGGTAGGGGAGGACAGGTGGGAGAAGGGAACTGGGATTGTCATGTAAAACAATACTGTTTCTAATTCAAATAAAAAAGTTGGAAAAAAATAAAATAAACATTTTACCAAGGCACAAGATCAAAATCATTCTGTGACTTCTGAAGATGATCTTTTATCACTTCCCAGCCTACTTCTATTTTCCTTTTTTTGCAAGGCATACTGTAATCAGTAGATTCTCTTTGTGTAGTAAAAGACTGAGAAATCTCCACAGATCTGGTATCTGCATTAAAAAGCTGCAAAATAAAAAAAAATACATTTTTATTGTTACAATTTCCCAATCAACCATTGGGGGTCAAATCCTTCTGAAATGAAGACACAGGAAGGAACTCTTAATGATTAGCAAGCTATAGAAATATATAAACACATTAAGAGAAATATTTTGCATAGTAATAATCGCATTCTTAGCAAATATGTGCATGTAGGGTACTAGCTTTATTTCCTGAAGACATTTACCAAAAGTGAAAATAGTGTATTTCCAACAGGATTAAAATTTAAATTTACTGGGTCGGAGAGAAGGCTCAACAGTTAAGAGCACTGACTGTTCTTCCAGAGGACTTTGGATCATTCTCAGCAACCACATGGCAGGTAACAACTGTCTGTAACTACAAGATCTGACACCCTCACAGACATAAATGCAGGCAAAACACCAATGCAAATAAAATAAAATAAAAATAAATTAAAAAAATTAAATTCACCATTAACATTTAAGAGCAAAACTACCTGGCACATGCCTTTAATCCCAGTACTTGGGAGGCAGAGGCAGATGGATCTCTGTGAGTTTGAGACCAGTCTGGTCTACAAGAGCTAGTTCCAGGACAGCCTTCAAAGCCACAGAGAAACCCTGTCTCGAAAAACCAAAAAAAAAAAAAAAAAGAGCAAAACTACCACCAAGATGTCAACCAAATCTGTTGGACAGAAGAGTTTTACTTAAGACACAGTAGGATGTCAAGTGATGATTGGGTAAGCAAAATGTACTACATCCATGTTATTATTCCATTATAAGAAGGAATAAAATACTGATTTGTAGTGGCAAGTAGAAAATATTACATTACGTGAAGGGAGTCAGGCATAAAAGCCCACATATGTGTGATTCTACTTCTATGAAATATCCAAAACAGACAGACCATTCACAGTTATTAAAAGTAGATTAGTAGCTAAGAGAAACAAATACATGTAACTAAAAACTAGTAGGTCTGAAATTTCTTTTGAGATGACGAAAAGGCTTTGGAATTAGATCTTGGTGATAGTTTTAGAACAAACCAATAATAATTACTATTGTAAATATCAGTGAATTTTATGCTACACGAATTCTAATTTAACTTTAAGGGTACATTCACTTTCCCTGTATATGACTGTCATCACTAGCTCTAGACACATATTTAAGAGTTATTTTTCAATTAAAAGGGTTAATTTCAAATACACATAATTTGAAAATAATTGTTAAATATATAGAATAATTTTATAGGCTTCTTGTGATCATGCAAGGTATAAGTGTCCAATAGAAAGAAAGAAAATTAACAGGAAATTTCAAATGTGACAACAACTACTATACCTGGTGACAGAGATCTGCCATTAAGTCAATCAAATTTTCCTTGACAGCAATATTACGAGATCCTGAAGAGTATTTCCCTCTACTTCCTATATGACTAATCTCATTCACCAGCAGGTCATATAAGTTGTACAAGAAACTTTTCCATTTTGTTGATTCGTAAGCACCTGTAACCCAGAAACAGTGTATTTATATACAAATCCCATCTGCACTGCCAGCTCTCACGTCAACATGAGATGCCTAATCAAATTTCTATTTGGTACTAACACATCTTTGGGCAGTATCTTTGAAAACTCTACTCTTTAATGGTTTCACTTCATAATTAGCTAACTGTGGTATTATAAATACCCTCACATTCTCATCTAAAATTTCCCCTTTTCTAATGCATGATGTCCCCTAAGGAAAATAATATGCCCCCTTCGATATAAGAAACAGCTTCTTTAATTTTTGTTATTGTTAAGAGGAAACTATTACCATCTTCTTCCACTAGTACATATATGCTATCCATTTATGGCGGTTAGCTCACCATTCACATCACACTCCAGTCAACTTATGTCCCTCTTAAAAGGCTGAACTGGAGTCTGCAGAGTTTGGTTAACATATTTCTCCAACTGCCTGACCCTCATGGAAAAATACAGGGCTATTAATTCTCACAAACAGGATACCATAAAAATAAATTATTGGAGTTTAAAACTATGTGAATTTTTCTGGAAGCTTCATCCTCCTGTCAAATTTTCATCATAAAAATATGCAGGTAATAAACACATGACACCACCTCTTAACCAGCCTGATGTTTCTCCTGGTTAGAGCAGGGGGAAAACCTAAGAAGTCACAATTCTTTTGACATAGTTACACAAATCTCGAAGAGCTGATACATACAAAATAAAAAGTGGCTTCAACAGTTATCCTCCATGCTGTTGTTATTTAATGTGACAGAGTATCTTCATCACAGTTAGCCATGATAAACTAGTCTAAAGGATAGTGCAAGCCCAAAGGCAATCAGACAAAACAGGACAGAGTTCTTTTAAGTCAGTTGTCATTCAATCCAATTCTGAAAGACTGAAGAGCAATACTCAGTTTTTTGTTTGTTTGTTTGTTTTTTAAAGGCAAAACAATCAGTGAGGACAAGAGATTCAATACCAGTGTTTTATTGTTGTCCTCCCACCCCCATGAAAATGAGTGTGGTGTGACTAAAAGCACAAGGTGCAGCCATTGTCCTATTCTACCTCACATGTCTTTGCAAAGATTTAAGCACATAACCTCCTTAGAAACTGAATATTTGAATAACTGGAAGGGCTGTTTTCAGTTTAGCTAACATTTCATATCAGAAATAAGAATCTTCATGTAGATAAACAAGTTCCTGCTTTCTCTATCAGAAAGCAGTCACCTCTTAACAGTGAAGATGGATAAGTGGCTTTTGGAGGAACAGGCAATGTCTCATACTTGTTTTCATAATACTTTATTGAACAATGTAAAGGCAATTTACTGCCACTGATTCAAATTCAAGAAAATGCATGAAAAACAGTATCAAGACTAACTATACTATTAACCAGACACTTCATTCATCTACAGAATATTGATACCATACTTGGGCCTCTTATATTTTAATGAAGTATATTCAAACCAGGAAAAGTTCCCTTTATACCTTTTTCAGGGGTTTTGGCTCCTTGTGGATGATGGATATAAATTTGCAGTTGAATTAGTTCAATGATTACTTCTTTTAAAGAATCATTAAGTCTGTGTTGAGTCCAAATACACAGTAAGGTAGGAAGAATTTCATCTCCTACTTCACACACCCGTTTTCGGAAGTTGACAGCCAAAGTCTTGAGGAAAATGACAAGGGCTGATAAGATATGACTTAAGCCAGGAGAGCTCTTTTCTTGTCTGCAACAGAAGACAATGTCAACACAGTATAACAGGCACATTCTAAAGAATAAGATCTAATTTTCTTTTTTTTTTAAGGAATTTTATTTATTTTTATTTTCTGTACGTTGGTATTTTCCATTGGTGTCAGGTACCCTAGAACTGGAGTCACAGACAGTTATGAGCTGCCATGTGGGTTCTGGGAATTGAACCCTGGTTGTCTGCAAGAGCTTGTCAGTGCTCTTAACCACCCAGCCATCTCTCCAATCCCCTAACATCTAATTTTCAAACACTGTCATATCCTGGGTTCAAATCTCTTCAGAAAACAAACAAAAACTAACACAACAGCATTAGCCTGTTGTGGAATATTACTTTAACTATGTAAAGATGTGTTACACTTGTTTATACTGTGTTTGTTTAACAATGTAAAGATATGCTGCTTTGATTATATAAGGCACCGGATTGCAGGTCAGCCAGGCAGCCAGACACTGCGGAAGCAGGTAAAGTATGAGATACAGAAGGAAAGAAAGGTAAAAAAAACCCTAGACAAAATGTGGTTAAAGAAAAACAGGTTAAATTAAGTTTTAAGAGTTAGTGGGAGACAGGCAGTGGTGGCGCATGCCTTTAATCCCAGCACTTGGAAAGCAGAGGCAGGCAAATCTCTGTGAGTTTGAGACCAGCTTGGCCTACAAGAGTTAGTTCCAGGACAACCTCCAAAGCAATACAGAGAAACACTGTCTCGAAACCTCCCTGGGGGGGGGGGGGGAAGAGATTTATAAGATAAGGCTGAGCATTCATAATTGGTATTAAGTCTCCATGTCTTCATTTGGGAGGGTGGCAGTCCAAGAAAGCCTGCTACACTAACCAGTAACAAAAACACTGATTCTCATTTGGGGTCAACAAACTTGTCCTGTTACTCTCTCTGCTACTAAACCACTGTCTAAAAAAAACACACAATTCATATACGTTTAATATAAACTAGATAATGCCATACAGATTTATACCAATGCTTCCAAAATATTTTATTACTTTATTCTCAATATACTACATCTATCCTTAAAATGGAGAGAATTAAATTATTTAAGTGATATTCATCTTCCCTTGTTATCAGATGAGAAAGACCCCAAGGCTCACACTTAAGAGTGTCATTTAGCATTTACATATTAAGGAAATTTGTATCTGATCCTTTAAGAAACTGCTGGTTCTGAGTCAATGGTTCCTTTTGAAAGACAGTATTTTACACTACCACCAATGAATTGAGTTATTTTTTCTCCAAACTGTTGAGAGCCTTTACTGCTTCTTTATTTCTACAGTACCACTTTATCTCACTGTGGTTTGGCTTTCATGTTTTTGACAGCTAATGAAGTTAAATATGTTCTTTATAAATTCATTGGCTGCACAATTATTTTTTTTCTGTCTATTTTTTCATGATACAGGCCAAGTTAGCCATAAATTTGCAATCATCCTATGCAGAACCTCCAGAGTACTGGAATTACAGAAGTACACCACTACACCCAGCCCTTTGCCTATTTTTTTAATAAGGGTATTTAAAGACTTTTAATAATAAACTATTCTTATTCTTTGGAAAATCTCATCAATGTTTCTTGATCAAATTCACCCAACTTATCTCTCTTGACAGCATGGTTTTGTTACTGGGTTTCCCAAAGTTGTTATATAATCTGGATTTTAAGTCTTTAGTAAGATCAACAGTGTGCAAAAGTCTCTCCTATGTGGAAAGCTATCTCTTCCATCTGCTCATTATTTCCTTTCTGTGAAAAAGCTGCAGTTCATATAACTATCTCTTTTTGGTTTCATGTTTTGGGGGTTTAGCCCAAAAAGAACATTGCTTTTATCTTTTAAGAAATTATTTAGTGTGTGTGCACATGTGTACATGGATGCATGAAGCTCTCTAAAGGAGGATGCTGAGTGTCCCAACCATTCTCCACACCATTCCCTTGAAAGAGTGTCTCATATACACACTGGAGTTTGCCATTTTGGAGCAAGGCTGGTAGTCAGCAGGCTGCAAAGATTCTCTGTCTCTATCTTCAACTCCAACACTGTGCTGGGATTAAAAGCTTGTCCAGATACACTGAACTGTTTTATTTGGGTGGGGAGGTGGCTAAGTGAGTATGAACATTTGGTTCGCCCCTTTTATAAGTATCTTAAAGTGTTTCATCTGTTTGCTTTCTTCAAGTTTCTAAGTTGCAAATCTTTGGTCTATTTAAAGTTTGGTTGTTTTGTTTTTTTTTTCTCATATAGGATGGGAAATAGAGGTCAAGCTGCATACAAAATATGAAATATCACAATGGAACATTTGAGCATAATTATGTTAATAAATTTGATATTCAAGAAAATAGAAATATCCTGACTTGATCATACATACTGTACACCTATTACCACATTTTACAACACAAATTTGAGCAACTGAAATAACCACTGTTTAAAAGATAGTATTTTTTAGTCACTAATCTGATCATGACAAGATCTAGTGCAGTTTGAATATGAAATATTCAAATGAAATATTCAATATGAAAACACAGTGATTACCTTGCATACTGAACAGCCTTGGAAAAAAAATCCAAAAACTTTGAAGGTAATCCATCAGTCTGTGAACAACATCCTCCAGTGACAGCATGAATTATTCTAGCCACTAAAACTCTATTGATGTCTTGTGGTGGTTTGAGATACAGCCTGAAGTACACAGAGAACAATTCTAAAAATTGGAGGGGAAAAGTATTAGCTAATTATTATAAAAATCAAATATGTTCAACATCACAATTCAACTTAAATATGCCATAGACAAAAGCATTAAAGATGACCTTGAATTTAACACAATACTCTATCAATAGTTAAATAATGTACTTAAAATAGGTAGCACGCTCTGAGGGTATCTATTCTAACAGTCAGACCTCAGATAAGCTACTTTACTTCTCTATGCCTAAGCTACTTTATCTGGACTAACCAAGTCTTTGACAGAGTCTTGGTGTCCTATCAATGCTGTTTTTTAAATATATTACCACTTATTAGTGATCTCAAAGTTAACTCTGCTTGTGACAGTTGCATGGATTTTGTCAAAGGACACAAGCTTCTTGCTCAAGGAAAAAGGAAAGTTTATTCCTCAAAGCATTAACAGCAGGCAGAATACTAACATCTTTGCATTAGTTCCTCAACCTCAATAGCACCATGAAGAGGGACATCTGACCCAAATGAAAATAGTAGCACTTTTATAAATAAATAGGTTAAAAACAGAACTTTTTTTTTTTTTTTTTTTTTTTTGAGACAGGTTTTCCTCTGTGTAATAGCCCTGGCTGTCCTGGAACTCACTCTGTAGACCAGGCTGGCCTCAAACTCAGAGATCTGCCTGCCTCTGCCTCCCGAGTGCTGCGATTAAAGGTGTATGCCACCAACTCCTGGCAAGAGCAAAACCATTCTTTGTGTGAAGAAAGCCATTGACTTTAACTCCCAGGTTATTCACATACAATACACTCTTGAGAAAAGTAGTCTGAACTAAAAACAGAAAGGGAAAAAAGAAAAAAGGAGCCAGCATCTCTATGTCAGAGACATGCTGAAAAGTAAAATCTATTGAGAATTATCCCAAACATAATAATAAATAAGCTAGTGGCTTAAGATGTTATTCCTATTAAAAGATAGACCGGAATAATAACGACTATTTGTATCTTTCTTTTCAATCGTTCATGTCACAATTCTGCAGAAATGGATAAATAGCTTAAAATCAAGTAATGGACAAGATATAAGACCAATATAAATAATTAAAACATTATATTGGAATAGGTAATTTTTTAATCCTACTATGTAATAAGTTTATAAAACTATACTAATTATATCAACATGTTTTCATTGCATGGAATAGCTACACAATGGTAAAAATGTTTATATACACATACTGAAGAGAAATTCTTTTAAACAATTTTATCTTTTATTGACCAATAGGCAAGATAAAGTAGAAAAAGACAAAACTGCAATTGCTTCTCACTAAAGCACAGACTTCAAGACACATTAATCAGAAATGTTCAAGTTTTCACAGAATCCATCAAACTCCAATAGAGGGGATACAAAGGATGGCATGAGACACTTATAGAAATCTCAGAACAACAGACTCTTGCTTCTTCAAAAAGGTTGAGATATATGCATTCATATGTATGTACTTTCTTCATGAATCCAGTAGCAACTCCCCCCCAAAGGTAGATAGTAAAATTGCATATGAGAAACAAGTTGAAAAAAAAATGGAAACTCAAACATCATCAAATGGAAATTTCTTGAGACATTAAATATGAGCAATCCTGGCACCTACAAATGAAACTAAATGATATAAACCTTTCAAATCTGTTATCTATTTCTGTTTAACAGCCCAGACTATGATACAATGCTGAAATGCTGTACAAATGGGCTTGACTCTGGTGAGGTATCAAATTAGATAGCATCACAATGGTAGCAGAACTTATGTGATCAGTAATTTGGGATCAGGGTTTAATAACTGATCTCTCAAGTGCTAACACAAGGATACCAGAAATAAAAAACAATTTTGTATCACAGCACTGAAAATTGGAAATAGAAATTAAAATAAAATAGCACTTTGCATGTCTAGTAAGCATCTGATTTTCAATCTAACATCTCTGCCTAATCCAATGAGTTCTTGTGCACTTTATCCTTTCTGTAATATTTAAGGTGTCCACCATATCCTTCTGAACTCAGAACTCTTGCTTTCAACTTCTGTGACATCTCTCTCTTTTGGTTATTCCTTTCTCCTTTATTTATGGTCTAGTTGAGATGTCACTGTTGTGTGCACACATTGTATAGAAGCATGTGGATTATAACAAACGGCAAGGTAATTTTTAGTTCATTGGAACTTTTTTCAGTCACTGGATTGCTGAATAATTAAAAACAGAACAGTAATCTTTTTTGTTTTGTTTTGTTTTTTCTGTTTTTTGAGACAGGTTTTCCCTGTAGCTTTGGAGGCTGTCCTGGAACTAGCTCTTGTAGACCAGGCAGGTCTCGAACTCAGAACTCTGCCTGCCTCTGCCTCCTGAGTGCTGGGATTAAAGGCATGCGCCACCACAGCCCTGCTCGGAACAGTAATCTTTGAAATCTATAATTACAGTTCTAGTAAGCACCTACTATGAACTATATGTGACTTAATAATTTAAAAGGACATAATAAATAAAAATTAAGAACTGAACATGGTAGTACATACCTATAATCCCAGCTCTCAGGAGACCAAGGCAGGAGGATTACAAGTTGAAGGCCAGAAAGGATATGTAGCAAGATATTATCTTGAAAATAAAGAAACTAAAGAACTGATTCTGTAATCACATAATTTCATCAATGTAATGTTAAATTTGAGTCAACTGTGGGATGTAGACTGCTTTTACTCTTGTAATTTCATTTTATAAGAGAAAAGCCTTCAAAACATACCTAGCCACTGTTGCTGAGATATTTCACACCAGTATTTTCTCACAGAAAGAATATCTTTGAGTAGTATGTTGCTACAATCAGCTCCATAAGTTACACCATTAGATGAATCTTTCACTGTATCCATGACATAATTCAAGAGGTCTTGACATTTTAGCCTGGGAGCTCCTATTTAAAAATAAAACGAAAAAGAACATATGGATGTTAAAAAATAAAAAATCCTTGGAATGCCAACTTCTTTAAATGATTCCATTCATGAAATTGCTCTCAATTCACTTTCTCCTACAACAAGAATTAGCAAATCCCATAGCCCGTGAGTAAAATTCAACTTGTTGGCTATTTTGTTAATGATCTTTTCCTGAAATGCAATCATGTGAAATGAGTAACTGCAACAGATAATATATGACCCAGAAAGTTAAAAAAAAAAAATTGCTATATCGCCTCATTAAATATTGTTTGCTACCAGGTTGTGGTGGTGTGCTCAGGAGGCAGATGCAGATGGATCTCGGAGAGTTTGAGGCCAGCCTGGTCTACAGAGTGAGTCCCAGGACAGCCAGGGCTACACAGAGAAACCTTATCTTACCTCCCCCACCATCAAAAGATTAAGTTTGCCAACTCCTAAAGATACAGCAGAAATAAAGATTAACTTTAATACTTAGCAATTAGCAATACTGGCATTAGACTTAAAAGGACTCTAAATCTCTGAACATCTTTATGAATAAATTTATTAAAATAATTTTGTTATTTTAATTAGAAATAGCCGATTTACTCTAAAAAGCAAGATTATTTCCATGGCATCTAACAGCATACTATGGTATACATATAGAAAAGGCTGAAAGTTTAACAACACAATATTTTAGATTCTGAAAATTCAATGCTAATAAATTTTCTTTTAATAAAGGCACTTTAAGCAACTACCTTTTCTAAAATGTTATTATTTATTTGTATGTGTCTGAGTGTTTTGCCTCCATGTATGTCTGTGAACCACATGCATGCAGTGCTTGCGGGGGGCCAGAAGACAGACAGCATTGGATCCCCTAGGATTGGAGTTTTAGGTAGTTGGGGGCTCCCATGTGGGTGCTGGGGATTTAGTCCAAATCTTCTAGAAAAGCAGCCAGTGCTCTTAATCAGAGTCATCTCTTCCACACCCAGATGTATAAATCTTAAAGGTCACAAAATTACATTTACAAACAATTTAAACAAGGCACATTATTATTCTCCAATAATCCCAGTAGTCCTAGATAAAGGCAAGATTAGGAAGGTCAAAGTGTCATTTCTGACTATACAGTAAGTTTAACACCATCTTGGGCCACATGGAGACCCTGTCTTAAAATTAGAAAAAAAAAAAAAAAAGGAAAAATTTAAGTCAGATAGGGTAGTGCATGCCTGTAACACCAGGTAACAGCCAGCCAGGGCTATAGAAATAAAAAGGTTTGATTTTCATCAAATCATACTGATATCAAAGCTAGAATACTATCATTTCTTCAATATTGACTTTATTTTGAAATCAAACTATGTATAGAGTTCAATTCAAAATGCATATAAGAATTGTATTAGGCCAGCACTCTCTCAATGATGAGACTGTTCACATTCAGAAGTATCATGCCATGCTAAGTACTAACATCACAACACAATAGCTTTCAGTTAGGGCTCATAATTTCAGGCATCTGGCCCATGTTGGTACCCACACCCTGTGATCTTTTTCTTCTATTCCTATATCTCACACAATTCTTGAAACATTTTTAATCTACAGTATTTGTTGTATTACTAGAACATTACTGAAAGGATTAATTTTTATATTACCACAAATGCTCAGGACCCACAGTAGACAACAAATAAAGTTAATTTCATGAATATTAAGATAAACTCATATTTTTCTATATTTTTATCCCAGAATATTCTCTTGCTCTGCTAAAAATAAATGTTTAAAAATTACAATGTTTCTATTTCCTAAAAAGTTTCTCCCACTGGAGGTTAAAACTCAGTGACACAATATTTGCCTAACATACATGCACAAACCATAAGTTTCATACCTATCACTGTTAAAAAAACAAAAACAAACAACATAAAAAGTAAATAAAAATTTACAAATCTGTCTTGTAAAAAGGCTATGTTGTTTATATGCTTAAGAAACCTCATGAACTAGTTTGCACAGCTATGTTTTTTATTCTTTACACTCTGTGCATAATATAGAATCAGGAATAACAGTAATAAGTTCCTTCTTAGTTATTCCCACACTCACTAGTTAGTTAATGTTTTTCTTCATTCTACTTTGGTTACAATATTAAACAAGTCTGTTAAAACCTCAATGTGAGGCAGGAGACATGGCTCAGCGGTTAAGAGCACCGACTGCTCTTCTAGAGGTCCTGAGTTCAATTCCCAGCAACCACATGGTGGCTCACAGCCATCGGTTATAAGATCTGGTGCCTTCTTCTGGTGTGCAGATATACATGGAAGCAGAATGTTGTATACATAATAAATAAATAAAATCTTTAAAAAAAAACAAAAACCTCAATGTGTGTTTAAGTAGAACTGAAGAAGTAAGATGACAGTAACTCTCTGGTTTTAAGTTTAAAGAGTCTGACATTACAAAATCCATTTTTAATTTAATTTATTGAAATAGATTCTTTTTTCATACAATATATCTTTACAGTTTCCCATCCCTCTGGATCCACTCTCCTTCTGTCACTTATTAGGAAAGAATGGGCTTCTAACCAAACATGATAAAATATAAAACAAAAACCATCACATCGATGCTGGACCAGGCAACCCAACAGAAGGCAAAATCCCCAAGAGCAGGCACAAGAATCAGAGCTCCACGCATTCACACTCAGGAGTCCCATAAAAATATTAAGCTGACAGTTGTAATACATACATAGAGGACCTGGTGCAGACTTGTGTTGCCCCTGCGCTTGCTTGCTGCTTCAGATTCTGTGAATTCAAATTAAAAGCTAGCCCCTAAATAAAACAGTACTTTTAACTGTTTAAATGATCTTGTATTAACAATTTTACTTTTTTGTAAAGCAACATATTGATATATTTTTAAATGTGATCTCCATGATTAATCTTCTAACTAAAAGTTTCTTTTTACTAGAAGGCAAAATTATAAACTACAGATTTTTCTGCAGGGTAACAAATTTGGTATCTTCCACTCAGGAATTACATGGTACAAATTAAGCTCCCAATCTTACAAGACAATAATACATGTTTGAGTGAATACAAAACTACCACATCAGCCAAAGGCAGGTACAGAATGTTTCAGTGTGCTTTTGTCTCAGCTGGAGAATCTAGGGAGGGTTAATAGCTGTTCACACAAAGTGGAATCTCAAGAGAATAGAGAATTTCTTTAAACTGTTCATTAGACTCATTCTAGTAGATCATTAACCAACTATCTATGTTTTTCTACTAAATGTTTACCATAATCTGGATTTTCCAATTACATTTTTTTATGTGTGTATATGGCTAGATGTATGTGTGCATGGTACTCATGAACTTAAGAGTCTAAGGACATCTTGTTAGAGTCAGTTCTCCCCTACCACCATGTGGGACCTAGGGACTAAACTCAGGTTGTCAGGCCTGGCACCAATTACCTTTTACCTGCTGAGTCATCATGCCAAACCATGTATTTCCCTCATGTTTAGCCTAAAGTTGCTATCACAAATCCACATCTTTATTTGCACAGTGTCAGAAGTCTGAGATCTCTCAACAAATGTTATTTGTTCTAGTTTTCAGCACTAGGCAAAGCCTACTTCTTTGCAAAAGTTTATGAGGATCCTGCATTTCTGCTTCAAAAATGTCATTCTTGAGGTCAGTAACTGGATCCTCTGGTGAGGCACTTACTGCCAAGCCTGATGATCTGAGTCTAATCCCCAGGACCTATATGATACAAGGAGAGAACCAACTCCTACAAGTTGTCTTCTGACATCCATGAGCACATCATGACAAATGCACATACATGTATACAAAACAAAAAAAAGTACTGAAAAATTTTAAAAATCATTCCTTAAAAATATCAACTGTAGTAATAGACATGAGTATCCCTGGCGCTTGTTAACCAGCAAACCTAGCCTACTGTAAACCTTCAGGCCAACAAGAAACTCTGTAACAAAACATAAGGTGGATGGCACCAAGGGAATGACAGCTGAAGTTGTTCACAGAACCCCCTTTAACCAGAACTCTTGTATGAGCCCATCACATACAAGCACGAGCAAACACAACACAACACACAATACACACACCACACACACACACACACACACACACACACACACACACACGGAAAGCATGGGGCACATATCTGCAATCTCAGCACAAGGAAGATTTGCAACAGCAGGATTACAAATCTGAGCTACAGTGAAAGACTCTGTTTCAAAAAGCAAAACTGAAACAAATATGCTGTAGACTGTGTCAATTAGATTATACTACAAACATGAGTCCCACCTTCTTTGACAGAAGTAACAAACTGAAGATTATTAAAGAAAGAGTAAAGTAAAAACTAGGTCACATGAGCTGAAAGAATTAGGTCCATTTATCTTAAGAGTACTTAGGAATTCTATGGCTATTTTCAAATATATCAAATCATAATTACTAGGTTTTCTGTATGTCCTTTAAGAATTTAGAGGGGATGGAGAGAGGGCTTAGTGGTTAAGAGCATTTAATGCTCTTCTAGAGGACATTTGGATCCCAGCACTCATGTTGTGTTTTATAACCATCCAGAATTCCAGTTCCAGAGGATTCTTCTATCTCTATCTCTACAAGTACGAGGAGCATATCATATGGTACACTTACATACATGCAAACAAAATACTCATACACATAAATAGATGAATCTTAGAAAATAAAGTAGAAGCAGTAATAAATGGGGGCAGTTTTTAATGCTTTTTTTTTTTAACATTTTTGATCTATTTCCTTTGTGAGCATGCACATGCTCACAAGTGTAATAAACGCCCATGTCATGTACATATGTGGAGGTCAGAGGACAACTTGAAGGAGTTGCTTTTCTCCATCACATACGTTTCAGTGCTCAAACTCAGGTCAAAGTGCCTTTATCTGCCAAGCCATCTAATTGGCCTAACAGGCTTTTATACCTTTAAAATAAAACTGTTCAGCTTCAAAATGTTTTTTGAAACCTTCTGCCAATGTCTAGAGACATGGGGGGATTGAAGCAATAATTTTTAATCTTTCCATTTTTGAGATTAAAGATTTTATTCTAAACTCTCCCAAATTTCAAACCAATAGTTTTAGAAGTCAGTATATGTGCTAGGAATTCAGTCAGTAATTTATCTTTATGCTACTGTATTAAGATCAGATTTATGCTATGGTAACTACTGAAGCATCTGTGTGTAATACATAATGTTGCTTACTCTTATTTGCACATTTGATGAAGTATCTGACCAAACTGCTGATCTCTTGCATCTTCTTCTGTCTGGAGGTTTGTGTGGAGGCTGATACATTTGGTTTTGCTGTTTTCAGACATTCTGTTTCTTTGTTAATATAATTCTGCAGAAACCTGCAAGAAAAAAAAATTCATATCCTCACTAATGCTTATAATTTTATCATTTCAAAAACTCCAGTATGCCTTCCTCCAAAACATCATTTAAACCACAGTTTTGTATCATCTATATGAAACTATTTCTTTTCCAAAGCCTACCAAGACGCAATGTCAATATAAAGCCTAGCTTGAAAAGCTCTTAATCTGAGTACTTCAACTCTCTTTACATTATAAGAGGGTAGTAATACTTCAAGTCTTTAACGGGCAGCTACCTAGAAGTCACTGAAGACTGGCCAGAAGTATTGGATGTAAATCTGGCCAATTGAATCAGCTTATAAAAACAGGTAACAGCATTTGTTTTGTTTTGTTTTGTTTGGGGGTAGAGTTGGTTTTTCAAGACAGGGTTTCTCTATAGCTGTGGAGCCTGTCCTGACACGACCAGCCTGGCCTCAAACTCACAGAGATCCACCTACCTCTGCCTCTCAAGTGCTGGGATTAAAGGCATGTGCCACCACTACCCAGCAATAATTGTATTTATAATATTGTAAATAAGCTAAATGCTCAACAAGAAAACATGAATATTTCCCATGTCATATGCATTTAGAACTTTAACATTTTAATATCACACAAGAGATAAAAAATAAGCTTATCAACTGGGAGGTAATGGTATGCACCTATAATCCCAGCATTCAGGAGGCACTGGCAGGCAGATCTTAAGTTTGAGGCCAGCTTGGTCTACAAAGTGAGTTCTACAATAACCAAGGCTACAAAGAGAAACCCTGTACCGAAAACATAAAAAATAAACAAAAGTTTATCTGTTAGAAGTACTCTAAGACAATTTAATACTGTATGAAGAAATGTGAACACCTTTACTGCAATTATTTATTTTGTTTATTTGTAATGAACTGAACTCATTATCTTCCTCTATCAACTTCCCAAGGAGTCAAGATTACAGGTGTTATACCAACATACTAGCTTCAGATGTAATACTTTCAGTATTCTACATAAATTTAAATACATTTGAGGGGCTGAAAAGATGGCTCAGTGGTTAAGAGTGCACACTGTTCTTCCAAAAGACCAGAATTTGGTCCCAGAACCCATGTCAGACAGCTTACAACCTCAAGGATATCCAATGTCCACTTTTGGACACCTAGGACCCTGCACATACTTGACAGACAAACAAAGACACACATACACAAATAGCAATATTTTTACATTTTTTGAACCCCTCCAAAAGTCTCACAATATCTGTTCTTAGTTTATAAATAAACTTATGATTGACAATGAAGTTTCAATATAAAAATGAATAAACTGTGCCACAAACAGTTTCTTAATCTGCTTTAATCTAAAAGTATTCCAATATTTATTTTTTTAGTATAATTTAACACATGCCAGTTATTCATAATCAGCAACAATCAAAATGATATGACAAATACTATAACTTAACTTTTTTTTTTTTTTGAGACAAGGACTCTGTGTGTAGGCCTGGCTGTCCAAGAAATTACTCTGTAGACCAAGATAGCCTCAAACTCAGAGATCTGTCTGCCTCTGCCTCCCGAGTGCTGGGATTAAAGGTGTGTGCTAACACCACCCGGCTTCTGTATGCAGTTTTTTAAACAATCTTTTAGATAACTAAATGCCAACTTCCTATATAACATACATTGATATACAGTGAACAAAAATCAAACAATAAAACGGTATCACAAAATAGGAAAAGAAAGTAAAACAAATTCAAAAAGGCTACCTGAAAACAGCATCCCAATTCAAATATTTTTGTTGTTTGGAATCTGAATGCCTATCTAGATGTTGAACTGTTTCAGGGTCCTGAATCAGACGCTTAAATCTCTCCACTTCTTTCTGAAGGTAAAAAAAAGAGCATAATAATAATTACATACCATGTCACCTATCACACATCTCTTTCAAGAAAAACAATTTCAAATAATTTAGTACCCTTCTTTCTGTAGCTCTGTCGTGTTCTAATTGCCGGCAGCAAACAAGCAGATCGTTAAGTGCTAGACTCATGGTTTAAGATTTCAGAGCATACATCCTCACCTGTAACCAGAAATAAATATATGCAATTAATTTCATTTATTTGGGGTATTTTGGTGCTGAGGACTGGCTATACTATAAGCCTATGTGTAATTGTTTTAGAGTACAGTACCTCTATACATTTAAACATAACTGTACATCCAGAGGCACACTGTGATCAAAGACACAATTTTTCTTAACATTTCTATGAGACATTATCTTACAATTTATCAAAATTATGCTCTAATTCTGAAATGTGTGCTTTGCATAGCAGGATAAAGTATATTTTGAAGAAAATGAAACAGTTCAATATTATCTCTGAAAGAAAAAACATTTACTGATAAGTGCGACAATATTGCTTCACATATACAGTGTTTCAGGTTAAGAATATGTTAGAATCAGCAAGAAAATAAATGAACTATATTGACACAAACCCTCCCCTCTTGGAGACATCTGGGGAGAATGATGACAATAAAATTGTTGATGTGTAGCTCCAAATTTCAATATATGTCTCAAAGGAAACAAAAATACAGTAGAAAACAACAGAAGAGAACGGAGTGTGATAGAGAATGCATGTAATCCCACCAGTGAGGAGGTAGAGGCAGGAGGATCAAGAGTTTACAGTCACCCTGAGTGTGAGATCAATGTCAGACTGCTATATAGAAGCTCATGTTTCAAAATAAACATTACAACAGTTTATCATTTTAGATAAGCTGTCATGACCATATATCAAAGGAGGATTAAAAATTTCAAGAGCTGAATGAAGTGGTGTCAATTACAGAAGAACTTAAGAGTGAACATTTTAGGGAAGGAGACTAGAGAAGCCAAAAGGCCCTAAAACAGAAAAAGAGTATGTGTTAAAGGAAGTGAAAGACAGTCAGAATTGTGCCAGCTTCCACAACACGCACAGTAAAATTGGAACAGTTGTGTAGAGATGGTGCACAAATTTATGAATGTTCCATGTTTTTAAAAAAAATAGGTGAGTGGCAGAACTAAAGTTATCCAACTAAAGACAGCAATAAACACACTGTTCATATACTAAAAAAGATAGCATCGTTTCAACTCCTAACATACAACTGAAAAAAAGCAAAAGCCCCTGAATTGACAAATCCAATCTTACTTTCAAACAAATCAGTGTATTTACAAAATTGACAATGATAATTATATGTCATTTTCCCAGAAATAACCCCACCTCTGGCATGCCATTCTCGACTAGCGGTAGAACACAGCATCTATATTCCCAGACCTGGGGGAGGTTTAGGCAGCAGGATTGTGGGATTGTGAGTTCATGGCTAGCAAGAGTTGCAAGAGCGGGCTCTACAGTCAGGTTGTATTGTTGCAGTTCAAGACCACTCAATTTACAGTTATCCAACCTGGAGCATGTTGATTAACCTCTCAAACCTGTTTTCTCGAGTCTCTCTCTCTCTCTCTCTCTCTCTCTCTCTCTCTCTCTCTCTCTCTGTCTCTCTCTCAAAGGAGACACATGCTCACGTGTGTGTCTTTACACACATATGCACACACATTCATCTGAATGCGTGTGCATGTGTGCAGACACACACACACCACAGACACACACACACAGAGCAAATGTTCAGAGTAACGACCATTCTATTATTGTTTCCCTTAGAACCACTTCATGAATCTATTTGGGTGGTTCTGCTTTTCTCCTCCTTTTTGCTCATATCCCTCCCTGTGGCTTCAATACACTGAAAACTAACAGAGCTCGCTCTGGAGCTTCAGAAACCTATGCTTTGTGCCTTTCCATGCATTTCCTTCTGTCTGAACGGTTCGCTACCATCTTGCAGAACAATTTACACCCGGCGAAGTCTAGCAGCAAATCAGGTTCAATTTCCACAGAACCAGTCCCTCCTCGGCTAACACAGTGCTGCTCTTCTATCACACCATCGCTTTGAAAATTAGCTAATTATCTGTGACAGGTGGGAAGGGAATCGGGGAACCAGCAGATAACCCTTAGGGACTGCCACTCACATGCCATACAACTAACAATAAGAATTCGAACTCTTGAGACTGATTTCCGAGTCCATGCTTTTAACCATGACCCTGTACTTTGTTTTTACGGACCTGTAGCTTAGATATAGTTAAATGGTCTGTGACTAAACTATGAGATTTAAAAAATGAGCAGTTTCCTAGATAATTCAGAACCCTTAAGGTGACAGGCAGGAAAGGGGGACGCGTAGAAGAAGGTAAGGTTCAGGCTCACTCCACTCCTCAGCGAGAAAAAGATCACGTGCACCCGGGAAAGATGAGGTAAGAGGCGTCTAGCGGCCTTCCAGAGCCGAGAGAAGATGGGGTCTGAGGAGAATTTTCCTTCACAGAAGCCCCGGCTTTCGTCCGCGCTCCTACCGTTGCATTTTGTCTGCCAATGCAAACCGAGGTCGCTTCCCCTTTTCCCGCGTCCACGGATCACGCACCAGGCTGCCGCCGCGAGCCTTCCCGCTTCCGGCTAAAAAGCAGCAACTTTGCAAAGCGTGGGCTCCCCAAAGGAAGAAGTCTGAGTCGCTACACGGTGTGCACGTACGCGTGCGCAGAGCGATCACGCGCTCTCCAACTCAAAACATTTCGCTCCCCTCAAAACATTCACCCAGTCTGAGGAAACGCGCCTGCGCACGGCGCACCAATGACTGACGACCTCGCGCGGGCGACTCCGCCCAGGGGTTGATGCTCCCTCACCGGGCCACCGGGTCCTCTCTAGCCCCACCCCTCCGCGGACGGAAATGACGACAGTTCGCAGGAGAACGGAGGCGGGTTTCATTTCGGCGCCTTTCTGTCTCCTGCGGAAGGGATTGGTTGGCGTGCAACGAAAGAGGCGGGACAAATTGCCGCGGGTTCAGTACCGCCACTGGAACCGGGAGATGCGGCGGCGCCGGGGCTGTCGCGGTGTTTGCTTTGAGTTGACTCGCGTACCTTCAGGCGGCTCCCTGTGCAGTTCGGATCATGCTGTTACCCTCGGATGTAGCCAGGCTGGTATTGGGTAAGTGTCGGCCCGGGAGGGCGGGTGATCGGACTGGGTTGAGAGGACGGAAGGACTGGGGGCGGGTGGGGGGGAGGTGGTTGCTTTGGGTGGGGACGCTTTGGGGGGTCGCCCCCTCGGGTCCAAGTTCAGCCTGACGGAGATGCTCGGTCCCTCGGAGACTTGGGGTGTTTGTAACCCCTTGGTGTGAGGATGCCCCTCTCCTCAAGCTGCGTGACGAGGGGGCAGTCAAAGGGAGAAGAAGAAGAAGCTCGGCGTCAAACACCTGGGGCCTGGATTCCGAGGCAGAGCCAGGCCCGCTGGGACCCCTGAAAGAGTGTCGTCTACGTGGTGGACGGGGCTGGGTGTCCCTCACCCTTTCCCTTGTCAGAGCCGGGACCGAAAAAGGAAAAGGAAAAAAAAAAAAAAGGGCGGGGGGCTTCCCCGACCGCCCAGCTTTGTGCAAAGACTTCCCCGTGCCCTTACCCGTAACTCGACATTAGCACTAGGAATTTGGGACACAAGGTTTCCGTACTCCTTACCATAGAGTCTTGAAATGCCGGTTGTATATTTTAAAACGGCAGTTTTTCATGTTCTTGAGCAAATATTTCGGGGGGGGGGTACGACGACTGCCTTCTGGTTGCACACGTTCTAGTCCTAGTTTTTCCTCCATTTTTGAAAAGGGCTAGTTCGTAGACCACTGGTTGGTCGGGGTATATTGTCTGTGTGAAAGACCGTTTTCGTTGTTTGTTCTCTGGAAGAAAGGAATTGTACTGCTGGGAACAAGAACCTCTTAGGATCAAATTTGGGTAGTGACTTTGAAACATTATTTGCAACATCTCTAGATGAAATTGGTAAAAGTGTGGTAAATCCTTCCACTTTCAACAACCGTTGCTAACATTTGTTTTGTGCCTAGTCCTGTCAAAAATAAGATAAAAATAATGAATTAAAATTTTATGGGGTTCTTGATAAGCTCGTTTGGCAGGAAATATTAAGAGGCTCTAAATAGTTTCACCCTACATTTTTGGAGAACCTTAAACACTAAAACTAATGTTTTGAATGTCTAATTTTTTTTCCTGCTTCAGCAGAAATGAGTAGTTAGATTTATACGTGTGGCTTCATCAGAATCGAGTAGTTAAGTTTGTACCTGTGATTTTTAAAATTAGCTATCTTGTAATTTTTAAACTTATTAGGGCCTTGTGAAAATTGATGAAAAGTATTAATATATCCTTTTTTCCTCTGAGTGTATTGTTTGGATAAGAATTGTGACTTTTAGCAGTCTGGCAATCCAAATAAAATTCCAAGATCATAGTCTTAAAAAAGTTTTTTCTCTTGGTAGTGGATGCCTTTAATCCCAGCACTTGGAAGGCAGAGGCAGGCTGATCTCTGTGAATTCTAGTCCAGTCAGATCTACAGAGGGAGTTCCAGGAGAGTAAGGGCTACTGGGGTGGGGGGGCGTCTGGAGTTTCGAAATATAAACATTGTGAAGTGGATAATTATGAGTCATTTTTCTGTGTTCAGATTTTATGAGATGTTTAGCAGCAACCATGATTTCTCTCCACTGATCCCCTTTAGGACCTCCTTTCCCATCATTCCCAGCTGTAAGAAGGGAAAGATGCCTCTACACAGTGTATCCCTGAAGGGAAAGTCCTGCCTTGTTAAGAAAACCTTAAGGAAAATGACAGGGTTTTCTAATTGGAGTAATTAATGCTTCTCCCCCACTAGTAAGCTGTTTACTATTTTTCTCCTGGGGGCTAGAAACTCAAGTTGTTGCTTTTCATCCTTAAAACCATCTTTGTTAATTCACATTCCATTTCAGTGCCATGAATTCCAGCATGCCTTCCATTCTGTTTTGGAATTGTGATTTCTTTCTATATACTATTCATGTTTACTCTTGTTTCAAATCTTCCTGAAGCATTCAGGTCCTACCACATAGTCTAAGAATTGAAACACTTTTGGTATACAAGAAATTATCCAACTACTCTCAGTTCTGTGATTTAGTTATCTTTTATGCATATGCAAACTTACATCAACAGGTTTATTCCTTGATCAGGATTCTTCTGTTGAACCTCTTTACCATCTTTAGCTCCTCTTTAAATCCTTTGTGGTTTTTTGTTTGCTTGTTTGTTTCTTGGCATGTTCCAAATGCTGCTAGTTTCCAAGCATAAGGAGAAAGGTAATTTTTCTTCACTTAGTATTCACTCCTGTGTTGTTTAACTCTTTAACACCAAAACATTTTTTCTGAACTCCATCTCCAATTGTCCAGTACCCAGTGTCACTTACAAGATATATTTACTTGTAAAACTGCTTGGTACTTAGCTGTTTTACTAATTCGTTTTCCCCTAATTTTTTAGCTTGCCATACTCATCTCACTGCTCTCTGCTCAGCCACAGCCAGCTATTTGCTGTCTTAACGGAATTTTTCAAAATATTGTAGAGACCAAAATACTTCAAACTGTTGCTTACTGCCTCTAGACCTTCAGTTTGGCTTTTACTAATATGTCATAGGAAGTGCTCTGTAGAGCTGATTCTGCTTGTCTTTTATCCAGGCCTGTCCTCTCTGTGTTTTCAAAGGCTGCATCAGACCAAACTGAGTTTCGAGTATTATGTATTCCTTTTTCCCTTGTGTTCCTAATAAAGGTTCAAGTCAAATGTGTAGCAGAAAGTTCTTCCAGTAGCTACTTGATAATTTCTCCAGTATCCTATTAAAGAAGCTGTGTTGGTGGGCAAAGGATTTTTTGTTTGTTTGTTTGTTTTGTAAGGAACACAAAACAAAATTGGTCATTTTAGAAATTTTTAAGCTTCTCGTACTCTGGTACTAGTTATATAACATTGTTCTGCAAACATCCCTACCATCCGCCTCTAAAATTTCCTTCTTCCTGAACTGAAACTTTGCCATTCAGTATTTTTATATTGTAGTCAAGCTTCAAGATTTCTTAGAAACCTCCAAAATGATAAAAAAAAGTTCTGTGTATAAAAGGAGTACTTTCCGATTGGAGAATTCAAATGTTCTTCAATTTCTTAAGTAGGTTACCTTCTGTATGAGTTGGCATCCATTCAGTAAAGGAACCAGAAACTAAGTTGTATGTTTAACATGGTAGGATTTAATGAGGGAATTGGTTACACCAGTGATACAAAAGCTAAGAAGCTGAACAGCTTATGTGAGGCAATTTATAGGTTAGTCAGCACAGCAGGAAACCATGCTAATCCAGGAGACAAGGCAATATAAAGCAGCCCAGAGGCTACTGTGTGGGAAGAAGAAACTAAAGACTTGTCTGATAAGGAAGCTATAGGCAGAGAAGAGATTATTGAGGCAATCAGGGAATATGGCTTCTTCCTCTTGAATTCTAACCTGAACAAGTGCTTGCCATTTTAGCAAACTTAGCCAGAAGTTAGCTGACAGGTAAGCAGAGTAACTTTGCCTGTTTGAAGTCTGGCTTTCTATCATAAAGAGTCCTGAAAAATGAAGAATTGGTTTGAGAGCAAACAGGACCAGGACTACTGACGCATTCTTTTTTGGTTTGTTTGTTGGATTTTTTGAGACAGGGTTTCTCTGTGGCTTTGGAGGCTGTCCTGGAACTAGCTCTTGTAGACCAGGCTAGTCTTGAACTCACAGAGATCCGAGGGCTGGGATTAAAGGCCTGCGCCACCACCGCCGGGCCAGGACTGTCATATTCTTTTTTTTTTTTTTTTTTTTTTTTTTTTAATCGAGACAGGGTTTCTCTGTGTAGCTTTGGAGCCTATCCTGGCACTCACTCTGGAGACCAGGCTGGCCTCTGCCTCCCGAGTGCTGGGATTAAAGGTGTGCGCCACCAACGCCCGGCAGGACTGACATATTCTTAAGAGATCAAGAGACATTGGTTTTATTTACTTTTATATTAGAGACATTGATATTTAATAGGAATTCATCAGAATGGAATTGTGATCATTTTATATCTTTAATAATACCTGTATGCAAGCACTCCAGAGATAATAGATCCCCTTGGAGTTGAATTTTCAGGTAAGCCCCGTGACGTGGGTGCTAGGAATCAAGCTCAGGTCCTCTGGAAAAGTAATACACACCTTTGACTGATGGGCCAGTCAAGATTCTCATGATTTTCAGCCATTGTGTCTTTCTGTTAAATCTTATTAGCTATTCTTTTATTCGGCATCCATACTAGGCAAGATGCCCAAACAAATTCCTACATATATATCATCCACATAAATATATATGGATATATGTGTGTGCATTTGGATTTCCCAACCATATCAGGGCCTATCTATACCTTGAAGCTATGAATAATTTTCTCATGCCTGCTAGTAAATTCTTCTAACTATTTGTAAATCATAATTTATGGTTTGAAGCCGTATATTTTATATTTGTAGGTGTACTACTATAAGACACTGGGTTGTCTTTCTAAGAATTTATATTTCTTTTTCATTAACATTAAGTCACCACTATTGCTGGGGAATCAAGAGTATATGACGGAGATATTTATACAAACGGAGCTTTAGTTTTTGCTTTCTTCAGGCTCCTTTTGTCTTTCTCTAAAAAGACCAAGCTCTTGGAATTCCTGTTTCTAAATTTTAAGCAACCTTGATATAGTTAAGATTTTATCTGTCATGTGATTGATAATTGGTTATGGTCAGATAGTTGATAGTGACTTCGAATTTTTGTAACCTGCCAGTTAATCATATAAACAATGACATTGTTGAATATTTTCAAGTATTTCATACATTGTCTTTGAACTCTTAAGGCAAAGTAAAGCAGAACTTACCAAATCTAACAAAAAATGAAAGCTCAAATTTTACCAAAGCTTATTTTTAAGCGTAGAACATAATGTGTCTCAGATATTTCTAGGTGGCTATAACTTGAACATTTCTGTAACAAATACAAGTAATGTAGCATTTTCACAGAGCCTTTTCTCAAGTATGATTATGTAAGCATGTACTGACTTAAAATGGATGTGTCATGAACTGTCATATCTGATATTCTTTCCCCAAGGTGTGCTAGCATAATTGATCCTATTTCTTTCATGGGGTGGAAACTACATTACTTGCTGTGTAGGGCATTACTATTCAACCTATATTCCGTTGTCATACCCTGTAAGGAGTCATTGTGAGCTTTTCTAACCATCCTTCTCACATATATTTTTAATTTTACAAATAAACTGTACATCTTTTTATATTAGATGTATATCTCTTGTATTACCTAAAATGAAATTTTCCCATTTCCCTCAAGCAATTTCTACCCTCTTTTAGGAAGATATTACTTTTTAGGAATGTATGTTCTCCAGAAAGGAAAATCTTGGAGGAGTCCTATTTCACGACGACCACCTGTCACAAGTCTCTCGTGACTGAATACATCTAGGTGATTAATGCTTTTAGAACTCTCTACTATAAAAAAAAAAATTATTTGGTGGATCAAATCCAAATCCAAAACCTGAAGAAACAGTCCCAACTGCCCTGATTCCAAGGTGTTTCCCATAGTTTGCATATGTTTTAAATTTATGTTCACAAATCCTTGTGGCACCTCACTTGTTCAAATAATACTTTGGGAATACCAACTGAAGTGTTTTTCAATGGTTATATTTCACAAACAGGAAAGAGCTTTTTATTTTTTTAGTTGAATTTTATGATTTTGTGTGAGAGATGAAGGCAGGAGCTATGACAACAGAGAGGTTGTGCACATGTGCAGAGGTCAGAAGATAACTCTGAGGAGTCAGCTCCCTCCTTCCACTGTGGGTCCCATGGTTCAAACCAAATCCTCAGGTTCATGAAGCAAATGCCTTTACAGCTGAGCTATTTTGCTAGACCAGACCTATTGTTTTAATTCATGTAATTATACATCTGCATTGTGATCTTCAATGGTAGCATTTTTAAAGTAGGGATATCTGAAATAGTTTTTTTAGTTGTTTAGTTTTGGGTTCTTTTTGTTTGTTTGTGTGTTTTTGCTTGTTTATTTCTTTGTTTCTAAATGCTTCTTGTGCTCCAAAGAAATACACTTTATTTGTATGTTTGTTTTTCTTCATATAAGGTGTAAGTTACAAGTAAGAGAATCTATCAAATACAAGAAAGTGATGAGTTGATTCCCAAATCAGAGCAGTGCCTAAAATGAGATGACCTCTTGCTTGTTCTTCTCCTTTTAGAACTCATGTGTAATGGCTTTGTAGGCCATCTCATCAAGGGTTGGGTTTTTTTTATTCTTTTTGTTTGTTTCACTGATTTGCCTAGTATATGTGTGTACTACATTCCTGCAGTGTAGGCAGTCAGAAGAGGGCTTTGGGGCTCCTGGAACTGGAGTTACAGATGGTTGAAAACCACAGTGTGGATGCTAACAATTGAACCCAGTGCTGAAGAGATACCACAGCAGTTAAGAGTATTCACTGGCTGTTCTCCCAGGGCACCCAGGTTCGATTCCCAGCACCCATATGGCAGCTCACAAATGTCTGCAATTCCAGTTCCAGAGGATTCAGCACCCTCACACAAATGTACAGGCAAAACACCAATGTGCATGAAGTAAAAATAAATAAGTATTAGATGAAATAAAAATGAAGAACTAAATCCAGCCCTCTAAAAGAACAGGACTTTCTCTGAACCACCTCTCAAGCCCATAGTTTATTTTTGTTTGTTTTGTTATTAATTATATATTTCCTAGTATAGAAAGTCTTAAAATTTTAAAATAGGAAGAGACTTTAGAAATCATTTATTAAGGCTAACAAAAATGTTTTTTTGATTGCTATATTTTACCAGCATAGAGATAAATATACTTAGGGTAAATAAGGAATTATGTACAGTTATTAAGAAAGATTTATAAGTGTAGGCAAAGGGAATATGATATACATATAAATTTAAGTTCTCTGAGGAATTAAAAAATATTTTAAAGCACCAAAGAATGAGTTGAAATTTACTTAGGCTCAGGCAAGGTAAGCTGCCCAAACAAACAGTAAAATATACATTGGCTTTTAAAATAAGAGCATTGTTATTTGTGAAACTTTTATAAGATTAATTTGTTTGAAGAGATGAAATGGTAAGACAGTTAAAATGAAATTAGGATGTAACAAGTAAAGCTTCATACAGTATGTTAGGAATTTACAATTAGGTTTTTTTCATGGCAGTGTAAAATTAACACAGAATAAAATATTGGGGAGCTTATTATATTCCTAATAAGCAATAGTACCATTAATTCTAAAACATTTGCACATCTCCAACAGGAAATACGTACTGATAACAGGCACTCTCAACTTCCCCATCCTCCAACAACCAGTTACCTACTTTTTTGACTGTATGAATTTGCTGTTTCTGGACATCACATATAATTGAAATATTTGTGGGTTTTATGCCTGACTTCATTTAGTATGGTTTCAAGGGTGCTTCAGGTCAAAATGGGTGTAAGGACTTCTGTCCCAGTGCATATGAATTGAAATAAAGATTTTCATTTTACATTTTCCTGATGACCAGTAAAATTGAATTCCTTTCCATGAGTTTGTTTTAGCCATCTTTTGCTTATTTCTTAATTAGATTATCTTTTTTTATTGTCCCTTTCAAGTTCTCTATATAGTTTGGTTTCTAGCATCTACCAGATACATGATTTGCAAATGTTTTCTTTCATTTTTAAAGTAATTTTACTTTATTGATGGTGTCCTTAATAATATAGGAATTTGAAATGTTGATAATCAGCTTATCTTTTTCTTTGATTGCTTAAGTTTCAAATGGTTTACCTAGGATAGCATTGTTCAGTCCAAGGCCAAGTGTATCTTTTTGTTGTTATTTTTTTCTGAATATTTAATAACCCCTTTAGCCTTTGCAATTAATTTTTGTTTTGGTGGGGGTTAGGGACCAGCTCTCTCTCTCTCTCTCTCTCTCTCTCTCTCTCTCTCTCTCTCTCTTTCTCTCTCTCTTTGGCAAGTAGGTATCCACTTGTTCCAGAGTAAGTTGTTAAAAGACTGACTGTTCTTGCCAGTCAGTGGTGGCACATGCCTTTAATCCCAGCACTTGGAAGGCAGGCAGATGTCTTTGAGTTTGAAGTCTGCAGAGTAAGTTCCAGGACAGCCAGGACTGCAGAGAAACCCTGTCTCAAAAAGGGGTGTGGGGGGGACACTATTCTTTCCTTCAATGAGTTCTTTTGATAACTTTAATATAGAGCCAAGTGGTTAACAATCTTAGTCTTCACTTGCTAAAGTTGAGGTTCTTGTTGAAATTAAAACAATATATTGTATATAAATTGAAAGAGTTTTCTGACTTTTAACACAATGTAAATAGATCTCTGTTCACTTTGTTAAATCATGAAGTGGATAGTCAGACACACAAATGATACTGAGAGAATGTGCCTTTTCAATAATCCAGGAAGTGGATATATGCCATCCTCTCACCTAGTTATTATGGAAGTCATGAGTAGTGGAATGCACCTACTATTTCCTTGTTGGGTTTTTCTAAATTTATTGTGCAGTAATTAAACTTTGTCACATACCTTTTTAAGAAGCTTAACTAGAATTTAATCCTGTAGAGGAACTAGTGATTGTAGTTAACTGCAGCACAACTTAATGAAAGGTTGTAAAACACCAACATGTTTTGCCAGAGGCTCTGTTTATGGTTTTCCTATGTGCTATAGCATTTTTTTTTTAAGCTTTATTTATTACAGTGTACAGAGGGTTCTGCCTCCATGTATGTCTGCAGGCCAGAAGAGGACATCAGATCTCATTACAGATGGTTGTGAACCACCGTGTGGTTGCCAGGAACTGAGCTCAGGACCTTTGGAAGAGCTGCCAGTGCTCTTAACTTCTGAGCCATCTCTCCAGCCATGCTCCAACATTTTTAAAAGCCACTTATCAAAAGTATAGAATTTACTGAAGTGTTCAAACTTCTATTCTTCATTTAGGTTACTTACAACAAGAAAACCTCACGTCTACTTGCCAGACCTTTATTTTGGAAAGCTCAAATTTAAAAGAATATGCAGAGCACTGTACTGATGAAGGTTTCATCCCAGCCTGCTTACTGGTGAGTTACTTATTCCTTATAGGACGTTTCATTACTAATCAACACAGAAGACTGTAAAGCAGAGCCTTAAAATGAACTTATTATCCAGGCGTTGGTGGCGCACGCCTTTAATCCCAGCACTCGGGAGGCAGAGGAAGGCAGATCTCTGTGAGTTCGAGGCCAGCCTGGTCTCCAGGGCGAGTGCCAAGATAGGCTCCAAAGCTACACAGAGAAACCCCGTCTCGAAAAAAACCAAAAACAAAACAAAACAAAAAAAAAACGTATTAATGATGTGAGGCACTGTGCCATATATCTGTCTTCCCATCTGCTTGGGAACTTAGGATAGTCACAGAATCACTTGAACCTGGGGGTTTAGGGACAGCCAAGGCAACATAGTAAGACCCTTCCGCTCATCAGCCAAGTCAGCTTTGGCAGATAGCTACATGACTTATCACTGCCTAATTCACATAACTGAAACACAAAGATTTAGCCAGGGGCTATACATCCCTAATGCAGACTTTGGAAGGCTGATGAAAGACAGTTGTTACTTTTAGGCCAACCTGGACTACACAGCAAGACCTTATCCAGAAACAAAAGTATTTTTGGTATTTTATTGTCACCTCTTGTAACTATCCATATATATAAAAGAAATATTCTAGAATTACATGATTTCACACGGTGCTAGTAGTTGTATGTTAAGGATGGCTCCTTAGTGAGTTGTTTGGGGTATTCTAGTTTTTATATAGAAAAGGGACTAAAATACCCCAAACAGTCCTGAAAAATTTGAACGAATTGGAGAACTAAGAAAGATGGCTCAAATACCTGCTGTACTTCCAAAAGACCCACATTTTGTACCCAGTACCCATGTCTGATGGCTCTTCTTAATTTTTTTTCAATTGTGTATATTTGTGTATATTTGTGTGAGAATATAAACACATAAATGCAGGAACTCTCTGAGGCCAGAAAGGGCATGGGATCCCCTGTAGGTAGAGTTACAGGTAGTTGTTGGCCAGTGTGGATATTGGGAACTGAATTTGGGCCTCTGAAAGGGTGGTATATATCCTCTTACCCTCTGGACCATCTCTCTAGAAAGTTAAATTGCATGCGCAAAGTTCAATTCATTATTAGAAAGAACAACAACAAAAACCAAGGAGTGATTATTAGGCAAATCTCCTGCCTTTTAAAGCTTTATGGTGGCTAAGCACTCTCTCTTTTTTAGCTATATCCCAGCTTCATTTTTACTTTTTTGAGTTGGGAATCTCCCTAACTTATCTGAGCTGGTCTTAAACCTTCTCTGTAGCTCAGACAGAACTTGAATTTACAGTCTTTCTGCTTTACCCTCCCAAGACTTGGGAGGGTAAAGCAGAAAGACTGTAAATATGCCTTTAATAAAATACAAGACTGTACCATATGCCTTTAATCCTAGCATGCAGGAAGCCAAGACCAGTCTGGGGTTTATGGTAAGATCCTGTTAACCAAAAAAAGAAATCTAGTGCTGAAAGTTGAGAGGGAGAGGGGACCTAATTGCCCTTGTCAGGCAGACATCTTCTTCGGTATATTATATATGTCTTCAGTATTACCCAATATAAAAAATTTTGTATGTCTACAGTATTTTTAGGTATTTAAAGGATTTGAAACATTTTATTAAGTTTTTTTTTTTTGAAATCAGAACTCTTTGTTCTAAAATCCTTACTCTTTTATAACCTCAAGTATGTGATCATATTGTTATGACAAACTACCCTTGTAGTAGTGAGACTAGGGAAGGCGTGTAGGCAGGTTGACAGAAATAAGAACAAAAATGTCTTGCTCCTTAGGAAGGATATCTCATACACTTATTTTTCAAAGTTCATTTTTACATGGCTTTCAGGTTAGCCAGAGCAGATTAGACCCTCATTAGGGCTTTTATTGTTTTTGTTTTTTAAAAAACAAAAAAAAGTATCTACCTCCTGACTGAAAACTGCTTTTTATGACCATGCTTTTTGTTTTACATAATAAGGACTCATGTAGTCACAGTTCAGAGTTTCTTTGTCAGGTGTGTGTTACACATACTTTTTGTGAATGTTGATGACCTGCTTCTCTACCCTTTCCTCACTGGATTTAGAAATCTAGATCTTTCATTGTCTTTTATTGTAGGAAAGTGGTAAATTGTATGGTTTCGGTAATGTTTGGTCTTTTGCTTTTCAGTCCTTATTTGGAAAAAACTTGACAACAATTTTGAATGAATATGTAGCCATGAAAGCAAAAGGTAAGAAATTGGATATCATTGCTTTAAGACATAGTCTTATGAAAAGCCTTGAAAAAGCTTAATCTTATTCTGATAAGATATATTTTACTGGGAAACAGAATTCAATTTTGCTTAGAATTCAATTTTGCTTATGTTGAGTAAAGCATTCTAAGACTCCAAATGTTAACTAAAAGGCAGAAGCCAAAACTTGTATTTTAGAATGAAATTAACTCTAAGCTATTTATACTGATGAACAACCATTGTTATTTGCTAAAATATTTTGAGCTGACAATTTAATTTTGACTTATGTGTAATAAGAGACTAGGCACAGGACTTAGAAAATTGGCTCATAGTTAACAGAATATACAATAATAATTGTTCAAATTTCTGGTGATTCGAGGGGGAATTAGTGGTTATTTTCTTGACATTGTTCCTATAATATCACCAAAACTATTACTGTTAGATTAATTATCATAAAGTAATAGACAAAGGAGAAGTAGCTCTTCCTTTACTAATGCCTGGGTGTGTTAGCATCATGTTAGTTAGGGGTTTCAGATTGTAACTACTTAGTCTTTAATTCATTAAGAAGTATGGCTTACAGTTGTTTGTAATAAGGATATCAAGGATTAAATTTGCACATATAGAAGGAGTTTGTATAACCTTTCTGATATAATTATTAGCCTTCTAGGTTGTTTAGGTACACTTTTTTACTTGTATTGGATTTGATTCTCTGGTTTAAGAAATTAAAGCCACCTCATTACACATTTGCACATGATTATAAATAGGCTTGCTTCTCAATTTCCAGTGTAACGTCAACAATTTGGAAACAAAGTTTTTGTTTTTCTGTAATCTATGTCTTTGTTCAAATTGAAAAGTGAACTTTTGTAAACTGAGTTTGTTTCCTCTTACAATTTAGAAACATCAAATGAGGTCCCAACAATAATGTCATCTCTGTGGAAGAAGCTAGACCACACACTTTCTCAAATCAGGTACTATGCTCATTAAAATGTGCTGATTTAAGGATGCAAACACACTCAGGCTATAGAACTTAACGTCTTTATACTATGCATATCTAATATCTTTCTAGTTTTGAAGGTTTCCTAGAGGTGGAGGTTCTTTGCCTTTATTAGAAATGATTGGAAACAAATTGTATACTTTTAATAGAGTGTATCCAAATGAGGAAATAGTAATATACAGAAATTTAATGACATTCTCAACTTTGCATGGCTACTTAGAAAGTTTAGTCCAAGATATAAAAATCTTTTTTTATTAAAATTTATTTATTTGTTTGTTTGTTTATTATGTGTGCAGTATTCTGTCTGCATGAATGCCTACAGGCCAGAAGATGGCACCGGTCTCATTACAGGTGGTTGTCAGCCACCATATGGTTGTTGGGAATTGAGCTCAGGACTTTTGCAAGAGTAGTTAGTCCTCTTAACCACTGAGCTGTCTCTCCAGCCCAAGGTATAAAATTCTTTAGACAGCCATTTGTTACTACATATTGAGAGAATTATTGACTTCATGCCCAATTGATTCTTTCCTTCTGGAAATTTCTTTCAGTATTTTTAGTATTTTCTACTTTTAGTATTCTCTCGTGGTAGAATACTTGACTGCGGTCTACCTAGTTCATAGCCTTGGGTTGCCAGTTTTAGCATCCTTGGAAGTATACCAGATCTACTGCTATCAATGTTTTGGCATCTCTTATGTGATGGTAGAGTCTCATGAAAAACCCTTCCTCTCAAAGCTCCAAGTGAATATTCCATATAATTTCAAAAGATGCCTCATTTTTATCCTCCTGTTAGGGAAATGGCTCCAAATGCTTTCATCCCAGGAATGAACATCTTATTTGGTAGTTTTGTCTTTATATTTCTATAACTCATTTTTCTGCCCTTGGAAATAATCTTCAAAAGATTTTGCTAGTGTCTGGAGAGACAACTCAGTAAGTAATAGTGTCTGCTACACAAGCATGAAGACCTGAATTTAGCTTGAACCCATGTAAAAAGCAGTACATATTGGTGCTTGTCTATCACCCCAGCACTAGTTGGTAGGGGAAAGAAAGACCTGGAAACCTGAAGGTCATTGGTCAGCCAGCCTAGCCAAGTTGATGAACTTCTGGTTCAGTGAAAGATCCTGTCTCAATAAAGAAAAGGTAGTGAAGAATTAAGGAAAGATAGCCTAATGAACATTGCCTCTGTCCTGCATACGCTAAGCGTACCACACATGTACACACACATACACCTATGCCACCAAATACATATATTGCACATGCATACCAAAAATAGCTTTTACGGTCGTTGGTGCGCATGCCTTTAATCAGGAGGCAGAGGCAGGCGGATCTCTGTGAATTCGAGGCCAGCCTGGTCTCCAGAGCGAGTGCCAGGATAGGCTCCAAAGCTACACAGAGAAACCCTGTCTTGGAAAAAAAATAAAATAAAATAAAAACAAAATAGCTTTTACAATTCAGTCTGTTGGTTGAGTTTTGAGGGGTTTTTTGGGGTGGGCGCTGGGTAGTTTTGGTAAGCTATTACATAGGAGTTAGATTCCTTTTACACAAGTTTGGGTTTTCTTAAAAGTTTTATGTTACTAAAAACCTTTGTTCAGTTTAAGTTTGTGGGTCTTGTTGGTAAAATTGACAAATTTCATGGGACAAGAACACAGTGTTTATGATTGTTTACCAAATATTAGTGATTTACATTTCACAGTAAAGAATTACTTTTCGGGGCTAGAGAGATGGCTCAGCAGTGAAAAGCACTAGCTGCACTTACAGAGGTCCTGAGTTCAATTCCCACATGGTGGCTCACCACCATACATAATAGAATCTGATGCCCTCTTCTGGCCTACAGATGTATATGTAGATACAGCACTCATATATAGAATACATGAATATAAAAAAACTTTTTTAAAAAGATTACTTCCTACTATGAATATTTTATGTTTGCTTTTCTACATATATGAAGGTTCAACAAAATACTTTCATAGTCAGATGTGACAGCAGGATGTCCTTGAACTCTGCAGTTCTAAAGTATTGATGTATATGAATCAGCATTTCTTTGTAGGAAAGTCTGTTGTTTACTTAAACATATCAAGTTCCTAAAGTCAGGTCAAGCTATACCTTAATGTCAGAGCACTCCAGTGTATAATTGTTAATTGGATAGAAATTTGATCACCAAAAATATGTTGTCTGAGTGCTTATGTGATTCTGTTTTTCTTCTAAAACAAATCACAATTGGATACCCCCAAAGACATATAGACTCTTTATATTAGGGAAATCACCTTTTAACTCATAATTTACTGCAGTTCTGACCATAACTAAGTCAGAATATATATCTAAAACAAAATACTTAAAGAGTAACTACTTTGTTTTATTTGTTAGGAACATGCAAAGTTCTCCAGGGTTTGCTGCCCATCAGAGAGGTTGGTATTTAACTTTCAGCAAGGTTCAACATTACTTCACATTCTGTCTCATGAGCATTTTAACTAACAGCATAGCTGTGCTAGAGCTATGTTTTTTTTTAATTACTTTAAGTATAATCATTAGATATTTTCATGTATCATAGTTGAGGGGAGTTGAGGTATAGGTTACTGGTAGTACATGTACAGGATCTTGAGTTTGATCCCAACAATTTAGAACAAAATTAAAATTAAAACCATATTATGTGCATATATGCAAATATACATTTTTGTGTCTATATATACACATATAAAGTATATCCTACTATTACTTTTGTGTGTAAAGTAGTGGCATCCTTAAGAAATCTGTAATTTTTAATATCTGAATTTGGGGGTAACATTATCAGTATGGATTACTGCAGAACAGGTATATTGGGATTTGTGAAGTATACTGTATTTGTTTTAGTTTGTTTCACGTGAAATTGTTGCATAAATTTGTTTTATTTTTTTAAGGCTTTCTTGTAACTATAGATCTAACATGTTGTATAGTGTACAGGTCAACAGGTTCTGAAATAACTGTGATATGAGTTAACTTTGTAATGCCCATGTGTTTCAGCACGAACAAGAAACGGAATTGCAGAAATCAAGCGACAGAGATGGCTTGCATCTCAGACAGCTTCCGGCAATTCAGAGTTAATGGCTTTACCTTATGGTTCAGGACAATTTACCACTTCTCCTTTGGTAGCCACACAAACTGTTAAACCAACTGGCCAAATTTCAGCTCCAGTGAGGTCAAATATTGTAGTAGTCAACCAGTCACAGTCACAAAATGCTGTAACTAGTAAGTTTTATTCTTAAATTCTGTTAATCCAAGTACAATGCCTTATATTTATATACTGAATCATGGCCTAAGAGAGAGATAAGAACTTATAGAGGGAGCAGACTTCAAGTAGTTCGGCAACAAGAATGTAAGCATGTAACTCTGGGTTTCATCCCACCTCTGCATAAGACTGGCTCACCTATAATCCCAGCACTGAGGATGATCAGAAATTCAAGGGCATCCTCTGCTGCATGCCTTCAAATAAAAACATCTTGACTTAGTTAAAATCTAGGCATCATTGTAGTTGAAATCTTCCTTTTCAAAATGAAATCTATCCCTGAATTCGTCAAATTCTTAATTTGGGTGTAATAATACGAAAGACCTGACTATGTTTTTAAATAGAAATATACGTTATATTTTTACCATCTTTTTACCTTGAATGTCAGTCTGTCCTCCTGAAACATCTTCCCAATATACCACTATATCCATGTATTAGATATTTTGTATATTCTCGGCTGAGTGTCACTTCTAATCTAGATCATTCTTGTTATATACATGTTTATTGAAGTGAAAAAAGAATAGTAAGAAATGGCAAGCAAGTTAATACATGCTTTGGGATTTGAATTCAGGACTCATCTCTCAGTCCAGAAAAAGAATTTTATTGCCACACATTAAGATTACACTGGGCAGACATTGGCAGGAACATCTCTGAGTTCAAGGCCAGCCTGGTCTACTGAGAATTCCAGAACAGATGGGGCTGCACAGAGAAACCCTGTCTCAAAAAAAATCAAAGATTGTTCATTTCTGTCTTTCTCCAAATCCTGTTCTACACTAGGAGCATTCCTTTGCTACTTTTTTATACTTGTTTTCTTCATGTTGTATGTATTTTGTAAAGGTGTAGGGACTATATTACATTGTCTTACTATCTCGTATAGTGTCTTGTTCATAGTAGTTCTTAGTAAATGTTGGATTTTAATATACAATAATAATTGATATCTAATTTTTTTATGCCATTGCAAGTTTACAAAATGTGTGTTTCTTTGACTTATTGTGTTTTCTTAACAATGCAGCTGCAGAGTCTTTAAGTGTCATTCCTGGTCCTCCAGAGAAGAAATCGCAGACTAGTTTAATGTCTCCTGGTAGACGTAAAAGGTAATTACTTTTTATACTTGACACAGTAGCCATTTAAAACAGACAAAAAAAGAATTTAGCAAATATTTACACCATGAATAAAGTAACTAGATTAAGTTCTTGGGACTATTATTATATTCATTCCAAAACCACATTTTTTCCAACATTCTGACTTCACTAAATTTGAGTTGTGTTTTTGAATCAATAGTGTGTTTCTTATTTTTCACTAACTTTTTGTAGTGATGTGTGGAATAATGCACAATTTTAGGGTGTTTTCTTAAATGAATATAAATAATGTTAGTTTTTTTTATTATTAGTTCAAATTAGGAACAAGCTTGTTTCATATGTCAATCCCTTCTCCCTCTCCAACCCCCTACCCCATTCACCCTCCACTCCCCAGGCAGGGTAGGGCCCTCCACAGGCCCTGAAGAAAGTCCAACACATCATCCTGGGCTGGGCCTAGGCCCTTCTTTGTGTGTCTAGGGCAAGAGTGCATCCCTGCACGTGGGATGGGCTCTCAAAGTCCCTTCTTACACCAGGGAAAAATACTAATCCACCCCCAGGGGCCCCCTCGAGTGCAGAGGCCTCCTCATTGACATCCATGTTCAGGGGCTGGATCGGTCCTGTACTGGCCTCCCAGACAGCATCTGGGGTCAATGTGTTCCCCCTTGTTCAGGCCAGCTGTTTCTGTAAATAATGTTAGTTTTATGGTTCAGAGGAAAACGTGTAGTTTTAAATCATGACAACATGTTTTCAGGCGTGTTTATGGTCCACAAGAACACATGACGTTAAGTCATAACAGCATGTTTTAAGGTGTATTTTCCAGAAAAATTCTTCCTATTCTACTTCAGCTTATATTTCTTAAAAAATATGAGAGATTAGAGTAGGGTCTTGGTTTTTGTTTGTTTAAGTTTTTCGAGACTTCTCTGTAGCTTTGGAGGCTGTACTTGAACTCACTAAGAAGACCAGTCTGTCCTTGAACTCATAGAGTACTGCCTGCCTCTGCCTCCAAAGTGCTGGGGATTAAAGGCATATCTGCCAGCACTGGTCGAGAGATCAGAGTTCTAAATGTTTGGGGTTTTTTTACTCATTTTATTTATTTTTATTTTATTATGTGCGTTAGTGTTTAGCCTGCATGTATGTTTGTGAGGATGTCAGATCCCCTGGAACTGGAATTAAAGATAGTTGTGAGCTGCCATGTGGTTGCTGGGAATTAAACCCAGGTCCTCTAGAACATCCGGTGTTCTTAACCACTGGCCATCTCTCCAGCCCCCTAAATGGTTTTTAGATGATTCCTCATATGTCAACCAGTAGGTTTTTTTTTGGGGGGGGGGGGTTGTTGTTGTTCTTTTACTTTTGTGGTTTCATAGAGCCTTTACTATAAACCTTTTCTAATTCAAGACTGACTTTATTAAAGACTTTCTGATTTAACTACATAAAACATTCTTAATATTCAGTAACTTTCACCTTTTTATTATAAAGTTCATGAATAACTAATTTTTTTTCATAAACCCACTAATACAGTTGGTCTCATTCCATCACAAGATAGGCAATGAGATTGGGATTGTAGCTTTGTGGTAGAACATGTGCCTCGAATGTGTGATCCATGGGTACCTGCTAGGTACCCTATGATCCAGCAGTACCAAAGAAAGAAGAGGATAAAAGTAACAGAGCTCATATACTTTAAACCGCGTAGCTAGTGAGTTTTTTTGTTTTATGTTATTTTGGTTTTTGAGGGTTTTTTTCAATTCTTTGTTTACTTTTCATCGTTTTAGTTTGCTGTTCAGTAGAACTCGAGTTCATTACATATGAATCTATGTCTGATAATACATTTTCTAGTCTTCTGACTTTGTTTTTATGGAAAGAGAAAAATACTACCATTATTATCTCAAGATTTTTATATACATTATCATTGATCTCTTAAACATAATGGTAAAAGACAAGCTTTTAAAATGTATTTCAGTGAATCACAAAGGAAGAGTTTTACGTCATCTGGACCTCATTCTTCAATAAGGAATTTACAGGATCCAAATGCATTTGCAGTAGAGAAAGTAAGTGACCTTCCCAAAATTTGCAGCTTGAAATATTCTCAAATTTAATAACACTGGTATATATATAGTTATGTGTGTTTATGAATTTTGGTATGAATATGAGAACAATTGAATTGCCTTTGGATTGCCTACTGATTGAATAGAGAATTGTAACTGTAAAGTAGTACTTAGAGAACATACATGGTAAATTTACCAAGTAAAAATTTTTTGTAATTTTCCAATCCTGTAATTTGATTGAGCATTTTACCAGGATCAGATAATTAAAGGACTGTGTGACAAAAACTGTAGAACTGCATTTTAGATGCATTGAAGACCAAGTTGATAAAAGATCTGTGACAACACTTCTGAAATGCAAAATATTTTGTTCAGGCCTGAGTGTAGAGGTAGGCACCAGTGCTTGTGTTTCTACTTACAGCTATCATAAACTATCTACCAATATGGATTTGTTTTTGTGGTTTTTTTTTTTTTCATTATTTATTTAGAGATAAGGTCTTGTTTATGTTGTTGAGATTGAACTCAAAACTCCTGACTACCAATTTATAATCATACCTCAGTCTCCCAAGTTTCTAGGACAAAAAAAAAAGCTTTGATTTGGGTTTTAGTGAATAATATAATTCTTTTCTATCCTTTTATTAGTGTTCATTTTCCTTTTCAGCAAATGGTTATTGAGAATGCAAGAGAGAAAATATTAAACAACAAATCTCTTCAAGAAAAACTAGCAGAAAACATAAATAAGTTTTTGACTAGGTGAGTTGTGTAATTCAAATCTCTTGATTGTTTTTCCCTAACTACCCAGCTGCATTAACAGTTTTCCTTTCTGTGTTACAGTGATAATAGTATTGCTCAAGTACCTAAGCAAACAGACAGCAACCCAACAGAGCCAGAAACTTCAATTGATGAACTCCTAGGACTTCCGGTATGGGTAGTTGTGTGTGTGTGTAGGGATATGATTGTGTGAGAGACCTTTTGAGGGTTTTGTACATTAGAACTAAAGGGTATTTTGGTTTTAAAATCATTGCCAAAAAACTATATGTATAAAATCTAATTTAAAGTAATTAAAATAAAATGTTCATCATATATTTACTCTGTTTCTGAACACATTTGAGCAGTGAACACATTTCAAAGACTCATTTATTTAAATAGTAAAAATGATCAGATTTTTTTTCCACCCTCTAATAGCTTACCTGCTTTACAGATATTGGTGCAGCTTTATTATACACATAAAAATTATTCATGCAAGTATTCAGTACTTGCAGATTCACTGCATGATATCTTTGTATTTGATAAACAGCAACACTCTAGTCTTCCCTTTCATCCCCATTGCTAGGAACTGAGTAGTAATTCAAAGATAACTGGAATAGCATGTTAAATATGACTTGCATTCATCATATGTCTTCTAACAAACTGATCCTAAATGTATCATTTTTCATTCGTAATTTCTAGTTTCCTTCCCTAACTTTTTTTGTCATGCTTGAGCTTTTTATGTGTCAGTGATGCTTCTCACTGTTTTCAATGAACTTTCACTTCCAACATTTGACGGGTTTTTTTTTTTTTTCACTTGCTGACTGTATGTGACATGTTGCTAATTTTCTTAATTTCATAATGCTTCTTCCTGAGTTGAAGACCTCATTATTTTCTGCTTAAAGTCATTGATTAATTTTAGAAGTAGAATTCCTCCTCAAATTTCAGCTATATAGTTTATCTAGTCTTTACTATCTTTGTGTAGTCAGTAACAGAAGTTGGTTATCTCTCGGTGATAGCTTCTTCGTTAGTTTCATGCATGTGTTTATTTGGGTCTATTTTCCAGTTTTATTTAGGGATGGTTCTTACTTTTAAGGGTTCCGTCTCTAGTACCACTCAGAGGGAGAAAACAAACTAATACAACAGCAACAGCACCAACTAACATCAGTTAATACATCACTGAAGACTGTAAAACAGAAAACAACAAAACTAATGTAGTGTACTATAAAGTTAAAAATTAGTAAAAGTAAATGTAAAAATAAGTGAATGAAATAAAGGCTAGGGAAAGACAAGAAAGAGAGGTTAAATAAAAGAATAGAAAAGAAAGCCATAAAAAATAAGAAGGAACTTAGTGGTTAAAAAAAAAAAAATCAAGCCAGGCTTGGTGGTGGAAGCCTTTATTTAATCCTGGCACTCAGGAAACAGAGGTAGGAGGATCTCGGAGTTAAAGATACGGCTAGTCTAAACATCTAGTTCTGAGATAGCCAGGATTATATAAAGAAACTTTGTCTCAAAAACGTACGGACAAAAGGACTGTTGCCTAGTACCAAAATAATATGTGGAAAAAATCTGATAAATGTATTTATTTATTCTGTTTACAGAATAAAATTTTAAAAATAAAAAGGCTTTTTAAAAAAGATAGTTAAAGCCGGGTGTTGATGGCGCACGCACTCAGGAAGCAGAGGCAGGCGGATCTCTGTGACTTCGAGGCCAGCCTGGTCTCCAGAGCGAGTGCCAGGATAGGCTCCAAAGCTACACAGAGAAACCCTGTCTTGAAAAACATAAATAAATAAATAAATAAATAAATAAATAAATAAATAAATAAATAAATAAATAAATAAATAAATAAATAAATAAATAAATAAATAAATAAATAAATAAATAAATAAATAAATAAATAAATAAGATAGTCAAAATACTACTGAAAGTATAATTAAAAGAGGAAACACAAGGGTGAGGAGCTGCGTTATTGCAGCAACTTCTTTATGGATACTCTACAATTTAATCTGTGAGGTAGAGGTACAGGATGGGAATCTCTCAGAGACTTGTTTCCCTATGATTTAGGCTGGTCCTAATCCTGTACTAGAGAAATATCTTTCATCTTAATAGAGCTGTCTTTACTTCAGTTGCTTCCCTCAGTCTATAGGCTGAGTTTTCCAATTTTATCAGTTCATGTACCCGATGGTGGCCAGTGTTGTAGCTAGCAAGTGTCTTGGAGTCTTTTGTGAGTGAGGGAAGCAAACAGCACTGAGATCAGTGTAGGTGCACTGACCTCCATACTTTGAAAACTCTGTAGACATTAAATATCTTGCTAATGGGATGTGACTCTGGACATGAGAAGTAATTTGCTGAAGCTTCAGGCTTCTCAGGCTAATAGTATCTGCAGTTAACAGGTGATGATGGGCTTGCCTAGCCACAGTGAAGGTGACTGTTGCCAACTATATTCTTCAGTGCCCAAGCCAAACTCTTAAACTGTCCAGCATTTCCATAACTGTCTTCCTTCTTCCTATAACTACTTGCCATAGCTGTCTCACCCTGGGTATGTGGGAAGTTGATTCTAGGCTCCCTTACTTGTGATTATCCCATGTTTCAGGTCTCAGGTTACCTCATCTTTGTAGAATCCCTCTCAAGATAGTGTCCACTTACAGCCCACCAAGACAGGGCAAGTTACAAAGTGGGCCTTTTCTCCACTGCTAGCCTAGCACAATAGAGGACTCACTATCTCACCTACACTCCTATCAGCATTTGAGGACTTTGAGAACTCTGGGTTTGTCTTGTGGATGTGTAGGACTGTCAGTCTTTTTCATTACTGCCACATGGCTTAATTTTGTGTAAGGTTTATCTTTGCCTTCCTCAGGCACTATTGGAGCCATGTGCTTCTGAGTACCTTTTTACTATTATCACCATCTGTTTATTCATCCCTTATAGATATCCTGTTAACTTCTGTGATGTCAGGTGTTGTCCTTCCACCCATTCTCTTTGAAATAGAGTCTGATTGTTCTTGTCCTGGCTCTTCTCATCAACTACATTTTCTAATTCATTTTCTTTTAGATAAGTCTCTTGTTCAAATCAAAAGGAATTTTCTTGTAGGGAAATACTCATGCAGAGGTTAACAGCACATGAATAATTTCTCTCATATTAAAGCCATATTACTTCTATTTATTTATGCCTTTACATTTACTTTACAGAGTGAAATCCATATGTCTGAAGAAGCAATACAAGATATATTGGAACAGACAGAATCAGACCCAGCATTTCAGGCTCTCTTTGATCTTTTTGACTATGGTAAGTACACCATTTATTCTAGGAGGTAGACAGAATTTTCTCCACTATCTTGAGTAACCTAACCCAGAATAAAGTAACATCACCCAGGGCTTTGTTTACTTTGGAAAGTTTAACTATAAAAATGGAGACTTGGGTTTGGTTTTTGTTTTAGTTTGGTTTTGTGTTTTGACTAGTCAGCATGAGCTATGCTGGGTCTGTTACAGTTTAGGTAAATATAATTGAGAGATCCTAAAAGAATGCAGAGTATTCAGCCTTGAAGTCAGAACAGCCATAGTATCAGCCTTTTCTATGAACTTGTTACATGTGCATATTCTTGAAGAACCTTCCAGAAGATCTTAATAAACATCTAACGTTAAGAACCACTATTTGGGCTGGAGAGATGGCTCAGCGGTCTGTTTTTCCAGAGGTCCTGAGTTAAATTTCCAGCAACCAAATGGTGGCTCACACCCATCATAGTGGGATCTGATGCCCTCTTCTGGCATAAAGTCATACATGCAGATAGAGCATATACATAAAATTAATAAATCTTTATTCTAAAAGAGAGTGAAAACCACCAGTTGACCCAGGCAGTGGTGGTGCAAACCTTTAATCCCAGCACTCAGGAGGCAGAGGCAGGCTTTGAGGCCAACCTGATCTACAAAGTGAGTTCTGGGACAGCCCAGGACTGTTACATAGGAAAAAAACTTGTCTCAGTAAAAGAAAAAAAAAGAAAGAAAGAAAGAAAAGAAGAACCAGCAGTTATAGTCAGGTATCATTACATGTGCACATTATCTCAGTATTCAAAAGGCTGAAGCAAGAGGGTTGCTTGAACCGAGGACTTGAAAAGCAGCCTAAGGCATCATGGCAATACCACAAATGATGAAAGTTTAGTGAGAAAATCCTTGAATTTGTAAGTAACATGTAAAGAAGCATGGTAACACTTTTAGGGGGTGGGTAGGAATACCTATAATATTCCTTAGGGCTTTAGAGGTAGAAGCAGGAAAATCAGGAGTTCAGGGTCATCCTGAGCTACCTGACACCCTATCTCAAAAAAAACAAAGTATGATTGAAATAAAACTTTTAACAATTATTTGAGAATGGTAGTATTCGTGCTTTTTTTTTTTTTTTTTTGTATGGTCATTTAATTATTTCTTACTCTTTTTAACAGGTAAAACAAAGAACAATAAAAATGTATCACAAAGTGTTTGTAGTCAACATATGGAAACTAATCCTAATATAGTCTTAGCTGAAGAAACCAATCTAGCAATTAAAAGTTCTTTTGAAACAGAAGAATCTGGTAAGATTTTTTATTTTGTTAATGACATCCACAAAAATATTAAAATTAATCTCAAAATTCAAAAACAAAGTACTGTTTAAATCAGAAGTTACTTAAATTACTACATAGTTCATTTTTATGCTTATAATTTTCTGTCCAATGAGAAAAATTGTTGCTAGATCTGTAGTACTTTGATTAAAAAATTAATTTTTCATACTCATTCTTTCATAGAGCAATAAACATACAACCTAGTAGTAAATAGTATTGGCCAGATGGACAAGTCTGTAACAAAATAATTTCATTAAGGTTCGAATTCCAATGCCTAATCTGTTAGGTTCATGTGTTAAGAGTTTTTCAGCCTTCTGAGTTGAGCTGACAGTCAATTGTTTCAAGGAAATTTTACAATATATGCTGATAGTATTGAATGTGGTTATTTGTAGGTTGTCCTACATTTCTACTATATCTACTATCTCTACTGTCTTTATTCAGAGTCTTACAGTTCTGTCTTCTTTTTCTTTTTGGTTTTTCGAGACAGGATTTCTCTGTGTAGCTTTGGAGGCTGTCCTGGCACTCGCACTGAAGACCAGGCTGGCCTCGAACTCACAGAGATCCACCTGCCTCTGCCTCCCTAGTACTGGGATTAAAGGCGTTCACCACCAATGCCCGGCAAGTTCTGTCTTCTATGGAGTGCCAATGTAGCATAGTTAGTCTATACTTAGTAAGTACTCTGTGAATTAAAAGAAAGCATGAATAAGTCAATATTAAAATTTTAAAATATAGAATTTTTAAGTATATAGAGTTGTCAAGTATAACACAAATGTGTAGAAGTACATAATAAAAATGTATATAGCTCTCTGTTACAAAATCAAATCAAGAACTTGCCTGTGGAATCACCTCTCAGTGAGAAAAGGATCATTGCCAGCACAACAAAGAGTACTTTCAGTAACTCCATTCTCCGCTTCCTGGATCTCTGTTCTTCAGATAGCCTTCATTTTCACTTCTCATAATTTGGTAAACTTTATGCCATTTTCAATACCAACCATCTCCATTTATTTAGTCTCTCTACAAGCTATGCCTGATCATCATTTCTCCTTACCTGTTTTCTTGGTTGGTTGGTTGGTTAATTGATTGGTTTTTGAGACAGGTTCTTTCTGTGTAGTCTTGGCTGTCCTGGAACTTGCTCTATAGACCAGGCTGGCCTTGAATGCAGAGATCCACCTTCCTCTGTCATGCAAGTGCGGTGATTAAATGCATGTGCTGTCTTCACCACTACCCAGCTTCTTGTCTGTTTTTCAGTGCCTAATGGTATCTAGTTTTCTCACATCTTGTCTTTAAAAACTAGTTTTGGAGTATCTTTATTTGAGTTCATTGTTAATAACAAAGCTCAACTTACCATTTCTTAGACTGAGCTATATATATTTGTGTGTTCGTTTGTGAGTTTGTTCACATCTAGATTATGTTTCACTTAAGCTTTACCATAAGCAAAATAAAACTTGTAATCCTACTCTCAGAAAGTCTTGCAAAACCATTAAGAAACCACTTTCAGGCTAAGAATGGAGCTTGTAGCAAAGTGCTTATGTAGCAAAAACGCTCAAGTTAATCTCTAGCACTATTTTATTTAATGTAACTTATCCTGTGTTTGTATGGCCTAACATAATTTCCCCTAATCTCTCCCTCAATACAGAATTAAGTAGGCTCTACACACAATATGGTTTTTACTAATTATGATAGTTACAGGCATTTTTCTGGATTTTTCCTTATTATATTTTTCCCATATTTGTTCAAAGTGTCTAAATTATGACTGCTATAAGACTCACTATATTGATGCTACATTGTTTCTTCTTAAAAAGATTTTTTCTTAGTCTCCCATCGACTTTTTTCCTATACCAAATATACTATTACCGTTTTCCCCATACCTTATTACAATTTTCTGTTCATGTATTCTTTTCTAGATGTCTTAATCTCTATAAGGTCATTGAGTGACTAGTTCATATTTGCATTCTACAGATGTGTATAGTTGTCCCCAATAAATATGTTAAGTGTTAAAGTATACACAGAAATTGTGTAAATTGTATAAAATGATCTTGGTCTCGTTTCACCATTAAAAATAAATTGGGGGAAAAACAGGTCAGTCATGGCAAAATTTGAGAATATCATCACTCAGGAGGCTTGAAGCATGAGGATCACTGCAAGTTCAAGGCCACACACAGTGAGACCTATGTAAAAAACACTGATAGGAGAAAAAAAAAGTCAAGATAGGGAAAACACTATTTCCACTATTGTTTAGAGCCAGGTTAGCCAGGTTAGGGCATTTTGTCTTCTGGATGTTCTTAAGCCTCTATACATTTTCCTTCTTTGGCATGTGTTTTCATAGGGAAACAATTTGATATTTGTTCACTGCATCAGTCTTAAACTTATTAGTATGTCAAAGGTTAGTATTTTCTTGGCAAAGTAGATTGTACAGGAAAAGTGACTGCTTCAGAAGCTAAACATACTCAACGTAACTTTCCATCACACTGGTGTTTTACAGATGGGCAATCTGGTCAGCCTCCATTTTGTACAACCTATCAAAATGAAGATGTATTATTAAGTGATTTGAAGAATGACAACAACCACGATGTTCTTCGACAGGAATCCCAGGAAAATTTCTCCCAAATAAGCTCTAGCATGCAAAAAAAGGCCTTTAAAACAACTGTACCTGCTGAACAGAAGTGTGCCCTTGACATTACCTTTGAGTCTGTGTCGAATTTGAGTGACTTTAACCAAAGAGGAAGCTCTACTGAAAGTAATGAACATTGTTCTGAGTTATATACCAGTCAGATGCCCACTGAAGATGAAGTGGCTATGGAGGTTGAAAAGAATTCTTTGTCTCCAAGTCTGCTGAATGAACCTCAGTTACAGCCTGATCAGCCTGATATGCCAGTAACTTCATTTGTGTCTCTTGGTGGTGAAACAAATGATGAAAACTTAATTCTCTCTAGGAAAAATTCCCAGCTTTTATCCCAGAGTACTCCATTAACTGGAAAGCCATCTAAAAGTCAATTTTGTGAAAATTCTAACAATGTAATAAAAGTTAAAACTAATTCCCTTGGTTCTGAGTCCCCAGATTCTAGTCAAATTCAAAACAGTAAAATTGAAACTAATAGTGAATCATCAGTTGCAGCACAGCCACTACCGGATTGCCAAGATAATTCTCCATTACAAAGTAAAATATCACCTGTGACTGTTGAAAGTTTAGGTTTAAATGTATCTGAACAAATAGAAATTCATCTTGAAGAATCAGTCCCTTCAGATAAACAGCTCTCCAATGGTTCAGCATCTGTTGACTTAAATCATGGGGAAAACGAGACTGAGACACGTAAGTCTGAGAACTCTCAAGAGCCTTCCTCTTCTGTGAAAGATGGAGATACTATTTTTCTCTCTTTGGGTGAACATAACAGCTCTGAAGAACTTGCACTGGTTCCCCAAGAGGGTAACCCTATGAAAAATAATCATTCGCTGCCTTCAGAATCTGGTGGTTCAGTGGGAGGTTCTCTTGAGACCCAAAATATTGATGGTAAACCTAGCAAAGACTCAGTGGATGTAGATGCATCAAGTATTGTCTCTCTCAAAATTATCATTAGTGATGATCCATTTGTTTCCTCAGATGCAGAGCTCAGCAGCGCTGTATCTAGTATCGGTGGAGAAAACTTGCCAACGATAATTCTGTCTTCTAAATCTCCCGCCAAAAATGCAGAATTTGTTACATGCCTGTCTTCAGAAGAAACTGCGAGTGCTGTTGTATCTGTTGAAGTAGGGGATTCTGGCTCAATGGAGCAGAACCTTTTAGTACTCAAACCTGAGGAACCAGTAGTAAACAACCCTCAGAATGAAGATAGCATTGCATTTTCAGCCAGTGTTGCACCATGTGTTCCTAAGGATGGAGGATACATACAGTTGATGCCTGCCACAAGCACAGCCTTTGGCAATTCAAGTAACATTTTGATAGCTACCTGTGTGACTGATCCAACAACCTTGGGACCAACTGTCAGTCAATCTAATGTAGTGGTATTGCCTGGGAATTCTGCACCTATGACTGCACAGCCTCCTCCACAGCAATTACAGACACCACCAAAGTCTAACAGTGTATTTACTGTCAACCAAGCTGTATCGCCAAACTTTTCACAAGGTAACTCTAAGAGCATATTGGAGGTGAGCTGGGGATATAGTTCATTGGAAAAGCACTTGTATAACATGTACAAGGCTGTGGACTCTATCTCCACCACTGAATGAAAAGAGATGCATGTATGTATGTGTGTATAATTTATATGTGTGTGTGCACACATATTTTGGAGCTTCTCTGGATTGCAATCTTAATTTTCTTGTGTGAAGTCACTGACTAGGTAATAATATAGATAGTTCCTATGACAAAATACTATACAAATAATTGCTTATGCATCTTTCTTGCTATCCAGTTCAGCCAGATTTTGTTTAAATCTGGTAGGCTGTAGCTTTATTTTTTTTTCTTTGCGAGTTTTTAATGTACAACACTAAGCTGTAAAAAAGAAAAAGCCTAATTCATTGCATACCTATATATATGCTTCAACTCGATCTAGCAGGGTATTTCTTTATTTTTACTTTAATCATGGTTCTTTTGCAGGATGGAGTTCAAGACAGGGTTTCTCTGTGTAGCCCTGGCTGTCCTGGAACTTTCTGTATAGATCAGGCTGGCCTCAAACTCAGAGATCCACTTGTTTGTCTCTGTCTCCCCAAGTACTGGGATTAAAGGCATGTGCTGCCACCTCCTGGCTCTAGTTTAGAGAGACTTTCAAGAAAACCTAAATTCTATAAAACCCATTCTAATTACTCATGTTCTGGTGCTATTTAGAAATGATTCAAGTTGGGGCTGGAGAGAGAGCTCAGTGGTTAAGAGCACTGGCTGCTCTTCAAGGGGACCAGGGTTCAGTTCCCAGCATCCACATGGCAGCTCACAGCTGTCCATAACTCCAGTTCCAGAGGATCTGACACCTTCACACCAATGCACATGAATAAAATTAAATAAATTTTTAAAAAAGAGAGAGAAATAATTCAAGTCTTTAGAGACTTCCCCAAGGGCTCTTGTCTTCATTGTATGTTGCTTTACATACAGTTAACAATCGGCAAAATTATCATAGCAATCAAAGAATTCACACATGTTCACCTACATTCCCATTGTACTGATATATAGACAATGAAATCTGATGAAATATTATCAACTAAGCATTAAATTTGGTGAATCTATTTCAAATGATGGAAAGGCCAGAATTGCTGAAGAATATGAAGCTTGCATTAAAACCTAGAGAAAAGAGGTAAGATTTGAAGCCAAGGGAAGTAGAATAAGTATTCCTGGATACTTGGCAGGTTTATGTGAAAATAAGATCTTACAGGGATAGTTAGCCTTTTAGGTAAAGGTGCATTTACTACCAGGACTAAGTTACTATAGCTTTTCTTGTGGTTGACTCCTAAGGACCATGTGCTCACTCTAATTTTCCCTAGGTAGATTAATCTGGTTACAAAAGTATGTTCTTTTTGCCCAGTACCATTAAGATATAATACATTGAGTAAATGGTTAAGGGCTATAAGTACTCTCTTGGAATCCAAGTTTTCTTCTATAAGTTCAAACAGAACAGTCACTACTCAGTTCCTAATTAGTTTCAGTCTTTGTTAGAATAATCAGTGTGTAATAGGATCTTCTAGCCAGAGAGTCTTGAGCTTAGGATAATATCACTAAATGCCCTACACCTTAATATTTAGATTTGCTTTGTTTTGAATTCTTAACTTTTATTACTATACTTGATCAAAAAAAAAATTGGGGGGGGTGGAGATTTTCGAGGCAGGGTTTCTCTGTGTAGAACCCCTTTGGAGCCTGTCCTGGAACTAGCTCTTGTGGTTACTATTTTTGTGATGAAAACACCATTACCAAAAGCAACTTTGGTGGGGTAAAGGGTTTATTTCACTTACAGTTCCATATAGTAGTTCATCATCAAAAGCAATGAGGGCTGAAACTCAAGGCAGGGACCTGGCGTCAGGAATTGATGCAGAGGACATAGAGGGGTGTTGCTTACTAGTGACCCCCACCCTGGCTTGCTTATCTTGACTTGCTCAGTCTGCTCAGGAATGGCACCACCCACAATGGGTTGGACCGTCCCACATCAGTTACTAACAAAATGCCTACAGGCTTGCCAATCTTAAAGAGGCAGTTTCTCAATTGAGGTTCTGTCCTTTCAGATAACTAGCTTGTGTCAAGTTGACATACAACTAGTCCGCACAATAGACCCATTATCACCTTGACACACAAACACATCACTGTTAAGCCATAACCTTTCTTTTCTTATACTTCCCAAAGATCACACATCAACATTACAATATAATCATTCCAAAATTTTAAAGTCCCATAGTCTTTAAAAATAGATTCTCTTAGGGTCGGAGAAATGGCTCAGTGGTTAAGAACACTAGCTGTTCTACCAGAGGGACCCAGGTTCAATTCCCAGCACCCACATGGCAAACTCCCAACTGTCTGTAACTCCAGTTCTAGGGGCTATGACACCCTCGTGAATATATATGCAGGCAAAACACCAATACACATAAGTTTTTTAAAAAATAATAATAATTCATTCTCTTTAAAATAGGCAATCTTTTAAAATCTGGACTTTTAAAATTCAGTGTTTGAATTGTATGCTCCTATCAAATCAAAAAATAGTTACTTCAGGAGGGAAGAACCAGGGCGTAGTCATAATCTGAACAAAGCAAAACCAAACTTACAATATTAATCATTCAATGTCCAGTGTCGGAGATTCACTCACAATCTTCTGGGCTCCTCCAAAGTGACCCAAAAGGCTTAGGTCTCTTCTCAGGCTCTGCCCTCTGCAGCACACGTAGCTTGTCTTCTAGACTATGGCTGGCTCCACTCCACCACTGCTGCTATTCTGAGTGGTCATCCTATATTGTTGGCATCTCCAAAACTGCTGGGGTCCCTTGCTGCAACTGAGCTGCACTTTCAATGATAGCCTCTCCTGGGCTTCTTCAGGGACTCCAGTCTTGCCATACAGTGCCAAGCCTCGGTTGCTCTCCATGACCCCTTCATGCCTTCAAAACCAGTACCAGCTGGGTGACTCTTAGACTACCAACATTGGCAACTAGTATGAGGTACAACCTTGGCTGCTTCTGGAATACAGCTTCCGTGTGCTGACCCCAAGGAAATCCTTCCCAGAAGACTTCACCTCAATGATGCTAGTCTCTTAGTCACAGCTGATTCTTCAGCACCAACTGTCCCAGCAAAGCAAAGGTTTTACTTCACTATTTCTGGGCTCTTGTTAATCATAGCCAGTTCTTCAGCTCCAGCTGACCAGACACTACAGATTCTTCACAGACAAGGCCCAGTATAGTCTTTCCTTCCCTCTGAAACTTAGTGAGCCAGACCTTCATCGTCTGTACTGCTCTTAACATTCTTGTTTCCGAGGTCCTAAAGGATAGCTCCCTGAGCTCTTAACATCTAGCCAAAGCTCCAAAGTCCTTCCACAATCCTCCCCAACACATGGTCAGGGTTGTCACAGTAATACCCCACTCCTAGTACCAACTTGTGTTTTAGTTGGTGTTACTACTGTGATGAGACGCAATGACCAAAAGCTACTTGGAGAGGAAAGGGTTTATTTCACTCAGAGTTCCATGTAGCAGTTCATCATCAAAAGTAGTGAAGGCAGGAACCTGGGGGCTGGAGCTGATAGAGAGATTTTCAAGAGAGAAGATTTGGTTATAGAATTTGTTTCAAAATACTAATTACTTTGACATTTATTGGTGTCAAAAGATTTAGGGAAGGAAACCTGATTTTAATGAAAATTGTTTTTTTAGGATCTGCCATCATAATTGCTTCTCCGGTCCAGCCTGTACTTCAAGGAATGGTGGGAATGATACCTGTGTCTGTAGTTGGACAGAATGGAAATACATTCTCTACTCCTCCTCAGCAGGTAGTATTTATGAACTAAAAAAATAGTGTGAGGAAGCATTCCAAACAGCATAATTAATTGTATGTTGTTGTTTGTTTGTTTGTTTGTTTGTTTGTTTTTCCTTCTAGGTCCTTCATATGCCTTTAGCAGCACCTGTTTGTAACAGAAGTATCACTCAATTCCCCATTCCTCAAAAATCTCAGAAGGCTCAGGGACTCAGAAACAAGCCTGTTACAGGTACTTGTTAAAAAGAGTTCAAATCAACTTGTGTCTGTAAAACAACAACTGAATGTTTTCATTCATTTTGGTTTTTCAAGACTGGATTTTTTGTGTGTAGCCCTGACTGAACTCACAGAAATCTGCCTGCCTCTGCCTGGCCACCAACCCCCAGTGAATGTTTTCTTCTTGTACACCCCTAACAGTCTTCCTTCCCTTCAGGCAAGCAGTTTTTGATTGGACAGCTTTGATTCTGGTAAATTCCTTTGCTTTGCTGAATGCTTTAGCTTTTATCCATTACTCCCTGTTTCCCCAAATAATTTTGAAGTGTTTAACAAAGTTTGCATAGCATCTTCCCTTGTTCCCTTCTTTTGCCAGTAATCTTTCACTCACATAAAAAACATGAGTTACTCTTAACACACATTTCTCTTAGTTCAAATACTCATAATTTTCTGTCATATCAGTAGTGTCCTACCCTGGTTTTTGTTTTCTTCTTTAAGATTCTCAGTTTTCTGGTTCATCCTATATGTTAGTTGAATGAAACCCCACCCCCTACATAGTAGAATATATGACTTGCTACCTATACATTTCATTAATTCTCTGTTCCTCAGAAGCTCCTGGCCTATGGTGGTGGCAAATTCTAACCCACAGGTAGGAGACTAAAACAGGGTTAGGCCAGGATGAACAAGTTAAGTTAGTAAGACCCTCCTTGAGAAGGGAAAGGAAGTGAAGGAATTCCTTCACCCTAAGCATTCCCTAAGAACCTTATGGATTTCATTGGAATGTCTTATAATGTCTCCCCTTTTACCTCCAATGTTATTAACTTGGAACTACCTCCCCCCAACCACCCCTCTCATTTGTTTGTTTTGGGTTAGTTTGGCTTAGGAGCTTTTTAGTCTTGTTAATCTTTACAAAGAATCTGCTCTTTTATATATTGTTTTAGTCCCTGTTTCTGCCCTGATCTTCATTATTCCCTTCCATCTGTTTTCTGCATTTGAGTTTGAGATGCTTTGTTTGAATTTTGAGATGCGTCATTGTTATGTGACACTATTCTTGGAGAGACGTGAACAAACATCCCCTCGTCCCAGATAAGGAACCAGGAAACTGACCGTAGATCAGAGTCCAATTTGGTGAACTAAAAAGCTCTTTTGGATTTACTTCCAGGAATTTGGGTGAAGCAAAATGACTCAAACAGCTCCTGGGTGAGGCTTCTAGCCCCTAAGAAGTCTCATCAGGTGGCTGAACTAAAGCAGGGAGCATATATACCCTATAGGCGAGGGGTGATGACCTGTCTTTCACAAGATTTCTGCCCAAGTGTGATCAAAAACTAGGCATTTAGTTTTGACTGCTTTAGGCATTGAGGTCTTGGGGCTACTGGCAACTTCAAGGGAGGGGCTGCTACAGCAGCAAAGAATGCAGAACTGTATTTTTGGCACCTTTGTTGTTGTTTGAGATTCTTTGATGGGGGAGGTTTGGAGAGCGAGAAATGGGACTTTTTGGATCAAGCAGGAGTGGGCTGGAGGTTCCAGCCAAACAAGCAGTTTGGCTATTCTACCTCTTCAGGCATCTGTGCTGGTCTTTGACTGTCTCTTAGCAATCCTTATTGTTTATATATGCATGGGAAGGGAGGGACTCTGATCAGCCTTAGTGACTTCCTGCAGCTGTTGAGCTGTTTACTTCCTGAGTTTAAGGAGATTCCCTGCAGGATGCATTTTTGCTTTCCTTTTAACATCCCTCATCTTAAGGTATTTCCCTACAAGATGGGGGGTTTTAATCTCAGGAAATTGCTGTACAATAACCATTAGGGTGGCCACTGGGTGGTGGCTAATGCTTTTAATCCCAGCACTTAGGAGGCAGAAGCAGGTAGATCTCTGTGAGTTCGAGGCCAGCCTGGTCTACAGTTCCAGGACAGGCTCCAAAGGCTACCCAGAAACCCTGTCTGTGGGGTGGGAGGGAGCCAAAAAATTAAGTTATTTATTTAGGATGTCTGATTATCATCATTCAAAAATATTGTTTAGTCTGCAGGTATCTAGTTTCTGAGGTCATCCTTTTAAATTAGCATCTATTAGTTATAGTAGAATTTCTGGTAGTGCTGGCTTGGTTGTTCTGAATTACCTTAACTTGTGCTTGTCTTGGAGTGTTTCCTTTTTTTTTTTTTTTTTTTTTTTTTTTTTTGGTTTTTAAAGACGGGTTTTCTCTGTGTAGACCGGGCTGGCCCCAATCTCACAGAGGTCCCCCTGCCTCTGCCTCCCAAGTGCTGGGATTAAAGGCATGGGCTGCCACCACCCAGCTGTCTTAGAATATTTTGAGAAGTAATTTGCTGGGTATAGGAATTAAGTTGAGAATTATTTACTTTCAGAGCTTGAAACATATCCTTTCATGCTTTTCTGACTTGAAGGGTGTTGACAAGAGATCTCATGTCATTTTGATGTTTCTACCTTTATGTGAGTTGGTGTTACTACTCCCTTACAGTTTTTACTATTGTTTTTTTGTTCTGAAATTTTGACTATTATATGTTGTAGGATTGCTCATTTCTGGCCACTATTAGTTATGGTTTGGGGGGTTTTGTTGTTTTATTTACTTATTTTTAAGATTTTTTTTATTTATTATGTATACAATGTTCTATCTGCATGTATGATTGCAGGCCAGAAGAAGACACCAGATCTCGTTATAGATGGTTGTGAGCCACCATGTAGTTCCTGGGAATTGAACTCAGGACCTCTGGAAGAGCAGCCAATGCTCTTAATCGCTGAGCCATCTCTCCAGCCCCCTGTTTTCTTTTTTTAAAGGTTTATTTATTTTTTGTATATGACTATTTTGCCTACCTGGTGCCCATAGAGTTTAGAAGAGGGCACTGTATCTCCTGGAACTGGATGGCTGTAAGCCACCATGTGGGTTTGGAGAAATGAACACCAAGTGAGAGTAACTAGTGCTCCCACCACTGAGCCACCTCCCCAGATTGGGGCCCTTAATAGTTCTTGTTTTGGATCTCTTTCTTTCTCTCTACTTGAAAGATTCTTGGCTATGATTTCATTGACTACATTGTCTGAACCTATGGATTTTATCAGCTCCTTCTATCCCTGGATTCAGATTTGATCTCTGGAATATAATCCTTTTTTTTTTTTTAAGAAATTTGGTTTAGATTTCCCCACCCCCACCCCCCTTCATGTCTGTATTGCCTCAACTTTGTCCTCCATCACCAACATTGATTCTCCTGCTTGCTTTTGTGTGTTGACAGTGCTTTCTGCTGTGGCTTCATTTAATGATTGGTTCTTTCATTTCTACAACTTTTGTATGGTTCTTTTTCATCATCTCAATTTCCTTCATGAGTTTTTGTTTCATGTTTTTATATTATTCCTTCAAGTTACTGATTATTTTATGTACTTTGGTAACTAATTTTATTATCTAGGTCATGGATTGATTTTCTTGTTTGTATGTTTGAGTCTTCAATATCATAGTTGATTTGTTTATAAATGGGACTCTGAAATCTTTTTAAAATAAACAGATGTCAGTATTTAAATAGTCAAGTAAAAAGGATCTGGGAGAGGGGAACAATAAGAATGATAAAGTATGTGTGTTAGATGTATGAAAGCAATAGAGAAAATATTGTATGTTAGGTTTGGAGAAAGGAAGGACGAATATAAAGCCTTAACTTTCATCTGAACTTTTAAAAGTACAAAAGTATAAGTACTAAAAATTAATAATAACAAAACGGAAATGAAAAAAATAGGTCAAAAATTAATATGCAAACTATAATTGATAGAAGTATGTTCTCAGTCAGCATTTCTTCCTAATTGGGGAGAGCCTTCTGCTTTGCTTATTTCAGTCTATAAGGATGCTATAGCAAGTTTGCCAAACTGTCCATATAGCTTCTCCCTGCTCTTGCCAGGGTGGGGTCTGTTGAGAACCAGATTGAGACCCCTAACTACACCTCTGCTGTGATCTCCTGCTGCTGCTTGAAGTCTGTTAGTTCCGTCAGGATGCTGCAATACATTCCCCTTTCTGCTGCTTTTCCTGCAGTCCTAGTATCTGGCTCATCTGGGTAGTGGCAGAGGTGAGGAAATAGTGAGGACCTTGTGCCCTTTTCTGGTACCATATTTATGGCTGTTGCTCCACTTTCTTTTACATCTACATTAAGTTCAGGCTTCAGTTGGTACTGTCTCACCCTAGTGCTTCTAGCAGCATCTGGTGATCAGAGTTTTTGCCCAGCTCAGCATAGGCAGCGTGGTATGGCAGAGTATACCAGCTGGCTTCTTTATGGAGAGAAGTCTATCTAGTCTTATCTCTACTTCATGTAACTGTTTCTCTTTTAATTTTTTGTCCATTGGTGATTTTATTATTTTGACATTCTTCCATCCAAATTCCAGGTCTCACAAATACCACTTCTGTTTCATCATAGCTCCTTCCCACAAGGCACTTTCTTAAACTTAAGCTAGCGCTCTCTCTCTCTCTCTCTCTCTCTCTCTCTCTCTCTCTCTCTATCTGTCTCTCTTTTTCTCTCCTGGATACAGGGCTTCTCTGTGTAACAGCCTAACTATCCTGGAACTCACTCTGTAGACCAGGCTTCGAACTCACAGAGAACCACCTGCCTCTTCCTCCCTGAGTGCTGGGATTAAAAGTATGCGCCACCAACACCTGGAAAATTTAAACTCTCTTAATCTAAGTATAGTTGACTTCCTTTCTCAGTTTTTTTTTTTTTTTTTTTTTGACATTTGCAGATTCAGCCAACCATAAGCAGAAGAATTTTTGGAGAGTTGAAGATTATATTTACATTTGTGCTGATCAGACTTTTCTCATTATTTTTCCCTGAACAGTACAATATTAATTATTAACATGATATTTGTATTATATCATATGAATAATCTAGAGATGATTAAAGGCTATGGTTAAGTTATATGCAAGGACAACTCCATTTGTCTGTAAAGAACCAGGCTATGTGCAGGCGCTGGTATCCATGGGGTCAGTTTACTCAAAGACACTTAATAGAGAACTGGTATAGTAAGTGCCATTAAAAGTTGTGGCTCTTGGCCCGAGCGTTGGTGGCCTTTAATCTCAGCACTCGGGAGGCAGAGGCAGGCAGATCTCTGTGAGTTTGAGGCCAACCTGGTCTCCAGAGCGAGTGCCAGGATAGACTCCAAAGCTACACAGAGAAACCCTGTCTCAAAAAAAAAAAAAAGGTGTGGCTCTTGAAGGCTGGATTCATGTTGGCCTGAAATTAAAGCAGATCATTTGGTCTGTATCTGGATTTCCTCTACAGCATGGATGAATATATTATAGAAAATGTAAGTATTAGAGAAAAAAATATATAGCTGGGTGGTGGCAGCACTCAGGAGGCAGAGGCAGGCAGATCTCCCTGAGTTCAAGGCCAGCCTGGTCTACAAATCGAATTCCAGAACACTCAGGATCGTTATACAGAGAAACCATGTCCAAAAAACATATATAAATAAATGAATAAATCAATGTGTGTGTATGGAAATGTTTTGTTTGCAAATTAGCTATCAGGTTTTTTTCATGTAATAATTATCATCTGGCACATACTCTTTCAGTGGAATATATTCTTTCACAAATGTGTTTCTTTTCTAATGAGTTAATTTATAATTCCAGGGAAACAGTTAAATAATTTGACAGATTTGTCCAGTCTGTCAGGAGCATGTCATACGCAAAGGTGAGGATAAAATAATTTGTACCATAGATTATTAAAATGCTCAAATGACAGATTTCATGTTACTAAAAATGAGATGTTTTATTTTCATTTTAATAGAGCTGAAACTTCTGATAAGAATATAGCCACTGAACTTGGGAAAAAATTAGAAGAGGTCACAATTCCCCTCTCATCAGAGAGGGTAGCTCCTGCCAGCAAGCCATTTGAAAGTCATAGGCGTGTGCTGTGTTTCGATAGCACTGTTTCTTCTGTGACGGATACACAGGGGCCACAGTATAAAATGACCTCCCAAAACAAAGAAAAGAAGGAAACGTCCTTTCCTCATCTCGACTCCGCCATTGTGCCCTCCACCTTAAAACTGCCTCCTAATAATGCCATTAAAAGAGAGAGAGAGAAAACTGTGCCCAAGATTTTATCTAAATCAGAAACTGCCTTTAGCCGACACACCACTGTGAAAGAAATTCAGTCTGAGAAGAAAGTTTTCCCCACAGAAGTGGCCCTTGACTCTTTCCATAAAACAACAGCTAACAAGGAGAATGAGTTGTGCAGCGATGGAGAGAGGCAGAAGAGTCCAGACTCTTCTAAACTGCCTGTTGGGCAACAGAATGGGAGCTTACGGAATGAAAAAACTATAGCTTCCCTACAGGAGTTGACCAAAAAACAAACCACATCCTCAAACAATAAAAGTGCTACTTCTATAGGTGGAGCTATGAAAGACCTGAAAGAGGAGCAAAGTAAATCTTCTAATTCTTTAATTGGTGCAGAAATATTGCAGGATGTTCCATTGCACAGCCCAGCAAATAGGATTGCTGATACTGATTTGCCAGTACCCCGGACTCCTGGCTCAGGAGCTGGGGAAAAGCATAAAGAAGAACCTGCTGCCGACAATATGAAGGCTCCCTCTAGTAGACGCTTTGGTGAAGATGGCAGCATGCCCAGAATAATGGTACCTCCTGTCACTGCAGACTTGCCGGCCTGTAGCCCAGCCAGTGAGACAGGCAGTGAAAATAGTGTGAGCATGGCTGCCCACACCCTTATGATTCTCTCTAGAGCAGCAATTGCTAGAACTACAGCTACTCCTCTGAAAGATAACACACAGCAATTTAGAACATCTTCAAGGAGCACTACAAAAAAGCGGAAAATTGAGGAACTAGAGGAGCGGGAGCGAAACTCCCGTACTTCTAGTAAAAATCTTGCAAATTCATCAGTACCAATGAAAAAGAAGAAAATCAAGGCAAGTTTGAGAGTTTTCATTTCACTTCCACTTCTGTCTCTTCTTTCAGTATTCACATTAGATAGGGAGGTCAGTGCTGTTTGCTATAGCTACCTGACCAAATGTGCCCTTATACACTTGGTAGTGTTTCTCAGTCATACTGATACAAGTTATCTATAAGTATCATCCTTAGGAAAAACGAATGTTTCTGTCATGGTGTCACCCAGGATTTTTCATTGGAGTACATAAAATGTGAAAGACTGGGAAACTACCATTACAAGAATTACCAAGTAAAACACTACTTTCTTTGACTTGGAGTTTTCTACATGTTTCCCATCTCTTTCTTAGTCTTTAATAATGGTTAACCTGGCAGAGCAGAGGAAAACTCATGCCCCCTTGTTTTTTACTTTAATCATGGTTGTCTGTAGTAAGGCAGTACAAGGATAGTAGCAATGATAAATGCATTTATCTGAAATGTGTTACTTTTACTGAGTAGACTGAACCAAAAGTATGTGAATGCCATAGAGACAGTATAAGGTGGGGAAAGAATAAAGAGGTTCGTTGCCCTGCAAGTCTGAGTTTGAATTCTGTTTCAAGTGCTTGTCATTCCCTGTGACTGTCCCTGGTTAGTCTATGGTCTCTTCTTCTGTGCCTCATCATTTAACATAAAATCATACGTTTTACCCTGTGGTTTTATAGTCTACTACTTCTAAAAAGCACCTCTATACTTAATGTTTGGAACTTGGTGAGTGAATGGTATTCTTTAATGTGTGTTAGCAAAGGGGTCAGCTGGTAAAGGTGCTTGTCCTCAAGGCTGATGATTATAAAGTTTGATCCCTAGGAACCATCTGGTAAAAGCAGAAAAACTCCCCAAAACAGTCTTCTGACTTGTGTACTCATGTGTGGGCACACACATACAGAAAATAAATAAATAAATCAGTATAATAAAACAGTATCTGTTAGTAATGCTTTCTAAGGTCTATGGTTTGACAAAGATGACCACCTTAAAGGATGCAGTTCTCATCTTTTGCCCTAAGCAAATATTTAATTATAATTAAAGTGTATTTTAACATTGAGTTGATTAAAACCTATCTGCCTTTCCCCATAGAAATAAAATTGTAGCGGACTCAAAAATGATGCAATTGTAATAGTAAAGAAATCTATAATATAATGCTTTAGGTAATTTACTAAGAAAATAAACTGGCATAGAGTTTATTGTTTTTCCTTCTCTTTTGTTTTTGTCTTCACAGAAAAAGAAGCTACCTAGTTCATTTCCAGCAGGAATGGATGTGGACAAATTTTTGCTATCGTTGCATTATGATGAGTGAACACCCTGACAAAGAGAACAGTAGCTGTTTAAAACTAGTGTCCTTCAAACTGTGCGTGTAGGAAATGGGATAGTGACAGACTCTGCAAACATGACCTGCACTTTCATCGTACTGAGATTTCACTTTATATCTAAGTCATGCTGTTTCTGAAGCAGCTTCCTAGTTTGTAAATAGACTTTCTTGGTATATTTTTATTTTAGAAAAAAAAAAATGTGCAAAAATGTAAGTAAAGCCAATCTACAAAACTGTACAGCTTTGACACTGTATATTGTACATGTGTATATCGTGTAGAAATAGAGCTTAAATCAGCCTAATATTCCCATACTGTCTTGACTTCTATGATGCCCAAGGCTTCTGGAGTAGTTTCTCATCTCCTTTGGAGGAAGATGATGGTTGTTCCTGTAAATTACCTACAGCGAATATTAATAAGACACTTAAATATACAGTAAAAAATAATAATGATAACCACCTCAACTGGTTAGTAAAATATCTAATCAGAAAGCAACAGTTTGATGATTTAACCCCCAAAGTCAATATTTCTATCGCCTTTCTCATAAATTGCAGTAAAAAATATATTTCTGAAATTCTGTACTTTCTTCTGATGATCTGTTCTCTTTGTTTTAAAGAGATTTTTATAAACCATTTATTAAATGTTCTGATACTTCAGTTATAACTTCTTGAAATCTTTTACAGAACATTAAGTGGTTGGACTATTGAGCCATAAAAAGTTGAGTTATGTAGTAGTTGAGATTTCTTGATTGTATATAAACTTTCCCTAAGCACTGGGGATACAAAGAATTGCACTAATTCATAGTTTTCACATACTAGTGACCAATGCATATTTAATTTAAATCTTGTATGTAAAAGCTTATGTGGAGGATTGTCTTCTGGTGTCTTTGAAAGTCATGTCCATCATAAGATGTAAAAATACAAATCATAGTTATTTTGTAATTTAGTTTACCCTAAAGTGGGATATGTAAATAACTGTCTGTACTTACCTATAGAACATTGTGTTCCTTAAAGTGTTGTAAATAGTTGCTCTCAAGGTCCTCAAGGGGAGTGAGAGGTGCCTTCTCTGTGTTGGGCAGATTTATATAAATAGTTAAGTTGAAAAGCTGGCTTAAACTTTAAAGTAATGACAGAAGTTATCATTAATACTTGACCAATTGTGCCTAGATATTGAAGTGTTTTCGTAAGTCCTTTCTGTTTAAATATCAATATATTAGGATTTTTTCTTCCTACAAGTGTATATTTTATTAAAAAGTCACTTTCTTCAACCATTTTTTGTACTGGGCCTTTAACAAATAAATCCATCCTACTGTAACAACAACAAAAGTTTTCAATATAAAAATTATGTCTTTTTAATTGCTAGAATTCACTGTACAAATTTATATTGTGAGAAATTTTTATATGACTGATCTATTCCTAAGGAACTAAATAATCATACAATTAATGTTTACATAACTCAGCTTGGGTCTATCCTACAGTTAGGTTTGAATAAATATATTTTCATTAACTTTACAAGTTTGGATTTATATTGACAGTCCTATTTAGAAACTTTTGGTTAAATTTCTTTGCAGGTTAACTCACACTGTTTTTCAGGAATTCACATAATGTAAAAAATTACAGATTTCTTATTAACACAAATCTTGGTGTTACTTAGTGAAAATTCCTAAATAAGTTAACTCTTTTTTTTTTTTATAATTGTGTGTGTGTGTTTTAATCAGTGTCTTTCATGTAGCTCAACTGGTTTTGAATCCATTATATAGTCAAGAGTGACTTTGAATTCCTGATCCTCTTCTCTACCTCCTGAGTACTTATTGCAGTCATACACTACACATAGCTTCTTCAGGATTCTCTTTCTTGTTCTTGGCCTGGGAGGAGGGGGGTGTTTTCTTTTTTAAGTTTGATGCCAGCTTTCCTGTTTAGAATAGGCTGATATCAAGGTCAGACATCCTTCTGCCTCTCCCTTCCAAGTTCTGGGATTAAAGGTGTGTGTTACCATGCCTGGCCTTCAGGATTTTTAGTGAACTAGCCTGAACCCCTAGTAAGTTCAAAGACAATTTGCACATACACAAAACCAGAGGAGCTATTTTTATTTCTCTCTGACATTTTCCCTTGAGACAAGGTCTCTCACTAGGCCTGGAGCTTGGTGGTTTTAAACTATGTTGGCTGGCCAGCAATTATCAGCAATTATCCTTTGTTTCCCACATCCCCCAGCAAGGGTACAGGTACACACAGCCATTTAATGTATGCCATTTATATGGGTGCTGAAGATCTGAATTCAGATCTTCAAGCGTGCACAGCAGTTAGCCACTAAATCATCTGCTCTGCCTTCATTGTTTTTAGGTGTTACAAATAAAGACATCACTGAGCATTTTTGTAAAGAAACATTTGTTTACATGATTTCTTTCCTTAGGAGACATCAGTTCCATTTCTGCCAGTGAGTAGTTATTTTTTCTAAACTATATATTTATCCTTTGCCAGATGTATATTCAACTAAATCATCACTTATTTCTCTAGGCCTTTTAAAAACTGGTTTAAAATAGCAGTTAGGGGGCTGGAGAGATGGCTCAGAGGTTAAGAGCACTGACTGATCTTCCAGAGGTCCTGAGTTCAATTCCTGGCAACCACATGGTGGCTCACAACCATCTGTTATGAGATCTGGTGCCCTCTTCTGGTGTGCAGATATGCATGGAAGCAGAATGTTGTATACATAATAAATAATAAAATCTTTAAAAAATAAATACAATAGCAGTTAGGTTTCTAAACCATATGTAATTTGTTTGGGTAACTGGTGTGAAATGATGGAAGAATACTTTTCATCTAACTCTAGCCATTTGGCACAGTTTGTTAAATAAGCTGTCCTTTTCCAGGCCCATTTGTAATTCATCCTACCAAGATTCCCCATCTTACAGTTCTGGGAAGTTTGAAAGCTTTTTACAACCAACTCCTTGTTCTCAAATTTAACTTAGAACCCATTTCATGGCAAAGCATTGTCAAAGGGCCTGAGGACTCTTGCAGTCTTTTATTCGGTCTGAACATTCTTATTTTACTATAAAAGTAGTTTGCTTTATTTGTATGCTATTTTAAGATTTATTTATTTATCATGTATACAATGCGTGCCAGAAGAGAGCACCAGATCACATTCCAGATGGTTGTGAGCCACAATGTGGTTGCTGGGAATTGAACTCAGAACCACTGGAAGAACAGACAGTGCTCTTAACCCCTGAGCCATCTCTCCAGCCCCCCATTTTGTTGCTGTTTAGAAATCCAGAATGTTCTAAATTATGAAACCACTTACTCCAAAAATTGATATATGGAGTCTAAACACAGATTGCACATCCGGTTAAGAGTCTAGTCTCTTCTGTACACTCCTAGTTCTTACATGCTGAAATTTTTCAGGCAGGTGGCAGAAAAGGTTCTTGATTTATAGCAATAAAACAGGTCAGCTTGACCCTCACTGAAATGGGAAATGCCACCCAAAGGCTCTTCAGTGCCACTTTTCCTCTGTCTTGTTTGTCTCTGGCAGGCACCATGCCTCTGGTAGAGATTTTGGAGGTAAATCCAAGACTAGCATGGCTTGCCTGAGTGGGTTCCAGGTTGGAGGTGGGGGAGGACTCTGCTTGATCTCTAGCTGCCCTTCAGAGGGGACAGAGCAGGAAGTAGTAAGAACAGTAGTGGAACTAGATCTGTATTTGAGGTTAGGTGTCTCTATTAATTGCTTCCATGGTGGCCATTGGTCTGGTGTGAATGAACAAGAAAGAACCCCAATGTGTTTTTTACTGAGCCAAGAGCCCACTAATAACCATCAAGCTAGTGAGTCACCTGTTTCTCCATCTTACCCCCTACCCTTGTGCTAGGATTACAGACTCATAACTGCTCTCAGCTTTTATGTGGATGCTGGGAATCTGGGATCATGTCTTCATGCTGATTTGCATTTCTCTGGTGGCTTAATAGAGTGGATGCTTTCATGTTTACAAACCACTTCCACTTCTTAAGAACTGTCCATCAGCACAAATTGATTGGATTATTTGATGTGGGTCCCTCCTTTGGTGTTTAATTTTTTTGTTCTTCATATATCATGAATATTAATATTTTGTCAGATAAATAGCAAGCATCTCTTCATTCTGTAGACACTCTCTCCACTCTATTAACTTTACTGTGCTGAACTTATGAATTTCGTATGCAGTCCCACTTCTCAGTTCTTGCTCAGTTTTCCTGAGCTGCTGGAGTCCGAGACATTACTTTCCTGTGCCTGGATTGGGAACTAATTTCTGTTGTTTTCTATTAGCCGTTTCAGAGTTCCAACTGATAAATTCATGTCTTTGATCAGTTTTAAACTGATTTTTTTTTTGTACAAGGTGAGTGCAAAATCTAGTTTTATTCTTTTGTGTGGGGACATCGTTTCCCCAGAATTATTTGTTGAGGAGGGTTTTCTTCTCTAACAGTTGCTGAGAATCAGCCATAGCTATATGATTTTGTTTCTGGATTCTAGTATTTCATTCGTGAATCCCTGCGCCTTTGGATGTTATCTCTTGATGAGTGGTAATAGGTTCAGACAGTAGTGGGTAATGTCACTCATCATTTTTGTTCAGTATTATAAGGATGAGTACATCAACATTAATGTGTATATACTTCCAACTATTTCTTGTTTCCCTCCTTTCTTTATAACCCTCCACCTCCACTGTCTCTATTTATGTAGTGCTGGGATGGGAGGCAAACACAACCAACTGTGCTACATTCCAAGCCCTGCTGTCTTCTTGATGGATTGCTTCCTTTATTAACATTAGTGACATTCTTTGGTGCCTTATCTGAGAAGCTGTCTTGAAATCTAGCATTTGTTATCCATGTTATCCATGTTGTTATCCATAAAGCTACACCTGCTTACTTTTAGCTTCTATTGGAGAGCATATTGTTTTCCATCCTGCCACTTTTACTGAGTCTTTGTCAGTCTTTTGTTGGTGTTTCTTTTGTAGACAGCACTTGGATCATGTTTTTAATTGAGTTTTTAATATGTTGAAGCCATTAATAATTTGGGCTGAAAATTTGCTTGTTATGATAGTTTTATTGATTTCATTATTTTTCCTTATTCGTTCTAAAGCTCTGCTGGTTTACTTACTAAGATGGTCTATTTTATTCTTTCCTGGTTCTCATTCCTCTCATAGAACATATTCTTTGTTGTGCTCTAATGTTTGTGACTGTTTCTTCTTGCTGTGTAGGATTCCTTCCATGCTGGCTTAGTTGACATGAATTGCTCTAGTTTATGCTCAATTTATTTAATCGTCTTCATTTTTTTTCCCCTTTTTGTTTTTTTTCTTTCTTTCGAGAAAGAAAGGGTTTCTCTGTGGCTTTGGAGGCTGTCCTGGAACTCTTGCTCTGTAGACCAGGCTGGTCTCAAACTCACAGAGATCCGCCTGCCTCTGCCTGCCAAGTGCTGGGATTAAAGACATGTACCACCACCACCCAGTCCACCATCTTATTTTCATTTGTACTCACATAACTTTGTTTGAAATTAATTTTGACTACCCAAAGTTCAAAAACAAACAGAAAACAAACAGCCACAGTTTTAGTCTGTTCATTCATACTGGGTATTACATAGGTGTTTTGGGGGCTTGGGAAAGTCAAGGAGCCTTGTGACTGCTACTGTAATGATGATCAGCAGCCTTCTGAGGGAACCCATCTGTTGCTTTCTTATTTCTTTGGTGTATTTAGATGTAAAAGTGCTAGATCTTCTACTCTGCTCTCATCAAAAAAAATCCTATTACAAAGTATGTCCTAGGATGGTTTCCCTCTACTTCAGCAGCTAGTGAGGTCAGGAGGCATAATATCTCATTTCTTTGGCATCTGCAACACAGTGTGCAAGTTCTCCCTTGGTTGTGCGACAACAAATATGGATCCTGGGAACCAAACATCTTCCGCAAAAAGAACAGATGCTCTTTTGTTCTTTTTCGAGACAGTCTCTCTGTAGCCCTGGACATCATGAGACTAGCTTTGTAGAGCAGGCTGTCTTTGAACTCACAGAGATCTGCCTGCCCCTGCCTCCCAAGTGCTAGGATTAAAGGCTGTGCCATCAGCCCTGGCTAGCAACAGATGCCTTTAACCACTGAACCATGTCTCTAGCATACCTACATTGGTATTTCAAATAGAAGCGACAGATTGTTCAAGTTTACCAAAATAAAGAAAGAAAGAAAGAAGAAATTTTTATTTGTACTGTCAATAGGTTTTGGATATGATGATTATTTCTTTAAAAAATTTTTAATAGAAAATAATAAAAAATGAAGTAGTTGATGTTGAATATAACGCGGCCCAAGGAAGTCCCATTCACTTCAACAGTGTTTGTGATCACATGGGACTGTCTACAGCTTCTCAATCAGCACAGCAGAAGCACCTCCTCCTCCATTGCAAATACTGGCCAGACCAAATTGTCCTCGCTTCAAGGCATGAGCCAAGTGAACAACAATCCGGGCTCCAGACATCCTAGGATTAAAAAGATTTGGTTCTTTAATGAAGGACAAAATTCAAGACTAACCAGAAAAGTATCCATTCCAAATGAACTTCTTGAAAGCTTTGTTACCCAGAACTTGTGGCTGAGTTAACTACTTTTAAGTCAGGAAGAGGTTACAGCTCTTATAAAAGCCTGGGTTTAGCCGGGTGTTGGTGGGGCATGCCTTTAATCCCAGCACTCGGGAGGCAGAGGCAGGTGGATCTCTGTGAGTTCTATAAGAAGGCAGGCTGAGCAAGTCATGAGGAAACCCTTTCCTCCCCAACTTGCTTTGTTTGTGGTGTTTCATCACAGCAGTAGAAACCCTGACTGACGAGGATACTTAGATTTCAAGCCACACATTTGCTAAGTCTGTGTGTGTTCACTGTTGGGTGTTATCTATCTTTTTGATTTTTCAAGACAGGGTTTCTCTGTATTGCTTTGGAGGTTGTCCTAGAACTTGCTCTGTAGACCAGGCTGGCCTCGAACTCACAGAGATCCGCCTGCCTCTGCTTCCCGAGTGCTGGGATTAAAGGGGTGTGCCACCAACGCCCGGCCATGTATATCTTCTTAAGGATGGGAAGGAAAACTGCTAATCAAAAACCAACAGGAGTGATGGTAAAGCAGCTGATAGAAATATAGAGGCAGCTATTAACATAGGTGGGATTGTTATGGTACTCACCCAATTGGATGGCCCAAAGAAACAGCTCCTCCATGGATATTCACTTTTTGGGGATCAATCTCTAGCATTTTAATGTTGGCCAGTACAACCACACTGAATGCTTCATTTACTTCCCACATGGCAATATCTTCCTTTTTCAATCCTGCATATTTCAGAACCTAAAAAAATTTTTCAGAGATGGTTATCCAGATATTTAGCAATCAACTTAATTTTCATTATTTCCTGGAGATTTTACTTTTGGTTTATATTTCCCCTTGATGTAGTTAATTTCTTAAATAGGAAGGGCTTTTGTTTTGTTTTCCTTTTGAAAGGATTTGTTTTCAAATTTTGCTTTTCTCCATATTGTAGTTAGAATTTTGTTTGCATTACATTATGATTTCTACTTTTCAGAGATACATAAATTTTTATGTCATTGGACATTACACAAATGTTTGGAAAGGTGCATTCTCCATATTAAAGTACATCATGCCATTATGTCTTCTTAAGACCTACCTTGCTGGCTATATGTTACTTAGTTCTATATTCTTGTAGAGTTTGTCTGTTCCCATATGTCCCCTCAGTTTCTTTAGAAATACTGTGGGATTATCTCAGGCACAAATATGTTTTAGGAAATCTTTGATCATGTTTTGTTTCACTGGTTTCTCATCTTGAGGGGAAGGGATTTTTGTGCTAATGATTACCTTTATGATAATAATACCTTTTTAAAAATATTGCCAAAGCCCTTTTTCTTTAGAAATTTTACCATTGGCTACAAATCTAGTACGTTCACTTTCAAAGGTGTCTGTTCCTGTCTGAGATCTGCAGCCTCTATTCTTACGTCTACATGCTGCCTTTAGCTGTGTACTGTTCTCAGATGTCAACTCTATCTGGATGGAGTGGTACACAACTGCAATCCTAACACTCTGGAGGCTGAGATAGGAGGACCAGCCCAGACAACATATCAAGACCTTCTCGTACAAACAAAAGATCAAGCTGAATATATCCCTTATAAGCATATATTTGCTGAATACATCTAAATTATCTGAGCCCTAAGTGCCCTGAGCATTTTTCTTTGCCTGTGACCTTAATGTCTTCCCACAGGCTTGGTATGTCTGCCTTTGAAAGCACAGGCAACAATGTGAGTTTATTGTGGCTAATGTTACTCTTTCCTGCAGGACATAGAGTCCATGGTTCCTTTCAACATGGAGAAACCTCTGCAAGCAGCTATTTCCTTTGTATTCTAGACCTGGCACCTTTCCTTTACCACACCAGGTGTATGCATTCAGCATCGTTTTTACAAGTGATCTAGCTATCCACTTCTAATCGGTTCTAATGAAGATGGAGTTTGAGGTTTCCTATCAGTTGCTATTTTCTGAAGTGGACAGACCCAATACCAAATTATCTCTGCTTCTGCAAATGAACATTTAAATGTAAAAACTGCAATCTCAATATAATAAGCAAAGCACAAATTTGCAGAATCAGTATAGGCCCCTCACCTTTTCTTACCTTAGGTACAGCATATGCAGGCGCAACTGGAAAATCAATAGGGTCTACAGCAGCATCGGCAAATGCTGCAAAAAGAAACACTGTTAAACCCTTTCACATACACCCAGAGCTTCATCCTTATATGTAAGACTTAAAAGCAAAGCTAATAAATAGATGCACACTGCCTAGTTTATTCTATGCCTTATGTGACTATATTTGCTCTTTTTTTATTCTTTAAAGCAGAGTCTCACTACATAGCCCTGCCTGTGCAGTAACTTACTCTGTAGACCAGGGTAGACTCATATTCAAGACATGCCTTCCCTAACCTGAGTGTTGGAATTAAAGGTGTGTGCTATCACACCTAGCTACACATTTGCTCCTTCTAGAAGATCCTATTCTTAATAAAATTATTCTTGTCTCTAAGACACTGATTTGCCTGGGGAGAGGTTAAAGAGGCAGTGTCTAGGGTAGTAGTTCTCAACCTTCCTAATGCTTTGACCCTTTAAATATAGCCCCATGTTTTAGGAGTGGGCACATGTGTGGCATGGCACCTGTGGAGGTCAGAGGATAATTTGTGGGAATGAGTTCTCTTCCTTCTACCATGTGGGTTTCAGGGATCCAACTCAGGTCATCTGGCTTGTCAGGAAGCACCTTTTACCCACTGAAATAATTTGTCAGCCCCGTAAGTCATTATATAAAGCAGATTTTAACAAAAATATGAAAAGAATGTCTATGCCAATCAAAAGAGAAACAGCCAACTCCATTACTATGTGTTTCCAAGGAGAGACCCTGTTTTCAAAACTAAAGATGAGAAGCAATTGAGAAAAGCACCCAGGCCTCCAGAGGGAAGATCATACATGCACACACAGTTTTTTTTAATTAAAAATAAATAAATAATTAAAGACAGTCAAGTGGGGCCTTGTGGCACAAGCCTATAATCGTAGCCAGGGATGCTATGGCAGACAGATAACAAGACCAAAAACAGAGAGTTCAAGCCAGCTTGCACGGCTAAAGTGAGACCCAAAAGGAGGGCAGAATACTTGCTTAGGATGTGTGTACTGGCTAGTTTTATGTCAACCTGACACAAGCTAAAGTCATCTGAGGAGGGAACCTCAATTGAGAAAATGCCTCAATAAGATCAGCCTGTTGGCAGGTCTGTAGGGCATTTTCTTAATTAGTTATTGATGGGAAAGGACCCAGCCTGTTGTGGGTGGTGCCATCCCTGGACTGGTGGTCCTGGTTCTGTAATAAGGCAGAATAAGAAAGCCAGAAGTAAGCCAGAAGCAGTTCTCCAATGTCTCTGCATCAACTCCTGCTGGAGTTCCTGTCCTGACATCCTCTTACGATGAACTATAATGTGGCAGCATAAGCTGAATACACCCTTTCCTGCCCAGGTTGCTTTGGTCATGGTGTTTCATCACAGCAATAGTAACCCTGACTGAGACAATGTGTAAAGCCCTGGATTCCCAATACCAGAAAAAGAAGAAAGGAAAAATAAGGTGAGAACATCTACCTGCAATTCGTGCTAGTGGCTTAACGTTGAGCCTCTGGGCTGCATCTGCAGTCATGAGAACCACAGCAGCTGCTCCATCATTCAGTGTGCTGGCATTGGCAGCTGTTACAGTGCCTGAAATCAACAAAACATGAAGTCACATATTCTCGCTGAGTCCATCCTCTGCACTCCCACAAAAACCCACAGAGCATTGTCTGGATTATTAAATATATAGACAAATTATAGATAGACTTGGAGATAATTTATGCCCTGGGGAAACATGCATAGAGCCAGCTCTACAGTGAATGTCTACCATTCACTGTGCCTGGTGGGAGTTTCATGGATTTCTTAGAGGTAGCTCAGACACATGGTGGCACTGGTATGTGACCATCTCTCTCATGGTCAAAGAAAATCCAGCAACAACCCTGTATTAGTCTACTTTATATATCTTTTTATTTTTTTTTAATTTTGGTGGGTTTGATTTTGTGGAGGTTGTTTGTTTTTGTTTTGTTTTGTTTTGGTTTTGGTTTTTGGAGACAGCATTTCTCTGGCTTTGGAGGCTGTCCTGGAACTAGCTCTTATAGACCAGGCTGGGCTTGAACTCACAGAGATCCGCCTGCCTCTGCCTTGAGACAGGGTTTCTCTGTGTGTAGCCCTGACTGTGCTGGAACTTTCTCTGTAGACCACGCTGTCCTCAAACTCAGATCTCTTTGCCTCTGGCTATTTTTTTTTTTTTTTTTTTGAGACATGGTCTTACTATGCACCCTTGGCTGATCTGGAACCCACAGAAATCCACCTCCCAAGAGCTGGGATCAATGTAGTACATCATCACATCCAATTTAACATGTAGTTTTGTTTTTTTAGCATTCTTGTTTGTTTTGTTTTTTGTTTTACAAGACAGGGTTACTCAGTGTATCCCTGGCTGTCCTTACTCTGTAGATCATGCTGGCCTGGAACTCAAAAGATCCACATGCCTCTACATCCAGAGTGTTGGGATTAAAGGTGTGGGCCACTAACACCTGGCAATATATACTCTTACAATAGAATTTTTTATGACACTGACAAAAGATGACTGATCATTTCTATACTTAGAACTGAGCAATTCTATCAAGAAAGGGAAAACTAAGCCAGGCGTTGGTGGCACACGCCTTTAATCCCAGCACTCAGGAGGCAGAGGCAGGTGGATCTCTGTGAGTTCGAGACCAACCTGGTCTACAATGCTACACAGAAAAACCCTGTCTTGAAAAAACAAAAATAAAACCTTACAATTTTAAACTTACCTTAAAATTGTATTATTTGGCTAATTTTATTTGAATAAAATATTCTAAAAATGTCAAGTAACATCTAGATGTTTTCTACAATTACTTTGATTAAATTGTGAGACAAGGGCTATAAAGAGATATTTCAGCAGTTAGGAGCACTAGCTACTCTTCCTGGGGACGTGGGTTTGGTTCCCTGAACCCAGATGGCAGCTCACAACTGTAACTCCAGTTCCAGGGATTTAGATGTCATCTTCTAACCCTCATGGATACCAGGTACAAAGTGGTGCACAGACATATATGCAGGCCAAACACATGTAGAACAAATATTTAAAAATCGTTAGGCAAATCCAAGAATAAAACTGCATATTAACTCAGATTTTTTTCATTGTTTGATTTCTTACTACTTACCATTTTCTTTCTGGAACACAGTTTTCAGCTTTGGTACTTTACTAAAATCAACACGCTTGTACTCTTCATCTTCTTTCACCACCACATCTGGTTTACCTAAAATTGAGATACTAAGTAATCACCCAGTCAAGACAACAAATGGCCCCTCAGGAAGAAACTATTATACATGCTTTAAGCCATTTCTTTTTCTTTTTCTTTTTGTAGGGGAGGGGTTCTAGGCAGGGTTTCTCTGTGGCTTTGGAGGCTGGCCTGGAACTAGCTCTTGTAGACCAGGCTGGTCTCAAAATCACAGAGATCTGCCTGACTCTGCCTCCCGAGTGCTGGAATTAAGGGTGTGCACCACCTTTAATGGCCAGGCACTTTAAGCCATTTCAAACAAGTGTTCATCTAGAATGTGAAACCTTATCAACAATTCCCATTATTTCCCATCCCATCCCACCCCCCTTTTTTTTCTTTTGAGATGTGGTCTCTGTGTGATCCTGGGAGTCTTGGAGCTCAGTATGTAGACCGGGCTGAACTCAAATGCACATATATCCTCCTGCCTTGCCTCCCAAGTACAAGTGCTGTGATTAAAGGAATGTGCCTCCTCACCCAGACCTCACTGTGTACTCCAAGGGTAGATGCCCAACCAGTGCTGCATAAACCAGTGTTCTATCCCCCAGACACAGTGATGGATCACTCTGGGAAGTAACCCAAACCAAGCAATAAGTTTGACCATGGATTTATCCCAGTGAAGAAGGTGAGAAGGCCCCTTCTTTGACTCTGAGCACAACACATGTGGCTCTAGAGGTAGATGCCATTCATCCTTCATTACCCTAGTAGGCTTCTATTATAAATCCCTTTTAAAAAATACTTTTTGGGGTCAGTGAGATTGCTCAGCAGACAGAAGTGCTTGCTATACAAGCTTGACAACCTGAGCTCAATCCCCAGAACCCATGTAAAGGTAGAAAAAACAAAATAACTGATTTCACAAAATTGTCCTCTGACCTCCACATGCAGGCCATGGAGCATGTGTGTGCACACATATATGCATACTAATAATAAATGTGAGCAGGGATGCATACACAGCTCAGTGGCTAAGAGCATACACTAGTCTTCCAAGGGACTCAAGTTTGATTCTCAGCACCCACATGAGACAGCTCACAACCTCCTGTATCTCCAGCTCCATGAGCATCCAACACCTCAGGCCTCTTCAGGTACCTGTACTCCTGCATAGGAATCCACACACAAAAAGAATAAAATGTTTTTAAAAATAAATTTAAGAAATGTCAGCTAATGTGCTATCTATTACATGAGAAAGAATTGTAATAAATACATTATCTTGAAAACAGTAAGTGCAGCAGCTTTCTACCAAGCCTGATGGCCTGACTTCAATCCCTGGAACACACATGGTACAAGGAAAGAAGCAACTCCTGCAGGTTACACCACAGCATGTACATGCCACATAAGCACAAAAGCAAAGAAAGAAATGTAAAAAGAATTTTATAAAAGTAGTAAGTTTCGTGCACTGTGTACCTGGATGAACTGCTACCTTTGACCTGTAACCCTTCTCTTTTTTAACTTAAGCACAATTGTTCATGTGTTCAGCTCACATGAACAGAGATAACACTCATTTAAAATGGAAACATCAATTCTACAGCACAGAAAATCCATTAAAAGTAAACATCTAGCAGTGGTGCCGCATGCCTTTAGTCCCAGCACTCGGAAGGCAGAGACAGGCAGATTTCTGTGAGTTCAAGGCCAGTCTGGTCTACAGAGTGAATTCCAAGACAGCCAGGGCTGCACAGAGAAACCCTGTCTCAAAAAACAAAACAAATAAATCAACAAAAACCCAAACAAAAAAGTAAAATCTAACTAAGAAAATACAAATGTCTAAAAACTAGAACTCTATGTTGGAATGTCTCCTCTACCTTTTACTGACACGGTGACAGGAATGACTTCATCTGCAAACTTCCCTGCATCCCAGGCTTCTTTACTTCTGCTGTAAGAGCTGATGGCATAAGTGTCCTGCTCACCTCGGGCAATACTCAGCTTCTTTGCAGTATTCTCAGCACAGTTACCCTGAGAGATGTGAAAAATTACCTTTGTATAACTCAATGGTTAGGGATTCATTTCCATCTCTCTAAATTCCCTTCCTGTATTCTAGGCCACTTCTCCTTTGTGTCTTGTCCTCAAATAGTTGCAGGAAAGAAACAGAATTGCCGTTTTAGGAGAAATACCCCACTCAAGTGTGGGGCAGCTTTTTACTAGATGATACATGCTAAAGAAATGGACAAGGTTTTTAAAAAATGGTGTTTTTTTTTTTTGCTTTTTTGTTTTTTTTTTTTTTTTTTTTTTGGTTTTTTGAGACAGTTTCTCTGTGTAACAGCCCTGGCTGTCCTAGAATTCACTCTGAAGACAGGCTGGCTTCAAACTCACAGACATCTGCCTGCCTGTTCCTCTCAAGTGGATTAAACGCATGGGGCACCACCGCCCGGCTGTAAAATATTTTTATAAAGTGAATGAAAAAAAAACATTTATAGAACCCACCCTAACTCAGAATTTAAACTATATGTGCTATGCAAAGTCAAGCATTATGCATTAAGTGGCACTCCCCATTAAAGCAGCATTTGCAGGTCTGAGAGACCTCAGCAGTGGAGAGCCCAGACTGTTCCTCTAGTGCACCCCAGTTAGATGCTCTGGCCAGCATCTAAGAGTGCCTCAAACCCACCAACTCCAGCTCCCAGTGACCTGACACCCTTTGGCTTCCATGAGCACCAACACACACACATATACATATTTAAAAAGTAGCTCTTACCATATGAATTTTATTGTAGACATCAGTCAGCCCATCTTTTACAATCAGGTCTTCAAGTTTTATCCCACCATACGGTGTTGCTCCTCTGCTCATTACATACGGGACGTTTGACATGCTCTCCATCCCACCTGCCACCATCACATCCTGCTCAGCAACACAACCAAGCCAAGGTCAGTTCAGAGTTGCCCATCTATTGCACTCTATATATACAGCTATCAACAAATGAGTATTCAGCGTGGCTTTACTAACCATAGTTACACAGTGAATGCCCTCTTTGCCACTTGACCCTTATTGTAAGAAAATGGTTTAAAATGTTCAGTGACAATTAAGAGTAAAATTAAAAGTTGAGTATGGTGGTACACATCTATAATCCTGCACTTAGAAAGCCGAGGCAGGAGGATCAGGAGTTCAAGTTCATTTTCAGGTACATAGTGAGGATGAGGCCAGCATGGGCTAATTGAAACACTGTTTCAGAAAACATAAATCAAACAAAGAAAAAGATAAGAATTGGACAAGGAAGCCAAGCAGTGGTGGCACACACTTTTAATCCCAGCACTTGGGAGGCAGAGGCAGGTGGATCTCTATGAGTCTGAGGCCAGCCTGGTCTACCGAAGGAGTTCCAGGACAGCCAAGGCTACCCAGAGTAATGCTGTCTCAAAAAAAAATTGGACAAAGCATTTAATAACTTCCAAAAATTTAAATCGTCCCTCAGTAATTTTTTAGGATTTATTTATTTTTAGTGTTTTCTCTTTTTTGTTTTTAAAGGTTTACTTGTTTATAATGTATATAGTATTCTGACTGCAAATGTTCCTATAGTGTAGAAGAGAGCACCAGGTATCATTATAGATAATTATGAGCTATCATGTGGTTGCTGGGAACTGAACTCAAGACCTCTAGAAGAGCAGCAAGTGCTCTTAACCTCTGAGCCATCTCTCCAGCCCTATTTTTAATATTTTTAAGCTGTCTTGTTCACTGTTCTGTTCTTATGAGTCCTAACTTCTCAACAGAAAATGATCAGATTTAGTAACAAGTCTCCCACATATCAACCTGCCCAAAGTTACTCCACTTTTAAGTAGCAGTACTGATGGTATTGGGGGTGGGGAGCTGTGAGAAAATAAATTATTCCTTTTATGCCTTCTATAACTGTGAAGTTTGCAGGGTGTGCACATGATGTTTGTATAAGGTCCCTGTCACAGGAGCTCAAACCTCAATGCACCCGTTTCTTCTCTGAAAGTATGGTTTGGTTTTTTTCTTGTTTACATTTTCTGTATGTTATGTGTATGAGTGTTGTGGAATATTAGTTTAAGATGTGTTACATTTATTTATGCTGAGGAACATTTGTTTAATGATGCAAAGATGTGTTGAATTCTTTTGTTACATTTGTTTAACCTTGTAAAGCTGTGTCATTTTGCTAGCCCAAAACACCTGATTGGTCTAACAAAGAACTGAACAGCTATTAGCTAGGCAGGAGAGAGAAATAGGCGGGGCTGCTGAGAGGACCAGGCAGATGCCATAACAGGCTGGAACTCAGATGCCCTCATTAATAATTTAAGTTAGAAAAGCTGGCAAAAAAACAAGCCAAGCCAAGGCCAGGAATTCATAAGTAAGAATGAGTCTCCGTGTATTTATTTGGGAGCTCCGTGGTAGACCCCCAAAGACTAAAAATATGACAACTACATATGGAAGTTTTGCCTGTCTGTATGTCTGTGCACCATGTACATGCCTGATATCCTAGAACTGGAGTAGAAATGATTGGGAGCCATGTGGGTGCTGGAAACTAAACACACATCCTCTGGAGGGGCAGCCAGTGCTCTTACCACTGAGCCATTTCTCCAGCCCCACAAGTATGTTTCTTACATATGTGAGAAATAATAGGAAAACATGTCACACAAATTTAGCCTGGTTGTGATACACAGTGGTAAGCTAGAGTGTCTAGAAATTCTCATAAAGATCTTTGTCTCACTTTAGCCATGAACCTTTGTATCTGGCTACTTCAGTATGCTTCCTTCTGAAAATTGATGAAGTGTTAGTTGTTAGTTCTTAAGTCCAGACATGGCCAAAACACAGCCTCTGATTGCCACAGTACTCAATGAGCAGCCTCTCTCTTCCTCGGTCTTAGACAAAGATGACATTCCAATCAACAGGCCTCAAGCTTGCAATCTTCCTGCTTCTACCTTACAAATGCTAGAATTGGGCATTGTTTAACAGAAGAGGATCTCAGGGATGGCATTCAGTTTCTAGCACCCACATCAGACAGCTTACAAGCACCTGTAACTCCAGCTCCAGGCATCCAGCATTGTCTTTTGGCCTCCCGGGTGCCTGTCCACATGTGGCATTCACTCACACAAACAGGCACACAAAAATAAAAATAAATCTTTAAAAATTAAAGGGGGCTGGAGAGGTGGCCAATGGTTAGGAGCATCTGTTGGTCTTCCAAAGACCCAGACTCAGTTCCAAGCATCCACATGGTGGTTCAGAACCATTCAATAGGATATTCAATATTCTTTTCTGACCTCCATGGGCACCAAACATGCATGTGGCACACATACACACACACACACACACACACACACACACACACACACACACATGCAGGCAGAACACTCATACACATAAAATAAATAAAGCGAGTAGAAGAAAAGCTAGAAATGTGGCCCAGCAGTAAAGAGCATGTGCTGTTCTCCACAGGATCTGAGTTTGATACCCTGTATCCACAGAGTGCCTCATAACTGTCTGTAACTGCAGTTCCAGGGGATACAGTGCCCTCTTTTGGCTTCTGAACACCAGGCATACATGGGGTTCACAGACATGCAGGTAAACAATCACATGCATACAGAACAAAGAAAGACTGAATCTCACTGACACAGCATCAATGTGCTTACATGTTTACCATTTTCTAGGATTTGGAATTAATTGTTTTAAGATAAAACAAGATGTTTCTTATAGCTGGGCAATGGTGGCGCACGCCTTTAATCCCAGCACTCGGGAGGCAGAGGCAGACAGATCTTTGTGAGTTTGAGACCAGCCTGGTCTACAAGAGGTAGTTCCAGGACAGCCTCTAAAGCCACAGAGAAACCCTGTCTCAAAAAAACAAATAACAAAAACAAACAAACAAAAAAGATGTTTCTTACCTGATGTCCACACATGAGATTTTGAGAAGCCATCATGATGGCTTTCATTCCTGAAGCACAAACTTTGTTTACCGTGGTACACGGAGTGGAAATTGGTAAACCTAAAGCCAACATAAATCATACTTTTGGAAAACAGAAACACTCATTTTTCAAACAGAGCTTGTGACCATAACCTACAAATTTTATTTTCTGTAAGAATTGTGCATTTTCTAATTTAGCTAAAATAACCTTGACATTTTCAAGAATATTAAGTATAAAAGCAAACGTGTGTTCATCGTACCTGCACCCAATGCTGCTTGCCGTGTAGGGGCCTGTCCTTCACCCCCTTGGATGACATTCCCCATGTAGACTTCCTTTACTTCTTCTTTTGGGATCCCTTTTAAAAACAGCAAAAAGGAATGTCCTGGATTTATTCAATTTCTTTCTTTTTAAGATGTTGCTCATTTTAATTTTATGTATATGGGTGTTTGTCTGTATGTATGTCTGTATACCATGTGCATGCAGAACCCAGGGAGGCCAGCAAAGAGCAGAGGATCGTCTGGAACTTAAGTTGCAGACAATTGTGATCTGACATGTGGATGCTGGAAACTGAACCTAAGTCCTCTGGAAGAGCAGCCAGTGCTCTTAACCTGTGATTAATCTCTCCAGCCCCAATATTCAATTTAATAATTAAGATTACCAAGCAAGTTCTTTTGAGTTTTGAGTTGCATTTCTATTGAGCACAAGGAAATGTAAATATGTAGGAACCACGTAATTTCTAAGTTATATATACAGTAAACGCAAAAGTGTAGTTTTTTTTTCTTTATTAATCCTTACTCTTTTGGGGGCCTACCATCCAGCTCCCAAATAAATCACACAGGGAGTCTTATTCTTTTTTATAAATGCCTAGCCTTAGCATGTCTTGCCAGCTTTTCTTAAATTATCCTGTCTACTTTTGCCTTTGGGCTTTTTTCCTTTTCTTATTACTAAGTCTCATACTTTTGCTCTTAACTCTGGGCTGGCTGGGTGGCTGGGTGGCTGGGTTTCTGGGTGGCTGGGGTGGCTAGCCCCTGATGTCCTCTTCTCCTTGTTCAATCTTGTTCCATCTATTTATACTCTCTGCCTGCCAGCCCCACCTATCCTTTCTCCTGCTTAGCACTATTGACTGTTCAGCTCTTTATTAAACCATCAGGTGTTTTAGATAGGCAAAGAAACGCAGCTTCACAGAGTTAAACAAATGCAGTATAAACAAAAGCAACACACCTTTACATTTTAAACATATGTTCCAGAGCAAACAAATGTAACACACCTTTTATTAAAAAAAAAAAAAGATTTTATTTATTTATTATGTATAGTATACAGTCTTCTGCCTGCATGCCAGCAGAGGGCACCAGATCTCATTCACGGTGGTTGTCAGGAATTGAAATCAGGACCTCTGGAAGAGCAGGTCAGTGCTCTTAACCGCTGAGCCATCTCTCCAGCCCCTAAATGTAGCACACCTTAAAATAATATTCTACAACACAAAACAATTATGTGTCCCCCAGTCATTTGCCCCTCAACTCCAAACAATGCAATCACTGACCTGCCTTTTCAATGGCTCCTTGAATTGCAATAGATCCAAGCTTAGTGGCTGGCTGAGAGGCAAGGCTGCCCATGAAGGATCCAATGGGAGTTCTTACACCACTTACTATAACTACTTCCTGGCAAGGCAGAAAATGGTAAAAATTAGCATAGGCATACTCAAATCCCATTTCATTTAATAAAAATTCACACCCAGGCCACTTATGAATAATTAGTTAGCAAGGATTAAAATAATATTTGAGCACCTGGAATACACCATGACACCACAATTTATGTCACAACAGAAAGACATGACTGGGGTATAGCTCAGTGGTAGAGTACTTGTCTAGGATGCACAAGGCCCAGGGTTCAGTCCACAGTGGCTGGGGGAGGAGGGTGCAGAGTTCGAGACCAGCATGGTCTCCAGAGTGAGTGCCAGGATAGACTCCAAAGCTAAACAGAGAAACCCTGTCTCGAAAAACCAAAATAATAATAATAATAATAATAATAATAATAATAATATAAAAAATAAACAACAGTAACCAAAAGCTCCTTTATTGAAGAAAACTCTGGGCTAACAATACAGATGTGTAGGCTACATGGGACAGTATCAATTAGGACACAGCCATAACATGATTTCCTAAGCTACAAAATAAGAAAACGTAGATAAAAGTCCTCATCAATACTATGAAGCATATTTTCCTCACATTTGTATTCTACAATCTCTTACTAAACAGTAGATATATTAAAAGGATGAAAAGATTTGGTGTCTCTTTGGAAACAAATAAACAAAGGCAGAAAGCAGTAACTAGGAAATGAAGTAAAGTCCCTTCTGGTCTACCCTTAGTAGTCAATCTCTCTCTTGTCAAGTCTCCCACATATCCACTGCTTTGCACCACCCACAATGCAATGGGGGCTCCTCATAATAAAGGAAAAATATTCCGTAGACTTAGAGGGAAACTGTTTTGTAGTGGATTATAGAGAATTATTCATGGACTAAATGAATGAACTTTTGTGATAATGCAGAAACTTAGTATGTGCATTGCTAGCTTTCCCTAACTGCATAATCCTATTAATCTTCAAATATATTCAAGACATAATCCTATTAATCTTCAAATATATTGCAATAAATATATGCAACTGTGCTTTTGTTTGTTTGCTTGAGATAGGGCTGGTAAACCTCAAGCCTCTGGCCCCACCTTCCTGAGAGCTCATGCTGCAATCATGAACCACCATGCCTAACAACATGTGTGTCTCTACTGGCAACATTCCTTTAAATTCTTGAAACTACAAGGTGTTATTTAAATGTATACTTACATTCAAAGTGGGTTTGGATGCATAACTTCGATCCAGGCATCTTACTTCCTGCAAGATAAATGTTTGTTACAATATTTTAAAATTCATCCATTAACTTCATACTTAGCAATTATGAAATAGAATTATTCTGAAAATCTAATAATATGTTGCTTTCATTTTTACACTTTTTTCATTTAAACTTAAATTAGAAACAATCTTATTTTACATATCAATCCCAGTTCCCTCTTCATTTTTAGACTTTTATTTCCAAGTTTTATACAATGTATAAACACCTCTTTTATAAATCATAAAGAAAATGACTATAATAAAGATTACTTTTCTAATAAGCTGTTCATTGAAAACACACTTTTTAACTTCTGATGAATTGCCACTTTAAAACTATTTTTAATGTTATTTATTTTTATGTGTATGTTATTTTGTATACACATATGTCTGTGTACCACATTCATGCAGTGCCTGTGGAGGACAAAAGGCATCAGATCCCTTGGGGCTGAACATATAAATGGTTGTGGGGTGTTAGGAAATTGAACTAAAGTCCTCTGCAAGAACAGTCAGAACCACTGGGCTATTTTTCTAGCCCTTAAAACTGTTTAAGTAAATATAACAACAACAAAAGATTCCTAATTATAAAGTAAATACTTACTACAATTTAGTGGTTTTGTTTGGTGCATTTGTTTTGAGAGTTTTGTTTTTGGTTTTGAGACAAGATTTCATGTAAACCAGGCTGGCTTCACACTCAACTCTATAGTGAAAAGATGATACTGAACTTCTGAATGTCCTGCCTCTCTGCTTCCCAAGTGCTGAGATTACAGACTGGAGCTGCCACGAGTGGAGTTTTGGAGATGGGGATCAAACCCAGGGCTTTGTGCATACCAGGCAGCATACTCTTATCAGCTGAACTACCTTCTCTAGCCGTGGGCTACATTTTTGAAAAAGCCCAGGCTAACCTCAAATTCATTGAGAGCCAGAGTCACCTTGAACACATTCCTTCTGCCTCAGCCTCCTGAGTAAAATAAAACTTAAGTTACAACTAACTTCTTTCTTTTTGTTTTGTTTGTTTGTTTGAGACAGGGTTTCTCTGTGTAGCTCTGGCTATCCTGGCACTCATGCTGAAACCAGGCTGGCCCAAAACTCATTGAGATCTACTTGACTCTGTCTCCCAAGTGCTGGGACTAAAGGTGTGCACCACCAACACCCGGTCTAAGTTTTTAATTATGTAATATTACAGGTTCACAGTTCTCATTGTTTAAAACTTTAGTAGGCAGGAGACTGTGGTTAAGAGGCTACACTTTCAAAGGACCCAGACTGGGTTCGAGCATGCACATTAGGTGTTTCACAACTACCTGACTCTAGTTCCAGGAGATCCAACATCCTCTTAGGACATCCATGGGCACTGGCATACACATGGCATATGTGGCACACTCATGCATGCATGCACACACATACCACCACCCCCACACCAATAATAAATATTTTTAAAAGACTACTGTATTGAAAATCTATTTCTAAAAAAATTAAGTAAAATTGCTATTACTCCCCAAGCCCTTCCAGCAAGTGTCTCTTGATTTACAAAAGGCAAGCACACCTCATATAATATGGCCTATATTGCCAGGTAATTCTTATGAAGTAAAAGAGGGGGTGGGAGTATAGCTCAGCTGTAGAGAGAATGCCTGGTATGTGTTAGTTTCTGGTTGGCCCTCAGTACCACACTCAAAGGAACAGAAAGAAAGACTTCTTAATTCTTTCCACACTATTTGTAGAAACAAATGTCAACAATGGAAACTCTGAAAATTTAGGGCAGAGTTCAAAGCCCTAAGCAATCTGAAATTGGATGTGACATAAGCCAGCCTAACATTCAAAACCACTGAATATATGCAGTAGCATATATTCAACTGGTAGTTACAGTGTGCAACTATAGCTCATGAAAAAAGCAAGAAGTAGCCCACGAAAGTCTAGACTTTCAAGTGATCCAAGAAGTTAGCTTTTCACAGAGTAAACAAAACACTTTGTCCTAACAGAAAGCTATAGTGGGAAATTACCAATACGGAGTCAGGTAGAAATATAAGGGTATTTAATAGGGAAAAGCCTTACTTACAGAACGACCTAGCCAGCCGGCGTGGCAGCAGTCTGTACAGCATGTCCCAAAGTGAAACCAAAAGAGCAAACGCAGTCACACTACGTCACCCCGACCACGCCCTCATAGGCATGGTCAGGCACACCTGTAGCCCCTCATAGGCATGGTCAGGCACACCTGTAGCCAGCCCCTAAGTAGGCGTGGCTACAACTTCCCCTACAGATAGCAGATAACTAAACCTTTCAACTTAAAACTCAAAATAAACAAAACATAAGTTTGACGATGGAGTTATAAACAGGAACAGTCATGGTAACGAAACTGGTTTTCACAATGAATGACAGAGGCAGCTGGACATGAGCATATTTCTTAGAATAGAAGTGGCTGCACAGCAATGTGTAGGGGATGCTATAGCCACGCCTGCTTAGGGGCTGGCCACAGGTGTGCCTGACCATGCCTATGAGGGCGTGCTCGGGGTGATGTAGAGTGAGGGGCATTCAGGTGGCTGGTTTCATTTTCGTTTCACTTTCAGCTTGCTGGATGGCTCACTCACTCTGTAAGTAAGGCTTTTCCCTATTAAAATCCCTTGTATTTTTACCTGGCTCTGTATTGGTAATTTCCCACATTATTCTGGTGTCAGAAGTGGGATATTGGAAATGTAGTCCCCATTTGGGCCAGCCTGTGGGTCCCACCGGGACAGCGGGGCCTAGGTCAGGAAAGTGCACTCTCTCCACAGGTGCTCCCTGCTCACAGCTGACCCAATGTGCCACACAAGCGTGTTCTGGCTGCTGCTGAGCTGCTCAGAACAGTCTGCCCAGCTGGGAGAGTTCTACAGACCTCCCATGGTTTTACCAGCCTGGACTGTGGCAGCCGAGTAGGCCTTGGCTTTCAGCAGGTGCTGTGGCTTCCCCTGGCTGCGACAGCCATAAAGCCGCATCTTTTTCAGTGGTTGCGGCCACCAGGCAGTATACTCTCTAAGATAAACACAGCCACTTTTGTGACCTCTCTCCACCGCTGCCACCATCTTGCCTGACCAACCACTGCCAAACGCCGCACCGAGTAGCTGAACGCGTGCACCACCTGCTGGTCAAAGATAGTCAGTGCATCTGGAGTAGAAATCAGGTAAAATTATGGCAGGATATTTATCATTTGCTAAAATTGGTAATATTTTTGCTTATTACGTGAATTCAATGTTTGAGGAGGATACTAATTTGCCAATTACCGGCCTATATGCCATAATAGCAGTTAGCATGCTGGTACAAATAATATTACTAGCCAGAGGACTCAGGAACAGGGACAAGGATAACCTCACCACCTACTTACAGGAAATAACAGCTTTACGCAATGAGGTTTTGGAGAACAGATTAGGTCAGACCACAATTGTGCAGCAAGTGGAACAGAAATTGGATGATAAGTTTGGCTCTGTGTCCAATACGCTCAAGACAGAGCTGTCTGTCACCCAAGATGAGATGCAGCGTATTTATGATACGATAAACACAGAGCGATCCTCCATTTCTGAGGCGTTAGAGGCTAGGCTGTCAGAGGACCGTGATGAACTAAAGAACATCTGTGGCCAGCTAGAAACTCAGATGTGCGCGGTTACCCAGAAACTAGATGCAAAGGTGCAAAATACCCAGGATAGTGTTGAGGAATTGGACAATGCCATTCAATCAATTATTGAAGCATCTAAAGTAGCAGGTCACAAATATGAGTCTAGATTCTAATATATGGAAGATAATTTACAGTGCAGGGCTGATTAGACAGATCCATACAGTCGATTGCTGAGGACTCAAAATCAACAAATCATGACCTTGAATCTAGACTCCAATACCTAGAAGGCAGTTTCCAAACCATCCAGATGCTGCCTAAGGACGACCATATTAAAGACCTAGAAAAACCTGTAGAGGAGCAGTTAGAGCAATTTACAGATTCACTAACATGCTTGGAAGCTTTTATGATTAAAAAGATTGAAACTTTTCATGAGGATATCATTCCTAGGCTTAAAGATCATTGGGATGTCTCAGAGGCAGAATCACTCCAATCTGAGGCACCTACTCCACCCAGGTATCATGACTATTCTAAGGTTGTTACTCGTATACCATTAGTGTACCCAGCTACCATGGTAGAAAAGCCAGCTTCTTAGAAACAACCTCAGGGACAGATGGCTTACGTATGGCAACCTATACAGCTGAAGGATCTTAAGGATATTAAAGAATCAGTTGGCTCATATGGTCTCCATAGCCCATACGTAAAACAGCTATTATATTCGTAGGCAACCTTTAACAGGGTGACACCCACAGATTAGGAACGATTGGTAGCAGCTGTACTTGAGAATTCATGCCAAATCCAGTGGAAGGCGCTGGTGAGGGAAGAGGCGAAGCTCCTTGAGCGTCAAGGCATAAAGGAAGGTTTTGAAGCCCCCCTAGATAAGATTCTTGATGAGGGTATTTATGCTAACCCACAGGCTCAGGCTGAATTTGACGACCATATACTGTCTATACTGTCCCTATGCAGGAAAGCAGCATTAAATGCCTGGGATAAGGTTCGTGAGTCAGGAGAATGCCTAGAAGCTTATACCAGAATAGAACAGGGACCTACAGAACAGTTCGAGGACTTCTTACAAAGAAAGGTTAACTAGAGCAGTAGAATTACAGGTAACAGATCCTAAAACAAGACAATTAATTATATATACAATAGCTTATGAAAATGCAAACCCAATATGCAAAAGAATACTTTTGCCTTTAAAGATCAGATCAGCTCCGCTAGAAGAATGGGTTTTGCATGCAGCCAACATTGACTATAATGTGCAAGATACTGGAGCTTGGGTAGGAGAAGCCATCTCGAAAGGTTTAAAAAGGCAACAGGAGATTAAAAGTTCTAGAGGTGAGGATGCAAGGGCTTGGGAAGGAGAAGCACCTTACAGAGGTCAACATAGGTATCAAGAGGCTAGAGGTTACTACTACTATGAACCAGAACC